CAATAAGGCTTTCATCCTGATCCTTGAATGTCGGTTTACTAGCTCTTACAATATTAATCGTCCCAGGTCTTAAAGAATGTATTTACTTCTCAGAGTAGATTAGTTCCTCTATTGTTAAATACAAGGGTAAACAGAAATAAGTTCTGACTCCATCTTAATTTTCCACTTAAGATGCTCATTTTGGTCAGCCATATGGATTTTGAGATGTTTATAAATCCTATAAAAGCTTGTGTACTGTACTATGGATATATGCATATTTTTTCATTATGGACGTCGATTTGACTTCTTGACTCTAAATCATGTTTGCTAATTAATGATAATCCAGACATACGTTTTTTATCGTTATTTGCTTGGATTATAATACAAACGTGTTCCTTTTCTAGGATTTTTTATATACCTTATGCAATTTTCTTTAATAATACATATATTAATATATAATTACTTGAAGACGCACTACTGTACTCGTTCAGAGGAATTCTTTGAAACTACTACTGAATCGGTACAATAATGTTGTACTCGTAGCAATCACTAATCCTACAAGTTTTGTAGTAACTAGCTTAGTTTGTATTCTTATTAAGCGATGATTACTGATTGTGGTAGAGAGAAATGAAAAACTCTGCATTATTTAAAATAAAAGATCAAGTGAAGTGTACTAAATAGCAATATGATACATTCTAATTTTGTAAATATAGTAAAATTTCTTGTAATCAAAGATTTCAAAGAATGTGGGTACGATGCTAAACAAAATATACACAAGTATTTGTAGAAGGTAACTTTATTTTGATGTTTACCATTACAGAAATGCCATATGATTTACGAGGAGTAATGATTAGGATTGACCTTAGTCTACAATGTTATCTTGAGCAATATTTTGAAATTAAAATATTTTTTGATTATTGCCCCATCTGTCAGCGCTTACATATTGGTTGTCATTATTTACCTTGGGCGATGTAGACAGAAATTTGATCGTCGCAATTTTCTTTTCTATCGTAGCATCTTGTATAATAGAGCGTACATACCCGTACGTACTACATAGAGTACAAGAAACTCTAACATTAAAAGTTCATATAGCATTGCTCAAGTGGTAAACTATGATTCGATTGAGTTGCAACATGGGCAACGTCCAAGGCTGTTATGAAAAGTTCATGAAACAGTTAGTATACATCCTCTCTAACAAATGTTATAACTCAATGCTGATGTCATAACCGATCGAAGTTAACTAGTAAAATCGCACTTATTATGCATTCATAAACTATCAATATTTTACTTAGATGTATTTTAATATGGTGCAGCTATAGCAAAAGCTACGTGTACTAGAATTTCAATCTCCATTCTTTCGCCTAAAATATAAAGAATCAAAAATTTTATGACATGATTGACTCATTTTCGGTCCTACCTCCATCTTGGTAGATTCTGTAAATTTATGCAATAGTAGGAACGTTTAAGAAATTAATTTTCCATAAATACGTAAAATGGAAATGATTTGAAGAATACTGCAGTATAACTGTCGAGACCGGTAACACCCATAACCATATAAATGTATCATGGTAAATCAGTCAAAAAGGTGATTGATATCAGCCACTCTGCAAATTGAATTGTAATAGTATTTACTGTTTACTTTCACAAAATAGCCATGTTAAGTACTGTACGTGTATAACCCATTGGGATGGAATTTTGAACGATTTTTGAGCATACTCGTATGCACAGTACTCGCTGCATCCATTTACAAATTTTGCTGTACTCGTATTTTACTAAATTAATTCTTTTACGTACAATATTGTCTAATATTTATAGTATATTCTATAGTAGTATCGATTTTTAGTTAATCATGTGCTAATGGTGCCTTCAAGAACTACTAAATTCGCCTCCCTATGCAAAAATGATTCTAAAACCTAATCACTACCCAATTTTTGGAAATGAGATCATTTTAGAGTAGGACAGGAAGATTTAGTAGCCTAAAATAATGCTAAGGGATAGTAGTAGTTGGTTGGTAGCAAAGTCTAACTATACAGTACAGTACAGTCGTTAGAAGAGAAAACTTATTATATGAGTTAAATACTAAATACTGGGATATACCGTTTTGTACTGACGAGCGGATAGAAGTCACGTACAAATGTACAGATACAAGCCAGTAGTGTAATACTAGTATTAGTCTTGACGGTCCAGAACTGTGCATTTGCATCTGTACAAAATTCTAGATCCAGCACTAGAGGAAATTAATTAATTGTACTGTACTTTTGTACTTATTATTTAATTTCCATATGATTTTTTATGTATACGAGTTCATGATGGAGAATTAAAGCAGCTTCACTGCTTTAGACCTAGCATTTTGACTACAGTAGTACTTAATATAAATAAAAGTTGGCTATTAATAATTTAGTAGGACGATACTGGACGTCATGGCATTTCCAGCAAGTTGTAATTCTTCTTTCTTTTATATTCTTTTCTCTTATTGCCCCATGGGTTACTACGAATTCAAATAGTTTTAAATCATCGCTGCAGGCAGTGTTAAATCCATGCCAAATCTGCATCGCTTCAAAATTCCAACACAGCCTCTCCTTCGGGTACAAAGTCTAACTCTAAACTAATTAAATAAATAAATCCATTTACGGTACAGTATTATACTGTACTGTAAATACGGTTCAACAAATTAAGCGAATGCTGGTATCAACATACACCTTTCTTGTCACTATTACAGTATATCGTGTATTTCTATAAAATCAAAAAGCATCCTCTATTTGTACGCCTCAATATCTCAAAGAAGATTACACCTTGACGTTGGTACGCAATGAATACCTTTTACAAGTTAAAATTGAAAAAAAACGCTGAAAGAGTAGAGTAAGTACGGTTCAACAAATTAAGCGAATGCCGGTATCAACATACCTTTCTTGTCACTATTACGTACCGTATATCGTGTATTTCTATAAAATTAAAAAGTATCCTACAGTATATTCGTACGCATCAATATCCCAAAGAAGATTATACCTTGACGTTGGTACGCAATCAATACCTTTTACTATTCTAAAGTTAAAATTGGAGGAAAACATTGAAAGAGTAGACTACGTAGGTGTTGAAGAGTTAGTTGATCGAGAACACTGCAGTACAGTAAGCTCTCAAAATTTTAATTTCAACATTTACCAGTCGTGGATCGTTTTAAGTGCTAACGTTAATAACCACAAAGGAGACAGGACAAGTACTTACATTGCATACAATATTGATTAACAGCGGGGAAAAAATAAGACAGTCTTTCTAATTTATTCCGCCTTTACAAGTGTACATTAGGACCTTTTGTATATACTGTATAGTGCAACTGCAAGCAAGTATAGTACACACTACCAGAGCAGTCTTAAGTGTAGTTTGCTGTGATGTAGCCGCGCGCATTACTTTTCAAAGTCAATAAAATGATTTTATGATTGTCTTGTTTCTTGATCACGTTATGATGGGCTTGGTCGAAAATTATGCGTCTTATTCTACTCTTTTTTAAAAGCTTATTCAATGTAAAATAAGTGGAATTTCCATCGAAACATAGCTACTGTTAAAAATATCATTTTGATTAGTTTAGGAAAAAAATAAATAACCGCATACGTCCGCCTTTCGCAATGCAATTTTTAAAATATCTATCGTTGAATTTTTCAAAGCAGGATACCGTACACAAACAGTATATAGCTGATACTCTGTAATGAACAGTATGCATTGTAAACAACGAGCAGTAGCACTTATTGTGTTTTTTTAAGAAAGCGATGAACTGATTGAAATAATAATCGTTGCCTTTATTATCGTGATCGTAAAAACCAGTAAGATGTTGATAAAGTAAATTAAATTTTAACAAACTTTTGTATAATACTTTTGTTTGCAAGTAAAAGCATTGTCCTATCAGCTGGCAACTCCTAAAGATCGTAATGATATTATTGGATCAACGATATTAGCCTAAAAGATTAGACGCGTAGATGTGTCTACGGTGACCAAGTCTACTTTAAAGTACTACCGGGTTATGACGAAATATTTCCCTTACAGACAAAGTACTACTTGACGGTTTAATCACGGACAAGGATTGGCAACTTCACTTTCATCGCTTTAGTAGCTTATTCGATGAAATATAAGGTACTCATTAATCTTGATGCAAAAATTGGGGTCAAAGTTATCTATAGTAAAATCAGTTATAAATTAATGACTGGCCTTTCGGGCGAAGTACTGTACAATTATTTCACGTGGAATCGATAAAGCGGATTGGAATCGTAATCAGGTTAGTTACGTATGAAATATATATTTTAACTTCGATCTTAATTAAGTTGAAAATGGTCAAGTTTTACTATTATTATGAATCCAAACCACAGAAAGAGAATATGCCCAACACTTTCATGTGTATATATATATCTTGTTGAGATAACGTTGTTCGTTGGATAGTCATTCTATTTAATTTTTGTTTCCAGACACAAAAGATTTACTGGAACAAAGATTTTCAGTAGATTCGTTTTCGAAATAGTATTCAAAACATCCGTTCTCGCTCAACTGAATTAAGTGAATACGAGCTATTGTACATTACAATAGAGATCCAGTTTTGCCTTTTTTAAATGACGCTTTAATAATAATTTGGATCTTGTCCTTGACGTAGTTTATTCTATTGAATAATTGCGCTATACTGTAGTTTTCATTCTCCATAGTTATAATAAAATTGGTACTTTACCTAGGCCAAGCTATGCTTTCATATACTGTAAATTGAGATCCTTCTCGATTGACAATTCATACGTACCTATTTTTATTTTGTATCTGACACGATCAGGTTACAGCACGTTCTGTTCATTTGATATCCAATCGAAGATTTGTTCTGTACACTATTTGATCAACTTGTCTTGTCCAGCGTGATCTCCTTAATCTAAGGGATTTTTTTGTTTCAACTCCCAAAATTGGTGCTGAACTGTGCGGTGAAGATTAAAAGATAGTATAAACGTGTAAGTGCTAAAAAGCTACCCTATCATCCATTCCTCTTGTTCTGATGAACGATGGCTCTACTAGAACCTATTTCGGCTGGCTCGCAACACCATGCTGATATTAATAAAGCCTATTTAACCGACGATAGCGGATTAGAGAAACCATCACTACTAGATATTATCGTTACACCACCGAATGAAGACGACAGTAGAGGCAATGTGAATACTGTGACGAAAAATTCGCTGAGGAAATCCGCTTTAATATCATCACCTTCTATCGAGTTCACTATTGGAGATAGTCCACCTAATATCGATGGTTATTTAGGTGTACCATCCTATGAATACGATGGAGTATCATCGAGTGACTACGATGATCCAGTGGATGAAACATCCAACGTTTCAAGACGATTTCGAAGTAGATCGTATAGTTTTAGTGCTAGAGGCATCGACGACGACGACCCTGGTCATAAATGGAATTACATGAGAGAACGCGCAAGGGATAAATTGCATCCATCAAGAAGTACACAAGAGCTGGATAAAACGTTGCAACCGCCACTGCGCAGGTGTAGATCGAAATCTGTCTTTGGCAGTATAAGTAATAATGTTACCTTCACGCTGCCTTATAATGTGCGAAAGCGATTAAGCTTTAGCGAGCTAACGCGAGAAAGGAGTGATAAAACTCGACTAGGCAGTGGTTATCAATCTCATTATTTCAAAGGCATGGAGCAAAGTGGCTACGACTTGGTTGTACCCGTCATTGATCCCGTCAAGAAAGGTAAATTAAAAATTCGCTCCAATTCGGCTATTGTGATGACTGCATACGATAAAAAGTTGATTACTATGGCACAAGAAAGAGCCCGAGGCAACAGTTTCAGAAAATCCAACGGTAATAATCAGCAAAGTAATAATAGAAGCGATATCAACTCATCAGAAACAACTACAATCAATAATCAAGCGCCAACTTCACGTGCTACTGACATGGAAGTTGCTACAAAGTCAAAGATCAATAACAACAATAATAAGCTTTATCAAAATCAATCCAATGATGTGGACGTAAAGCCGACAGCATCATTTAAAGTGATACAACCGCTGAGTAATAATACTGCTAATGGTCAATCATCAATCATTGATTCTTCAATGGAGCGACCACATACACCTACATCTGCCTTTCGAAGTTATCGTCTTCGTGGATCAACATATACATCGCTATCGCAAGATCTTCCTGACGACAAAAGTGAAGACGGCAATAATAGCAATAACAGCAATAATAGCAATAATAGCAATAATAGCTCTATCATTGAAGAAAGTAAAGCTAACAGTTACCGCTCAGATAAAAACGATGCCATTAAAGTCAGAATGGATCGCAGCCGTGACAATTCCTTCGATGGATTGCCCATTGATCATCATGAAAAGTCCAACGTCGATGCAAACTTTTCACCACGATCGCCTAATCGTTATTCTAATGGTAAATTATTACCTGCTTCCAGTGAAGTAATGACCAATGGAAGCCAAACAAATGGCGATCAGCGAAACACTCAAACTGATATGGTATTAAGTTCTAGTCAGGAATCATTTTCCAATGAGTCATTTCACTTTCAAGTGAGGCAACAATTAAAAGAAATTACCACTAATTTAACTAGCTCTGTTTTAATTCAATATGTGCCAAATCCGTACGACATGTAAATTAGAGCCATCAATATTCTTAAATAGATTGGAATGGGTACTGTAATTGGCGTTGAAAAAAAAAAAAACACCAACGTAAACACAAAACCAACAAAACATTTCTATCGGAAAATGGCTCATTACGCTGATCTTTTGATAAATTTACTAAAAAATAATATTCTTACACTGCTATATTGACTCCAATTAAATTCGATTGAATGTTGAATCGTTGATCCGTTTTATTTACGGCACTTATGCCGATTTTGTTTTTACTGTCAAGTCCACGGGATGCTGTCACGCCTGTCATTAACGTAATAATGTACTGTATGTATTGTATAATATAAAAAAGCAGCAAAAATACGATAATTTAAATTCGGTAAAAAGAAAAAAATGATGATATCCTCAGTCAGAGTTAAAAAAATTTATAATGGACCTACTGCACTAGACATTCTTAGTTTACTTATCGAATGTATTTGTTTAATACAACATTTTTCTGGATTGTGCAGTAGTCTTTGCGCTATTTTTGTTGCCGACGCTAAGTCAACAAGACTCCTTGTCGATGTTTTCGTGTCTATTAAGTTATCATTTTGGGGGGGGGGGAAATCATATTTGCCGTTTCAAAATTATCTCGGTAACCTGACGGTCTAAATAATATCCGGTACTTCCGATTTATATTTAATCCAGTTATTACATAATTACTTATAGAATCGTTATATAGTATTTTTCTTTTTTTGAGATGGATTCTGTCGTATTATCCATAAACACCGTATATATACATTGTACACTGTACAGTACTACAGTAGCATAACAATACATCGGTTTGGGCTTACATTATAAAACTCTGTATTAAAAAATTAAAATTATAAATTGCTGCACTATGCCATACTCACTACATCTCCATTGGATTAATTATTACATAATCTAATTATTTTAGCCGGTTTATCATGTTCTTATTATATTGTCTATAACTACAGTACATACAGTTTATGTTGGTGTAGATATAGTCCGTCTTAAGCTGATCTACAACTGATTTTAAATCACTCATTACACACACCTACTAAATACGGCAATGATCTACGTTATGCGGAGTTTTTCTTTTTTCCTGTCCTATCATTTTAATAATTCATTATCTTTATGGTTTCGTTACTTGTACCCATCTATACGGTATGCTGTTAAAATTTTGGTATAAACCAACTTGTAAGAGGAGCTGCTTTTATGGAAAATTATATTGCGTACAGCAATACTATTATTACAGATGTAACCGATTTTTGGTAATTTTTACCGTGTTGCAGAATGCATAACTTACAGACAAATTATCTTTAAAGCATAATAAAAATTTAACTGCTCGACAGGTTTTACAAAGAAATTTTGGTTATCACTTTTTGTTAATCTATCTTTATTACTATCAGAAGAATCAGACATTGCTTTAATCGCTTTAGATAGAATAAGCGATTGGCTTCGTTCCTTGTATTGAAAGTGAAAAGAAAAAATCACTTATCAAGAACTACAGATCAATTTTTCAGGATATAAAGTAAACATAGGCTGCACGTTAGCCTATTAGGCTTAATTCAATGTCATCGATCCGAAAACTGATACCATTTGTTATTCTATATACATACATTGAAATCTAGAGGTTTATGCTGATAATTTTTTTTCATTGGTCACAGTTACATTATAGGAAGCACTGTTTTATGTAGAATTGATATCAAACAAGTCTCTAAAATGAATAAAGTGTACTACTAACAGTAGCGTTACTACAGCATAGTATATGAGTACATTAAAATCTCTCCTTGTAAGTACAAAAATCTTAAATAAAGAATTTGATTACATTATGCATTATACTCGTATATTGAAGTCATTCTAACTGTTATAAATTATATTTTGATTGTATGTACGCATTTTTTATTTCATCTCTACCCTGTCTTTACTCATAAATCTTCGTGTTCAATCATTATTAGCATAACTGTTACGTTATCGCCACTTTGTTTACGAACAGCTTCCTTTGCAAGTTGGCGGCAAACAGCCGCATGACGCCGAACGACTATTGACTTCTGGCTCATTTGTTTCGTTTGTTCATCATCTAATATACAAAAATGTAGTATAATTACGTTTATGTGAGAATTTCGCCTTCAGAATACTTAATTCTCTACCATTGTTTGGAATTCCAAAATGTTCATCCTGAAAGAATATAATAGCAAACCATGCAATGAAATATTACCGGAAGCCATAAAGGAAGAGAAATAAAAAACTTATAATAATTATAAAAGGGAAAATATATTAAGAGATTAAGTTTAAATCGGACAGTAGTATCAGAGTATGTGTCTAAAAGGCGAATAAATTTACCTGCAATAACGAATCAACGTAGGATATCGCTTCATCAACACCAAATGACTTCCACAGTCCATCGCAAGCAATAACAACGAATCTAGTGTTAAATTATGGTCATAAAAAGTGGTGGTGTTATGGATTACCAAAAAAGCTATATTTAACATCACAATGAAAGCATAAGACAACGAATTAGTCAATACTTGTCATTCTTTGTTAGCGTGCAGCGTTTAACGTCGGGGATGCATGAAACTCCGCAATGTTTGAAGCGGCCATCGCCAATTGATCGAGCTACTTCTAAGATACCCATTACTCTGCCATCTCTAGAGTACATATCAGAACAAACCAATTCGTTGAAGCATAATGTAAAGTTGATTCCTGTAAATTATATTATATCAAACTGAACGTAAATAATATTATATACTTTACAAAACCACCACATTTTTGTATTCTCATCCGTTCCTCGTACTAATTATGATAAATAAGATTACATGCAGCTTATTAGTATTTATATTCCTCTTCTATAGTAAATTAAAATAAAAAAAAATTCAATCGAAATAACAAATATTATCTAAAGCGTTTCTGTAAAAGAATTGCAATGACATTCCTATTTACGTACATCTGTTGGCGTTTGATCTTTAGTTAATCTTAACGCTGTTACTTTTCCATCGTCTGTATATCTACACAATACGGCCTATGAAAAAAATATACGTTCATGAACAAGAATCATTGCTGATTGAGTATGACCCATCTCTTTTGATCTCAAATTGAATGATTTTCGTAGGAAAAGGTGTTTACAATACTTACTTTACTATCACCAAGATTTGCAATATATAGCACATTATCGACCACTAATACAGTGCTAGCTGTAGATCCATCTTTCCATGTTGGTGTACTAAAGTAAATGTTAAAAGCGAAGCTCGCTTAAGTATATTGAAAGAACATTATGCAATCGCAATTCTTGACTAAATGGCTATTTCGATCGTAGCAATGTTTGTGTGCGTATTTGAAAGAAAACCATTCACTTTACAAGTAGCAATCGTTACTTAGTTTTAACGTTATCTTAAGCGTTTATTCATGGTCATTTAATACATCTAAGCAAATTATGTATAGTATTGTGTTAATATACTGTAAGATTCATTTAGCTATAGTATCATTCTATCCTTAACTATTCATAGTAGTGTATACCACATTAGAACTAATACTATCAGTTGCTTACGCAGCTGAGGCCAGTTGTAAGAATGCATCATCAGTTTTTTTAAATGCATCAGTCAGGCACATTTTAATCTCTCTATCCTTGTTTGCCACTTTTCCTGCAAGCAGGGTATAAAAATACTTAGCTAGGTAGTTCATGTTTAGGTATTATCTTTTTGCGTGATTATTAAAACATCACCCACACAATGCGTAATGCGATTAGTGTGCAACAGTGATGGTATTTTGTGTAGTCAAGATATGAAATCGAATTACCTTTTGGATACATTTGTACGATCAATTTATGTAAATTTTCCGCAGCATATTGTGATGCTCTTTTTCCTGCATGACCATCGAATATTCCATAGAATCCTAATTTATCTCTGGATGAAAGGACAGGTTGAGTTAACTTTAACCTCCTTAAAGTCGGTCTACGAGAGATTTTATTAAATACTGTATAAAGTTAAATCAACGAAGTAATTGTATTACGCATTTTTAGGCTTTTCATCGAAGCAACCGGTGAGATCATCTTGGATGTAATATGCATCCTGCATTTCATCCCTTTCTCCTTGCATTTCACCGATATAGCCAGTTAATGAATAAGTAGTTGTACCGACTGTATTTATCGAAAATAGAACCGTTACGTATTTAATATAAGGGGTTTCTTTTCAATTATTGATAATAAATCAGTAAAGTGCAAAAAATGTGTAGGAGAGAAGTGCTGAATAGTAATTTAATTCCTTCGTTATTAAAACAGATCTTACCACTGGCTTGACGTTTGCAATTTACAACATCATTGTCATTTTCTAACTTTCTCTTTGCGGTGTTACTATTCGTATCGCTTTGATCGGTTGTCGTTTGATTGTTGGATGATTTAGTAGAATGAGTTTCCTGCTGCTGATCACTAGTAGTACCTAGGCATGAAAATTTGATATTGCAGTCAAACAGAATGACAATAATTGTCATGATAGTTTATTCAGTTATCGCAAGTCAACCATGAAGGATAGAAATAGAGCGTACCTTAATTTTAGAAGTACAGTAAACTTAACTTTGAACTAAACTAGCAATACATTCATTGAGCATTTGGTCCATTTTGCTGTTTTACTTGACAAGAAGTTTTTCTAACACCGTACAGTATCTGAGAATTTCTTTATCATCTACTAGTATATTATAAAGGATAACAGGCTAGAGTATCCATTTTAGTCTAGTATGAATGAGTGTTGTGCGTAGCAGTTAGGTTTAACTACAAAGTCTGACTTAATTACTGTATCAATTAAGCAAAGAGTAAATGTACATCAATCTACAGTATTCGAAGTGGTAGAGTAGTATTGAATCCATGGCAGGCATTTTCTGTATAGCTGTTGTGTATGCAGTGTCCGCGTGAATGATAACTACTCATTGATGGTGTGACTTTAATTTGTCTACCATACAAGAGGACTATGCATGTAGACTAGCATGTACAACTGTCCACAATACTGTACTCGCATATATATAACTATGTTGTGAAGACAGTAACAAACTTTGTAGAAATGTGCATCTTAGTTAGTGCAGTGTTGGATTATAATTCATGACAATGGATTATCATTCTATCACATCTATATTATAGATAGTAATAGCCTCTTACTCTAGACTCAATAGACTACATATTGATTACTGTGACATGCATTATGTCTAGTAAGGAAATAAGAAAAGACTCTCCACTATTGAGTCCGATTCTTACATGATTTCGGTGCAGGCAGATCACCAAAGAGATCCATGGTTGATGAGAGCTTCTGCAATCGCTTTTCTCTTGCTGCACTTTTCTACACTCTAATGGCAAAGGAAGCAAAGCGTTTCCAATGACTCTGCTATCTAGCCGCAGGCCTACAGTGCACTGAGTGTCTCTTACAATACATTGTAGTGTACTATACAGTACAGTACTGTAAAAAGTCTTTTTTTTACATTTTATTATACTGTAACTGTACAGTATCTCTACTGTATAGTATGATATACAGTACAATCAAATCAAATCAAATGATACCAAATTTGTCTAATAAGGACTTGAAATTCTAATTTTAAGTCATTTCAAACAGTGGGAAAGACTTATGAGACACCTGTGTACGTCCAGTCCAGTCCAGTAGGGTCAGTTCTATTCACTGTACTGGATACTGTATTGTTCAACTAGCTTTTGGCCATGACAGTATAGAGAAAGTCAGACTGACAGACGCGCTGGCGACTTATCTCTACAGTATGATAGACGCTACCGGTTATAAGTTTGGAAATTTGTACACGATCATCGAATGCGAACTACGACATAACGTCTTCTCATTTTATGCCAGTTCATACCTGTAGTGATGTGCCCATATTTGATGATACAGATAGCTATATTTGATCGAATGAAACTGAATGGAGCTTGTGAGATGATCAGATTTCTAGAGTGCGATTTCCTACTGCACTGTACTGTACTGTACCGTACGTCTAGTCCAGTCCGGTACAGTATGTTCTATGGTACTCTATAGTACAGTACTGTACAGTACTGTACTGTAATGTTCAACTAGCTTTTGGCCATGACCGTATCGAGAAAGCCAGACTGACAGACGCTACGAGTAGGACAGTAAGCTGTATGCGACTTATCTCTACAGTATGATAGACGCTACCGGTTATAAGTTTGGAAGTTTGTACACAATCATCGAATGCGAACTACGACATAACGTCTTCTCATTTTATGCCAGTTCATACCTGTAGTGATGTGCCCATATTTGATGATACAGATAGCTATATTTGATCGAATGAAACTGAATGGAGCTTGAGAGATGATCAGATTTCTAGAGTGCGATTTCCTACTGCACTGTACTGTACTCAAGTCCGGTACAGTATGTTCTACGGTACTCTACAGTACTGTACTGTACTGTACTGTTCAACTAGCTTTTGGCCATGACCGTATCGAGAAAGCCAGACTGACAGACGCGACCAGTAAACAGTAAGTTGTATGCCGACTTGTCTAGTCTCAGTCATTATTGGAAATATGACCGTGGTACTGTGCTGGATACTGTACACTATTCCACACTTAATACACATGATTCTATCGGCAGTCCCCTGCTGAACAAACACTCTTGACTGACTGCAATCATGTCGTATTGACGATTCTTCCTTTCCCAAAGCATTTATTGAATCCAAAGATCGACTAAGCAGAAATAGTTGGATATGAATCATTGCCGGTTATTGGCAATCTTTGTATCGTTTTTTTTTCTCTTTTTAATTCAATGTTTCATTGTGATAGCATCGCCCAATCCTTACCAAGTCTTACAGGTCCATCGAGATGCCAGTCAATCGGAAATTCGTCGTGCCTTTAAAAAATTAGCACTGCAATGGTAAGTTTTCCTTTTGTACTGTATATTGCGTTGGATGGATCCTTTTGACTTGATATGATTCATTCTATCTTTATACTTGATAACGATCCAATCTGTTACTTAGACTAGCTATCATCCATTAGCTTTACCATCATTCTACTGTATATCCTATTTGAAATAGCATTTTGAATGCAGCTTGTCTCATGTGGATGCTACCTTGACTATCCTCCAATGCAATATGACATACACTATAGGACACTATAGTGCAGCATAGTATCATACAGTTGATTCTTATTGAAATCGAAAGGACTACATTGCAGCCTACTCTACGGGCTTAAACTAGCTTGCATCACTCTTGACAAGTTTTTCAATCCATTTATTACATCATCGATAACATAGGAAACAAAATGGAATCCAGTAGACTCTGCAGGGGAATATCAAAAGTTAGATGAACATCACCTTCCTTTTCACCGCGAAAATTGTTATAGAAAGTATATACAGTATAAAGTATGGAAACGATCCCACAATTTCCATCAATGCAAGTCATTGATAGACGAGTATAGTGCGATGGCAGGAATTGATTATAATTAATATCTGTCATTATTGTCTTTCAATATTTCTTTTGCAATCATCATCAGCGCTACTTCAGGTCCGAATAATTGTAGCATGGTAGACTAGTAAAACGTGGATTACAAACTTGACCGGTTTGAAAGAATCAAAGTATTCTACTTTATTTATCCATGATCATGCTGTCTATCATGAATCTAATACATACCGCTCTATTCGTCCAATATTAGAAAAATTGGGATAGATGACGGTATACCTGTGCTGTATGCGTCGATTAAAATGAATTTATAAGTTGAAGGATAGATCGCACCAATGACTCACTGTTATCAACTAGTTTGCATGTTGTCCAATCCAGTCATGAATGCCATTCTACGCAGCATTGTATATTGAATCATCTAGCGAGTAAATCAAGATCGATAATATTTATAAATCACGATATCGATTTATCTTCATTGTTACATTAGCCATAAATCACTATTCAATAGGATTATACTTTAAATATAGTTTTACTAACTATGTTAAGTCAACTTTAATTCAAGATGAAAGTTGATCATCAATGTATAGAGACTAGTCACGTTGATTGTTTGCTGAAGCCTAATATCTTAAACCATTTCAATCTTCCATTATGATTATTTTATATGAAAGGCATCCTGATAAAAATGAAGATCCTCATGCTCAAAATAAATTTATCGAAATCAAGAATGCCTATGAAGTAAGTTATCCCTTTGATGACTAATGTATAAAGTAATGTATTCCTTTCTATTAAATATGCTAATTATGCGACGAGATGCGTAACGTTTTACTGTGGAAACTTGCAACATTGACTTCGACAATACTTATTGTTATCTTAAACCAATTTTGTTGTACTGTATTTATAACTATCATGTGTTGAATCAATAAACACCGGATGAAATAATTACTTGCCTTAACGACATGGACGTTGCATTTTGTTATTAACAACTAGTTCTAAAGTATTATTTCTACTATCAATGTCCTGTTTATCATTCAAGCAGTTCTTTTTAATTATTCAAAAAAATATAGAAATGCATCAGTTTACTTGTTTTCTGTCATTGGAGAAATGTAATATTCTTTTAAGAGGATGTTTTGATACTATCATAGAATCTATTATACGAGTATGCAAAACAAAAAAAGATATAATAAATACAACCCTTAAGCTAACGTAAATGTATCTATCTTATTATTATTAGATTCTATCTGACAAAGAAAAACGCGCTGAATTCGATCGATTTGGTTATGTACGAGATGATGGGTCAGCCCGACATGAAAGAGGACAACGAAATCCATTTCATCAATTTGCGATGAATGATGACATCTTTTCATTTATGTTCCAAGATGGCTTTGATAACACTGAAGAAGATCATATCATTGATACAGTTAATATGTATCAATTTAAGACTGAAATATTACCCAACAGCAATTTCAAGCCTTACGTTTTAGAAATTTTCTCAAATTTTTGCCTCAAATGTTTAATGATACAATCAACATGGGTTAATATAGCTAAAGAATTAGAATCTATCGGTTTGGGAACTGGACAAGTTAATTCCGATCGTGATTATGCTTTAATACAGTACTTGGGTAAGTCGGAGTATAACATTATGAATCATAACCAACACTAGTATCAGCCTTGATCAATAATAAAGGGAACCATAAACTTGATATAAAGAGTTGAATACTTTGTAACCACACAATGACTGTATGAAGTTATGGATTACTAGAATACTATAGTAGCAGTCTATAGTGAAGTACAGTATGCGAATAGAGATATGTTATGCAAAATTATACTAGAATTGTTACCATACGGATCTATTTACGTACCTGGATTAGTTTTAGCCATACATTTTTAATACTCGAAATAAAATATAATATTAGGTGTTACGGGACTACCCAGCGTTTATGTAGTTATGGAAGAAGAAATATTCAAATATACAGGTGAATTATCGAAAAAAATGTTGCGCAATTTTATCCACGATTTGTTGCCGACTCACTTAATTGAAAAGGTATGTATATGCTAAGCATACGTAAGTTTTATCGGCTGTAATATATACCGTTAGCCTACACTAAAACATTTTGGAATGATAAATAATTAAATACTGAAATGAAGTAAAATTTGCAAGTTACAATTATGTAACTAAATGAATAAATCGGGAAGCTATTGTAGTTTTAGTACTGGGAATGTTCTACAGCTGTATCACGAATTAAACAGAACCTTACAAATTATAATTTTTTTTAACGTATTTTGCCTTATGATAGGTAGAAAATTTCAGTACGTTAACCTAACACTTGCCTTTATGCATAATTTTCATTAGGTCACAGACGAGACAAATTCAACTTTTTTCGAACAAATTAATAGACCAAAATTACTTTTATTTTCATCACGACCTAACCCCTCACTAAAACTTTCATTACTTGCGATGGAATTTCAAAATTACGTCAAATTTGGCATGGCATCCCTCGGTAGCGAGAATAATAAATTAAGAGAACAATTTAACGCCCATCCTTCAGATCCAACCGCATTTCTGTTTAAAAGAAAATCAACTTATACCATTCAAAATTTTACTGGTAACGATATTACTTTATATGCAAAATATACTATTAGTATATCTATTAATGACTTTTTAAGTTAGATTACTTATGTTATTACGATATTGTGTTTTTCTTACTGATATTTCCTACGGAGGTTGTTAGCTCGATAAAATACAGGTATTTCTGTTGCTATCCTTATACCATCATACTATTTTTATAGGCGTCGGATATGAAGGCTGGAGCTTTACACAAATTGGTAGAAGATAATAAATATCTAAATTTGCCTAGGCTAGAATCACACACCATGTTTTATGACTTATGCAAAGAGAAATCAATGTAAATTGAAATTTTGTAATACAATCACAACCTCCATATGTCTTAATCTTTAAATTACAATTCTTGTTTACGCAGTAATGAAGTAATATGTTATTGTTGGATAAAGACTAAGCACTATTGTGGTTGGGTTTATTTGCTTTTTAGAATATGTATTATCCTATTTATTGCCGATTCAACAGTCGATAAAGAGACCATGAAGCGTGTTGAAGAAATTATGACAGACGATAACGTTAATATTGATAATGTTCGTATGGCTTACGCTTCAGTAAAACTGCAAGGTGCCTTTTTTAATTCATTTGATATGAAAAAATTATCGAAATCAACGGATGAATGTACAAGTGTTTACCATGACAAGGTAACTACTTGTCTAACTGTAACTTGACTAAGCGTTTATATTGCTTTTTACTTGGCTTTCTTATCACTTGTTTTGTACTCTTTCATTAGGTTTTATTTTTAAAGAGATTGGAAGACGATGAGGCAATATATGATTGGTACGAAGATGGCTGGTGTGTTAGCTCATCTAGCACCCGGGACTTGATTATGAAAGCCAGAGCATATGCAACTTCTAAAAATAAGATGACATCCAAGACTATACTCTCGAAATTAGTTGATGAAAATGCTCCGGTAAATAAACACGCTGCTCTATAATTTAACAAGGTTTAAATTAGTAGTTATATCGCATGAATTGTTCTATGTAATAATTTTACTCCTCAAATTATCTGTGCTGCTCGCATTTTAAGTTGTATACATTAACCTCTTTTATTTAGGGTATATTTGGTCGAATGCAGAATTCTATCAAGTTCGCAACAAAAACACTCAAGCGTCTTCCTAACTATATTTTCAGGTTTTCTATTCATTTCACATAGTACTTAATAATGATATTAATACGGATTATTATCTCTTGTTACGCAAAATTTTATTTACGTTCATAATCTTGTCATAGTATTGTGTACCTTCCTCATCACTTCATTCGTTACTACGCAAGTTATACTGTATTAAGGTGGTTAGGCAGAGACTGGTATAATGTTATCATTAACAAGTTAGGTATAATAATCAGTCTGGTGTACGTTATTTTTCGAGATACACGCCTCTAGTAGCGAGAGCTGTAATGTTTTCAATTATTACTATTATTAATTGTAAGGTTCATAATCATTATTATTATTATTAATCATAAATAAAGAAATCATTTTAATTTCAGCGAAAGATTTGTACTTGTAAATCCGAATGTAAACATTTTGCCTTTTTTCGTTGGAATAATTTTTATACTTAGCAATTCCCTGACTGCACTTGTATTTTTCAGAATTGAAGCACTACCTTTTTTTATGATACCAATGCTTTGTATTTTCGTGGCAAGTTTGACCTCTTTAGTAGGACCAGATCTGCCGTAAGTAGTTTAATGCTTTCGTGCAATAAGCAAATTCTGTAAATAATTAAATATTCTAATGTTTCTATATGGTAGCAATCATGACATAAAGCGAAAGAAAAAGAGAGAGAAAGCAAAGCTACATTCTGAAACTGCTTCATTTAGAATACCGCAGTTATCCTATAGAAACGAAGATGATTTAATCCATGACGCACGCCATGGCCATCTTACTATGTTAATTTTACTGCAAGAGACTAACAATGAAGATGCTAGGAATTCTCCTTTATTTAAAACGTTTGCATCAGTTATGAATATTCACAGGTACAGTATGGGGCTTGCAGTCTTCATTTAAACAAGTATTTAACGACTGTATGCTACCAAATTTTGTTGATCGATTACAATTGGGAATCTTTTTTTGAGATGTAATCTTTTTGTGGTAAATACTTTCTTTAGACGAGAATTTTTATCCTTGGGATGCTGCTGGCTGTCGTTGACAGCGCATAAAAATTGGTGCTGGAAATTATTAGCAGAAATAACACCCATTGATGAATCATTAACTGGCTGTGTTCTTGCTATTAATGGCTATCGACAATATTTTATGTTTTTAAAATTATCCGGGATTAACTCATTAAAACAAAATGATAATGATGCTAATGATTGTGGTGAATTTCTTGGCCTGGAAGACGTAGATAATGTGAAAGTTAGGGCTAAACAACTTCGACATAAACTTCCTGATTGGATTGGAAGACTACGAGATGGTTCACTTACACGATATTCAGTAGAAATTTGGCCTAAAATATCGATTTTAGATGAGTTATGAGGCATGTTAATGGAAATAATTTTCAATGATATGTTCCTATGTTAATATGCAATTATTAAATTAGGGAAATAGATCGTTTCCCTTATCTTTATAGTAATTCTTAGGCATACGGCAAAAATGATATTGTATGCCTGGCTGTAGTATAACGTAAATGAATACTGGAGCCAGAATATTTAGGCAACTAATTTTTAATATTATTGTTGGTAGATTTTTGACATTATTGATCGAATATAGTAAACAGTGTATCATCTGCTAATAACAGCGATAGACTGATTTGCACCCTTTTTTAAAATATACACGTACAGTAAAGAAGTAAAATATTCGATGTTTACACAGACTGTACCACAATATCGGTGTATTATTATTATTATAGCAGAAATTAATTAAATGATTTACATCGACGGCCTACTACTCCGGAACAATGACTTAACTTATAATGCTTTCTATCATCAATATTATATTCAACACTAGCGTATACCGATACACGTCTAATTTAATGAATTACCTTACTAATGAAGAAGTAAATATGTTTAGATTAAATTTATTAGGATTTATTGTCTTGTTATTATTGGGTATTCGTCTGTTATTTATAGTAATCCAATCTTTCAATCTAAATCTTTTTATAAGTATACTGTATTAGCTATCATGATTGATAATTATATATATATATATATGTATATATAATTAATTGTTATATATGCAAGGTTATGAACAAAAGCATATGTTATTATTGAATTGACTTGGCGTCAGTTTAGCCGCGGTATTGTTAATGCTATTTCAGTTTGTATCATTTTATTATAATAACACGGTCACAAGCAAGAGATCGGTAACCCTTGTACTAGTTTTTGAGTCATAACTTTATCTGTTTACGACAGCAAGTTACTGCATTTTATACACATGTGCATAAGTATCAGAGAAATACCTGATCGGGATCTACAGTTCTTATATCATGCATTTACCTCTGTGTTTGAAATAGATATTCTGCAATGTATTAGTACTGTATCTGTTCAATTAATTAAAAACTTATCCGAAATCGCGCAACTTTTGCTGTTATATTGTATTATGATTTATCAGTAGTTTTTAGATGTAAATAGTATTACTTAGGTAGGAAATAACGACGTAATTGGGCTGGTTTTAGCGTATTAAGGAATCTTTCAAGATGATTGGCTATCGACAGTTTTATGATATAAGCCGCATCAACCATAGTGGTACTTAACTGCTTCTTGCTACTGTATAAACATATTTGTCACTTTAATTGGATGTCATCTTCCTAGCATATTCTATAATGATACCATTGCTTATAAGCTCAGTTTCATCTTTTTTTTATTTTCAAAGTTTGAAAAATACTAAACTCAAAATTGTATGGTTACTGAATATAGTACGTTCGGCACAGACTATGTGCAGGATTAAATCATCCATTCTTTTAGTTTACATTGCATGACTATTTCAAATATAATTATAATGAATCGGTTTGGTTAGAAGGTAGCATAACTTTTAATTCCTTCGTTACTTATTTTAGCTAGCACTGTTAGCATAACGAAGAATTTACTATATTACAAAGCTATAAAGCGTACAGAGTAGAGAAATTGAAGAATCAAAGAAATTGTACAATATTGGTATCTTGTGTTTCGAAACAGCATCATAAAATCGATGTTATGCAAGTTTATCAACTATTATTGCTTATAGGACTATTGGCAGCTTTATCACTGCTTAGTGATTGATGGTAAATGACATCATCGCTTTAAGCTATTAACTATCTTAAGAATAAAAGGCTACTGATATAGTCCAAAAGAAGATTTTTATTCTTTTAAATACAACTTTATATACAGTACTAATAACCTGGTGTAATTGTTAATAGCTTCGGTACATTATCCGTTTTACAAATGTAAATTGTTTATGGTTTAGCTTTCGTTGTCTTTTCGATTCTCGAGTTTACTGCTTTTACCATCGAGTTTAGGTTCTGATTTTTCTTTCGATTTTGTCTTAGCTGCCTTTTTATGCTTTTTGATAGTTGCAACAGCATTAACCTTCACACATATGCTAACTGGATCTAATAGCTTATCTAGGAACGGTGGATTCGTCACTTCACGAATAGTAATAATATAATCGCCTAATTATAGTTAAGAAAATCAAGGAGATTAGAAACGAATTGTAGATTTATTCCATTCAATATGGGTATGATATTTATATATTGCGTCTTGTCTATTTAGAGTTTCCAATCCTTTCTATCTTATAATTGAAATACATACATACTAATTCTTAATTATTAGTAATTGACTAGTTATAGTTATAAACTGTGAACTTTAAAATTTTTCCCGTGCATCTAGTGGTTCATGTTTTAAATAAACTGTAGTAATGTATGGTATACGTGCTGATATGCTGTCGCTATTTAAAATTGTTATTCTACCTGGTAGACAATATTTTTCCTCTGGTGATATAACTCTTGACGATTTTTCAGCTCTTTTATTAGCATCCTCTTTATTGCTTTCCTTATTAAGTAGATCATTGGAACCTGAACTTTGTTTCTTTTTTAAGACACTTTTCTCTTTCATCACGGTAGTTTGATTATCAGATCGAACTTTAGATCGAGGTAACCCAACCGATGATTGTCTCTTACGACGTTTAGTTTCACCTTCGGTTTTATTTTCTGCATCATTTGCCTCCCCTGAGTTTTCATTATTACCGTAGCCTAGCATGACTTTAATATGTTGTGGGGCTGGAGGTAAAAGAAGGTTGGTAAAACTCCCTCTCCCACCTTGTGTTCGGATATTACTAACAGATGGATAAAGATTAGCTACTAATTTGTTATTAGCATCGGTATCAGCAGTACCATCTTGATTTAATGGTATTGATGGGTTGTTTTGTATATTAGAATTAGACGAAGAGGTAGTAACTTCCGATGATTTGCCATTTTTACTTCCTAAATGAAGCCATTAACAACAATATCAATATTAAACTATATAGTTTAATAAGTAACACAGTAGAATCTTGTAGATACTTACGAGATTGCTGCTGTTTCGAGTTATTACCATTGCTTTGAGTATTTTGCGGAGAATCAGCTTGATTATATAGCGATGGTGTAAGAGGTGCAGTAGGACTAACTGGAGAATTGAATTGTGATGTTGTGTGGGATGGTGATTGTTCTAAATCAGTTAATTTCAAATTTTGAACTTTTTTAAGTTCTTGATGATCATTTTTAGCCAACTGTTCATCAGATTGAGTAGCGTTCAAACTATCTTCTCCTTTATTCTGATCGTTGGCTTCTTCGTCTTCTAAGGTTTCCACAACGTATGATATTGGATAAGATTCTGTCTCAATGCTGTCAGTTATTCATATGCAGGAGAATATACAATATAGAAATGGATTAGACGATAATTTAGTATTTGCTACTAAATAAGGGAGGAAATTCTTTAAAGTTATTGATCAATTTTTATATTACTAGTCTCGAAAAGTAATGCCGGTAGTTATTACGAGATAATGTGGTTCATAGCATCAGCAGATAAAGTATAGTTGTGTATATAGTGTTAGCTAATGACTGATTATTTCCTATTAATAATAAAAAATTCTACAGTATAGTATTAAATTTAGCAATTTATATTATTAACATGAATGTGTATATTTAAGGCAACATGCCATTCTAATTTAACGACTGATAATTGACTAGGATATCTAACATCTAACAGCTTGAGTATTTTTAATTATGATATATTAAAGAACATATTCAAATGTTTTAACATTTTTACTTCATTTCGAAAATGCGTATGGAAATTGTAAGTAATTATCCATAAAGCATGGATGATATGACAACCCCCTCTCCAAAAAAATAGAAAACTAATAATCTTGATTATTAACTTTACCTTGGAGTTGTTTTTTCTGCCTTTTCTTTCTTAATCGATTCATTTTCAATAATGGGTTGCATTTGATTTTCCTCAGTGAAAGGTTTCTTAATGGCCGCTGTGATTTGAAGTAAACGGCCAGTATCTAATGTCATGAAATGTCAAAGCACACCAGATATGAACGTATTAATAATTGATCTCAGTTAAGATTTAATTTTACATTTAAGTTAGGAAATTGATTATATTAGTACTATTTCAACAGTACGCTATAGGTTTACTGACCCTGTGTAGGCTCTCCTTCATCGGTTAAACACATTATTTCAATATTGAATGGACTACCTTGACTAATTTCAATATTATCGTCTCCAAGGATAACTAATTTGTGAGTTTCCACTAGAAGAGACAATATTTCTATGTTATACACCGATGATTTACTTTAATATTATTTTATTTAGAATTTCAGCGTCCTTATAACCATTATAATCTACTAAGATACCTGATGGCCGGCCACCAATCCACATGCCTTCATAAATTACTCCGGAAGAATGCTGCATTCCACCTAGGCCATGAAATCGATCATTACGCCATTGCCCCTAAGAATTCAATTTTAAATTATGACTGTGTTCCTTCTTTATCAAATCAATGCAAAATTTAGCTGTATCAATTCTGCTATTTACGGACGATGTGGAATTAATTATCATTGCACTACTCGATCAATTAAATCATATCTATTCTCGGTGGAATAGAAATGTCATTAAATCAATCAAACAAGCTAACACTTGTGGTAAATTTATTAGACCTCGTAGATGCTGCCATCTGTACTTCTTAATACACCATGTCCTTGGCGCAAGCCAAGGATCCAGTCGCCTTCATAACAATCACCATCGCTAAAGAATAAAATAACATCCAAGAAATAAATAGATTATATGAGTTTCGGGCATTCCTATATTGTTCTTAAATGGCTTATAATTGAAGCTGTATGTTCATGATGAAATCGTTACCCGTAGACTTGAGTACCACTCCCGTGCCTTTTATGATTATAGAACATTCCTTCGTAGATATCACCATTTTTGGTGGTTAACGTTCCATTTCCTAGGTAGATAAATTGTCAAATTGCAATCAAGAAATGGTCGATTTTGGCCAATCTCTCGCATGCATTTGAGATGAATTATTGGCATACCTTCTCTTAAATTGTAATGCCAGTCGCCTTCGTAGCTTCCTCCATCTGCATAACGCATAATTCCAATGCCATTAATTTCACCCTTATCAAACTCTCCAGTATAGCTGTTGCCGTTGGACCACTTTCGAAATCCTGCACCATCCATTTCTCCATCTTTAAATTCTCCTTCATAGTATCCACCATCACTCATAATTAACTTTCCGTGGCCTATAAATATTGATTGCATTAAATTAGAAAGTGTTTCATTCAGTTGAATGGACAGATATTGTACTGTATTCAGTAGCATCACCAATTATGGCGACTAAGACGTTATGAAATCTCCAGTAATAATTGAAATGGAGTTACGATTTAAAATTAATCCATTACCATGTTTTTTGCCATTATGCCAGCCACCTTCATATTTAAAGAAACGATTCTTGTATGTGTATATACCAAATCCTATACCGATAAAAAGGATGATATAAAATTTGTATAACTGATAATTGAATGCATACTTAGACCATTTTACCAATGATTGGCTTTTAATAAAACAGTTTAGCAGCAACTATTTCACACAAACCACTAACAGTATCGGATCATCCAATGTATACTTTTATAAACTAAATCATTACACCACAGGTTGACTCTCAATAAACAGTTTAGCAGCAAAAGTTTCATATAATCGCTAGCAGCGATTATATGAAACAGATAGAAATAAAATGGCTATGACTCATTACATTTGAACGCATACCGGTACTGTATAGAGTGATCATTATCTGGAATGTTCGCATAAAATATACAGTATATGGATGATGCTAATTGTTACGCTTAATATATGGATATTTAGTTATTGCAGTTTCAATAACATATAGAAGATTCACTAAAGTAATGGTAGAAATAATAATTGTGATCATTGAAATTTCAATCCATCATATATATGAAAGACGTCAATATCCATTTAAGCATACTGTAAGGTAAACTAAATATCGTACAGAAAGTTTATTAATTATGGGGTAACTGGTTAAGAATAATAATTTTAGTCACTTAGATTTATTATAATCTTACCATGGCGGAGCTGATTCTTCGTTTCGCCAACATACTCATTAGGACGATTGATTCTCTCTTCATTACCTTTCCTATTTTTAGATAACCTATCTATATTTGTTCTTGAACGTTTAATGATTTTATTTTTTGTTGCAGTTTCCATCACTATAAATGATTAAATTAAAAGTGGAGAATATAGTGTAAGTAAATGATTGGTGATTGATAGTCATTTATCATGGTATAGTAATACTATCGTGTTGAATTGTTTGTAAATAATAGTAATAACTATCAATTTAAAACTGCTTAGGTAGCAGAAAATGCTAGCTAAGATAGGTAAAAATCGATCCAATATTTATCTGGAGTTCACTTTACTCGAACGAACAATTTTAATAGCCTATAATGTGGTAAATTAGAACACAATCGAAGTGACCAAGCTAATGACTAAAATTTCAAGCCTACTATTTCATATTGGATTAATTGTTGTAGCAAAGTGAATAGATTAAGACGACAATGTTATGATGGCGCTAGAATGATCTACTAAAAAAGTCTATTGCTTTGCATATAGAGATGTTAGATGAATGATGCTTGTAGAATAACGTATAGATAAATAGAATTAACGAATTTATAATTTAACCTTTAAGGGAGCTGTTGGATACGACTATGTGATGATGGCGCTAGAATGATCTACTAAAATAATCTATGCATTTGCATGTCGAGATGCTGAATAGACGATGCTTGGAGGATAGCATATAAATAAAATTGACTGATTTGTAATTAACTATCCAGAGAGCTATGGGATAAAGATATCGGAGACAGAGATATAGACTAACCTGGTTGCATTCTCTATACATGTAAATTGTTCATGGAATAAAGTGCATAGCTCTTATTTACACTTGTGGTATAGCAACTTGATAGTGAATAATTCTACCTTATCGTATTGCATGGATACGGTGATCTTATTACTCTTGCTGTACGTTATACAGACATACTGTACATCAGGTTACCTACCTAATTGCCTGTCCAACCCATACAAGAGTTTCAATGTGATGCTTTAAGCAATAAAAATTGATATAATTCTACTGTAGCCTCTCTCTATGTAGTCCAGAACTGATAGTATATACTAGTATTTTGAAAGATTGATAGGCAAGCATTTTATTTTGTATGGTTGCTAGGATACGTTGTTTTGCAACATGGCTTATCCGAGTAAGTCAATTTGTTGGTATGGTAGTGGGGTTGCACTTAGAACGTTAGTATTACGTAAGTTGATTATGTTGGATAAAAATGAGAAGGTGCTGAGTAGGCAAATAATGGGGTAGTAATATAAAAAATGGACAACGAGAACTAGTATCGTAGGAAAAGTATTACGTGAGTTGATTGTGCTGGATAAAAATGAGAAGGTGTTGAGTAGGCAAATAATCGGGTAGTAATATAAAAATGGACAACGGGAACTAGTATCGTAGGAAAAGTATTACATGAGTTGATTGTGCTGGATAAAAATGAGAAGGTGTTGAGTAGGCAAATAATCGGGTAGTAATATAAAAAATGGATAACGGGAACTAGTATAAAGTTACTGAACCTCGTAAAAGATGTTAAATGAGCACATTATCGTAAACCGTCAGTAAAGCGACGGGAGTTTGCACTAGTACTCCTTATTTGATTTGCATAAGAGGAACAATTACTCATAATTGCGAGTCTTTATTCAGTCATGTTTATCTAGTAACAAAGACTGACATGACTCAATCCTTTCTCAGAATGTCTTGATCTATCTTTATTTCAAGTTGATGCGCTAATTCTACGCTAATGTTAACTGATTGATGTCTTGTTATAGTGTGAACAACATATGCGGGTTTATTTTCAATGGCTATGGTTGCATTTTACTGTATGGTGCAGTCATCGAGTAGCTCGATTTATTTAGATATTGATTTTTATTTAATATAACACATTATCTATTAGCTGACATATTGCCGCATTAACTTGGTGATTTGTAAATTTTATATGCATATAAATTTAGTATTCATTTCGTAGCATAAATATTACATTTCTAGCTGATATTCCACCGCTTGGTATTTGACTATTCGATAATTTTATATACTTGTTATACGACACGGATTCAAAAAACTAATGAGATGTTAGATAACTGATGTTACTCATTAAGTTGAGCTTCTTTCAACTGATCAACCTTTTTGCTGGTTATTCAGATCCAAATTGCTGTCCATCTATTGGTACGCTATCATTGTCTATTACGTAATTTTTGCGGTAGGTTAGGTGTCGCGTATTTAATCATATTCAAGCCAATCTTTGCTATATGTATTAAACATATTCTAAATACATATGTATATAGATATAAATTATCGGAATGCGGATATTAATATGCCCTTTTTTTATAACATACATTGTTATGCTACAATATTGGTATTTCGTACATGGTGAGCATTTAGTTTATTCCTTGTATATTTATTACCGGTACTCAGGAATATAGATGGTGCTTTTAAAACGCATCCATGACGCACCTGGTAGTCTAGTCAGCTTTTATGGATTGCATGCTGTAGAAATACTCGTCCATCAAGAAATAATCTCTTTTTGCCCCTTGTTTGTAGCTGTACAACTACATCGATATACAATAATGCATTAGTATATGTGCTCTATTCATATTGTATCTACTAGGTCATTTTTTTGTCCATTGATACTCCAAAATGTGGATATTAATATACTTTTAAGGTGCACCTCTATATATGTATACGAGTTGAACCGGCTTTACAACAAATAGTGCGAATACACCTATATCAAGAAACGTTCTGTTTTTGATTTCCTTTTTGGTGGTTGTACGAGAATATGTTGATGCTTCTGTAAATAATATACCAAGAAGCCTTTTCCTTTTTGTCTGCGTATTTGTAGTAGAGGCTTTTCCTCTTTATCTGGATATTTGTACAGTAGTAATAAGAGAAAATATTGATGCGTCTATGGATAATATATCAAAAAGTATTTTTTGGCAATCTTCGTATTTGTAGTGAGTTAGACGAGAATATTTTTATGCATGTATAAACAATATATTTATCCATCAAGAAGCATTTTCTTCTTTTATGTCTGTATTTGTATTTACTGTACAGCATAGGAGAATCTATTTATGCGTCTACGGATAAAACGTGTATATCAAGAAGCTTTTTCCTTTATATCTCCGTATTTGTAGTAATAAGAGAATATAGTAATGCATCTGTGGATAACGAAATACTGTATATCAAAAAGCATTTTATGTTGATCTCGGTATTTGTAGCTAGACGAGAATATTTTTATGCGTCTTTGGATAATATACCCGTATATCGAGAAAGAATTTCTTCATTTAGCTCCATATTGATAGTTTTATAAGACCATGTTTATGCGTCTATGGAGAATATACATCAAGGAGCAATTTCTTTTTACCTCCACATTTGTAGCTGTCTGAGAATCTATTTATGCGTCTATGGATAATTAATAAATATACTGTATGAAGAAACATTCTCCTTTTATCTGCGTATTTACAGTAATAGTTGATGCGTCTATAAATAATTATAATATGAGCGTATATCAAAAAAGTCTTTTCCTTTCTATTTTCGTATTTGCAGTAATGGGAAAATGTTTATCGTCTATGGAATACCCGTAGTTGTAGTTAGACGAGACTATATTCATGCCGTCCAACAACAAATCGACGCTAAAATGCAAATTGATGACTAATAAAATAAGGGGACTGTCGCTGCGGAAAAGGCATCGCTAGACGACATTGTAGGAAAATGATCATTATCTATGAATGTGAGTTTACTCGATATTCCTAATTAATTGTGGTTTCTTTCATGTTGGCCCTACTCTACCTATGTAAGTGCTTCTCTTCTGCAGCATAGCTTGGTCTACTCGATGCTATTAATAAGTATCAAATCGTCTATCACCAAGCTTACCGAGACTGCGGGCTGATGACTAGAAAAGGGTAGCAAGACTGTAGCTCACGAGAAGGCATCGCTAGACGATATGGCGAGGAAATACCCCTATATCATCATGGTAAATTGTAGTTTCAAGTCATTTTCTTCATGTTTTCCCTATTCTACCCATGTAAGAGGTTTTCTTCTGCAGCATAGCTTGATCTACTCGATGCTATTGACAAGTATCGAATCGTCTATCATCAAGCTTACCGTAGACTGCGAGCTGATGACTAGAAAAGGGTAGCAAGACTGTAGCTCACGAGAAGGCATCGCTAGACGACATGGCGAGGAAATACCCTTATATCATCATGGTAAATTGTAGTTTCAAATCTTTTCCTTCATGTTGTCCCTATGCTACCCATGTAAGAGGATTTCTTCCGCAGCATAGCTTGGTCTACTCGATATGATGCTATTGGCAAGTAAGGAAGCGTCCATCACCAAGCTACACAGCAGAGTTGATGAGTAAAAAAATGGAGTGTGACTGTAGCTCAAGAGAAAGTAGAACTAGACGACATGGCGGGCGAATTCGATCATCCTTATGAATTGATTGGACTGTAGTTTCAAGTTATTTCCTTCATGTTGGCCCTATTCTATCCCGTTTATGGCTATTTTGATGCAATGAGCGACGTACTACTGAGTAGGTCTGTTCTATTTGTAGAATCATTTTGGTCCTTGTCTAGAGTACAAGCACCAATAAAGCGGCAGTTGGTAGTGGGGCAAATTTAGAAATGGCACCATGTCGCGCTAAGTCGGCCGCCATAGCCTGGATGGCCTAAAAAAGTCATGCGATTGCATGGATCAAAGGCAAGGACGAGGCAATAATCCACATCTGTAGGCATTTCGAAGACAGTAAAAGCTATTCAAGTTCTTGTTGACAAGATCAAGTTGTTGTCGATAAAGGAAGAAGCTCAAGACAAATAAAATCCATTGTCGATTCTAGAAGATCGATATAAATAATAGTGTTAAGAGAAATAACCCAGTCAGCAGATAGAATAGGGACCTGGTGACCATCTCGTCATCAGTTTAGCAACGCCGAGAATACTCGACGGACTGACAAATCTGTCAATCAGCGTGGATTTATTGAAATAAAACTGTATTAGCTTTTCAAAAGAGGCTGGAGAAGAAAAGAGAAATACTTTCTAGTCGATAGAAATTATTACTCCGCTGCTTTTGCTCGTTGATCGCTTGCCACGGCCATAACCGTCTTAACATGAGTCCTCGTAGCCGATTACCTACGACTGCGACGCATAGGCTACGCCAAGATTATCTTCGATTGAAGAAAGATCCTGTGCCCTATATCGAAGCCACGCCGTTGTCGTCGAATATTTTAGAATGGTAAGTCGTTTATTTCTGGTTTTTTTTTTAAAACAGGAGGGAAATAGGGTAGTAAAAGGAGGCCGATCAGAGAGAAAGAGTCTCTTGTCGTAGCGGACAAGAGCAAGGTTGACTGAGACTCCTCCTTTCCTGCTGGAGATGTCGATGTGATGTTAGGTCGGCAGACATTGATTTCCCTTTAGATCGTTTTTTTCTCCAACATGATTAAAAAAAAAATAGAAAATAAAATTACTCTAGCCTTGTGTTGGACTACAGTCATCATCCCTATCCCATATGCTATAACTTTGACACAGTCCTTGGTGCTAGTTAGAGCATGTTGAAAGCATTTTCTTGTTGTTCAACGCTCATTTTCAACACATTGAGACAGTTGTTAACGCTTTAAAATGGGACTAATGGATCGCCTCTCGTTTGCGCCACTCCATATTGCTTTGCTGTGGCTGTTGGCCATCATTTCCTTCCTACAGGCACCACGCAATTTAGACTGAATTATTTCAAGGATGGTGTTGAAAATCAAGTGCCATTTTCAACACTTTACACAGCCATTGGAAAACACGGAAATTCAGTTGATCGACTGTTGAAAATAAGAAATGGATTCCATCAATTTTCTTCTAATCCATATTGCACGTCTACCGTCCCTGACACCAGACTGTGCAAAGGATTTTCCCATTGGATTCATGCTGGTAGAAATGAAAAATTTGTGTCAATGATGGTGTTAAAAGAAATTGCCCTTTTGCATCTCATTTCGACAGTAATTGAAAAATAGGGAAATGGTCAATAGGATCGGGGTGTTTAAAGTAGGGAATAGATCCAATCAACTTTGTAATTTAGGCTGTACCATTCCTAATGACTGTCAATCTAGAGACATTGGATAAGGTCGGCAGGAATGAAATTGATTTCGATCATGGTTTTGAAAAATTACTGACGTAAGTGGACGTTTTCAACGTGTTAGACAGTTGTTTAAATAGGCCAATAATTCTAGAATTCTGATGGAGTGTTTAGAATAGGGAATACTGTAGATCCAATCGACTTTGTAATTGATGTTGCACCATCGCTGCTGACAGTGCAAAGGATAATCTCCATTGGATTCATGAAAGCAGAAATGAAATTTTCATCTCCATCATGGCGTTGAAAATTTCTCCTGTACTGCACATGGACGTTATTAACTCATGAGACAGTGTCGTGCAAAATAGAGAAATAATTGATCTGATTGAGTATTTCAAGAAGGGAATAGATTGAATCCACTTTCTAATTGATGTTGTACCATCCCTACTGACTGTAGAAAGGATCTCCATTGGATTCCTGTCGGCAGGAATAAAATGGAAACTTTTTACTTTCATCATAGCATTGAAAATTTTTGCTATGGATGGACGTTTTCAACGCCTTCAACAGTTATTTCAACCGAGAAATCATTCTATAATGCTGATAGAGTGTTTTCAATATATGGAATACTGTAGATGCAATGGACTTTTTAATTGATGTTGTATCATCGCTGCTAACTGCGGAAAGGATCTCCATTGGATTCATGGAAGCAGAAGTGAAATTTTCACTTTATCTCCATCATGGCGTTGAAAATTTTTCCTCTACTGTGCACTATACATAAACGTTATTAACTCATGAGATAGTGTAATTTAAATTAGGGAAAGAATCGATGTGATTGAGTATTTGAATTTAGAGTAAGGAATCGATTTTCTAATTTATGTTGTGCCATCCCTGCTGACTGGGGAAAAAGATCTCTATTGGATTCATGGAAGCAGGAACGAAATTTTCACTTTATTTCCATCATGGCGTTGAAAATTTTCTGCTGGACATGGACGTTATCAACCCATTGGACAATAATGATATAATTTAGCATATAGTATAGGGAAATAATCGATCTGATCCAGTGTTTAAAGTAGGGAATAGATTCAATCGACTTTCTTCTCATTGATGCTATATACCATCCCTGCTGACTACGGAAAAGATCTCCATTGGATTCATGGAAGCAGCAATGCAATTTGCACTTTATTTCCCTCGTAACATTGCAAAATTTCTACTGTGGATAAACGTTTTCAACGCATTCGAGTGTTGTTTAATGAAGTTCAATGAGAGAAGTAATGGATGTGATCGACTGTTGAAAATAGGGAATAGATCCAATCGTTGTTGGACGTCCCTAACAACTATGGAATGGATTGACGTTTGATTCATGTAGGCAGGAATGAAATTTGGACCCTATTTCGATTATAGCGTTGTAAAATATTGGTTGTAGATGGACATTTTCAACGCATTGGACAGTTGTTGAATAAATATTCAGTGGAGAAATAGTGAAATTTTTGATCAAGTATTGAAAATAGGGAATAGATCGAATCGACTTTCTAATCCAAGTTGTCGCTGATGACTATGGAAGGTTAGCCTAAAACGATCGTGAAGAAGATGAAGAAACATTTCATTTTTCTCCAATTTGAATCATTTTACCAGCCGGGAAAAGAAATTATTCGGTGACTAAAGCGATCATGAGGATCACAAAGAAACATTTTATTTTTATCCAATTGGAATCGTTTACCGGTTGGGAGAAAAAATGGTTAGAAACGGTCCTATTCCACTTGAACGAAGCCTGAAAGGGTCATGAAGAAGCATATCATTTTTCTTCAATTTGAATCTTTTAACTTGGCTAGAAATGATGGTCCATTTCCACTTGAACTAAGCCTAAAAGGGTCATGAAGAAACATATCATTTTTCTTTAATTTGAATCTTTTAACTTGGCTAGAAATGGTCCATCTTAGCCTAAAGGGTCATCAAGAACATGAAGAAATATTTCAGTTTTCTCTAATTTGAATCTTTTTTACTTGGTTAGAAGTGGTCTATTTCCACTTGAATGTAGCCTAAAACGATCGTGAAGAACATGGAGAAACATTTGATTTTTCTCCAATTTGAATCTTTTTACCAGCCTGGAGAAGAAATTACTCGGTGACTAAAGCGATGATGAGGATCATAAAGAAACATTTGATTTTTATCCAATAGGAATCTTTTTACCAGCTGGGAGTAGATATTACTTGGTAACTAAACGATCATGAAGAACATGAAGAAACATTTTATTTTGAGGGGAATTTGAATCTTTTTTACTAGCCGGGAGAGAAAAGTGCTCAGTGACTAGAAATGACCTATTTCTACTCGGACTAAGCCTAAAACGATCATAAAGAAACATTTTATTTTTATAGGAGATACGAGTTTGAATCTTTTTTACCAGCCGGGAAAAGAAAAGATTTTAGTGCGGTCAAATATTAGCACCTGCATTCTCTTCATCGACTTGGACGACAATATCAATCCATGGCCATGTTGAAACTCAATCCTAACCTCGTTCTCTACCTTTTCCATTCACTAGGAATGGAGAAAAAAATGGCCCTTGCAATAGCATGATAATGTAAGCGTAAAATTAGTCAATATGTCATCATCACTAGCTAACCCCCTCCCCTCTTCTATCCATGTCATGTTGGCTAGAGATTGATGACGATGGAAGGGACGTCGATCATCTCTTATTTATTTTAAGCGGTTAGTCCATAAGGAGATGGGATTTTTCCCCGTCATTTCTCTGTCAATATCGTGCCTTGTATCGGCCCTGTCCAACTTAGTTTAGGATAGTGGTCGAGATGGAAATGATGTATAAGAAAGAAATCAATTGGACGACATGGATCGAAATTGCTACCAGGAAAACTTGATTTTTATTTCGGTAACGATTGTTGCTATTGAAGGAAAGATAATTTCTAAGAGAAACATGGATAGACTTGTTACAGACTGGATGACAACTAGTAAGACAATAATCTCAAGTCAGAAAGAGTCGACAAGAACTGTATAGTATTTTAAGAGAATCATTTGAAGTAGGCAAGAGGAGAACAGGAAGTGTATAGCAAGAGAATCAAGTAGGGAAGAGTAGAACAGAAGCTGCAGCAAGAGAACCATATCAAGTAGGCAAGAGTAGAACAAGAACTGCATAGCAAGAGAATCATTCAAAGTAGGCAAGAGTAGATCAGGAACTACATACTAAGAGAATCATTTAAAGTAGGCAAGTGGAGAACAAGAACTGTATAGCAAGAGAACCATGTCAAGTAGGCAAGAGTAGAACAAGAACTGTAATGCAAGAGAATCATGTCAAGTAGGGAAGAGTAGAACAGGAACTGCATAGCAAGAGAAGCATGTCTAGTAGGGAAGAGTAGAACAGGAACTGCATAGCAAGAGAACCATGTCTAGTAGGGAAGAGTAGAACAAGAACTTTAAAATTAAGGAATCATTTGAAGTAGGGAAGAATAGAACAGAAACTGCGTAGCACGATAATAATTTTCAAGCTAGGAAAGAGTCGATGAAAAATGCATTGCAAAACAAGAATCTCTAGTTAAGAAGAGTAGGTGAAAAATGCTTAGTAAGACAATCATCTCAAAGGGTGCAATTGGTTTTGGATGTACCTGATTGATTGTACAGAAATGATAACTATACATGCTCGACTTGATCCTTTCTTGGCTGTGTAGATAGAGGAGAAAAATGAATGTTTTTTTCCTAATCCTCATCCCTCTTGATGTCCTAGTGTAACATTTATCTTTTTGATGGGTGCAATCTATTCCTTCATCACTATTATCATTGTCTGCTAGAGAAAGTCCCCATTTCCTTCAAGAAACTAATTTCCACGCAATCTATTCCTTCATCATCGTCGATGATGGTGATGGAGAAAGTCCTGTTTCCTTCCAGAGTTTGGCTTGCATGCGATCTATTCCTTCCATCCTAACATTTTTGCAGATGAAGATTTAGAGAAAGTCCTATTTCCTTCAAGAGTTTAGTTTCAGTGCGATCTATTCTATCCATCAATTTATCATTATAGATGATAATGGAGAAAGTCGCTTTTCCATTCCTTCATCATCGTAGCTGGTGATGGACAAAGTTATGTTGCCTTCAAGAGTTTCCATGCGATCTATTCCTTCCATTGACTCATCATTATCGATAATTGATGGAGAAAGTCATATTGCCTTCAAGAGTTTCCAGTCGATCTATTCTTTCTGTCGATTCACCATTTCGGATGATTCCTTTCCTCGATTCATCATTATAGAGAATGATAGGGAAAATCATATTTCCTTCAACAGTTTTTATACCATCGATTCCATCATTATAGATGGCGATGGAGAATATCATATGTTTCCTTTCAAGAGTTTCAATGCGATCTACTCCTTCATCCCTTCATTATCGTCTACGGCGATTGAGTTGAACATCTATGTCTATTTCTACCATCGACTCGTTATTTTAGATAGTAGAGAAAGTCATTTTTCCTTTAAGAGTTTCATGCGATCTATTTCTTCCCTTCATAATCGTAGATGATGGTGAAAGTTTTATTCCCTTAAAGAGTTTAATTTTGATTACAATCTTGTTGAAATAGATAACTTGTGTAGCATAGTAAACTGAAGTAAGTGGCGAAGACCACTCAATTCTACAGCGGATTATCATCGCTCGAGCTAGAGAGATGTAGAACGAGACGGATCATGTCTCATTTTCTTTAGCAGTATAGACTGCAATTATATCAACTCTTTGCATTTCTCCACTTTCTCCTACTGCATTGCTAGTGCCTAGGGAAGGATAATTTGAAACCCATTCCAGTTGTTACCATGAAATTAATACAACAACTACAACACTATATCCTAACGGGTAGCTACTGTCCCAATCAATACAAGAGAAATTCGATGTACTTCATTTTCAAATTGAAAGTGGATTGCATCATTTTGACATAGTTTTATTTTAATTCAATTGGGTGCCTGCGTTACTATTGAAAAATTGTTTTATTCACATCATGATAATGTTCTGTAAAAGAGTTTAAAAAAACAATTAGATGCTGTTGATGATTGATTGAATCGAAACTAGTAATCATACTTGTACAATTAATTCTAACGTTTTATTTTCTATCTTCAGGCATTATGTCGTGATCGGCCCTGAAGGATCTCCGTATGAAGGTAGAATAAATTAATGATATGATTTCAAGTTTCTTCTTGGTGTTGTGACTAATGTCGATACAACATACTATACCCCCTTGAAAGGCTATATCAATATGGTTTGTATTGAAAATTGACTTTGAGATCGACTGAGCAAGTTGATAATATTGCTATTGAGCCAAATCTTTTCCTAAAAATGGCCATGTTGATATCTAATTTAATTTATATCAATTGTTGATAAAAATTAAATTGGATATCAACATCACCATTTTTGGGGAAAGATTTATCTCGATGGCAATAATTATTGATAAAAGTTAAATTAGATATCAACATGACCTTTTAGGGAAAGATTTGGTTCAATAGCAATATTGTATATAATTCATTAACAATTAAGATCCAGTAAGCTACTGCAGTACATGATATTGCTATTGAATCAAATTATTCTTCGAAATAACCATGTTGATAGTAAGTAAGTCTGCTATAGCTTGTATAAATTACTGTATTACTGACATCAACATCTAGTTAGCTAGTAGATGATGTTGCTATTGGACCGATCCTTTCTTCCGAGGGACTACGTAATATCTCCATCTACTGTAGATCCAGTTTGCTAGTGGATGATATGACCAGCCAATCTTCTTCTTCAAAATGACCAATTTCATGTAGCCAGAGATGGAACGTGGTACTCTTAAAAAGGAGACAGACTTTCAACATAAACAACAAGTCATAACATTGTCATTATTAGGCACGGCATGATAAATAAGTTTTTACATCCTTTCATATACGGTAGATCACGTAGTAGGAACTTAGTTTACTAAAGAAAATCTGTAATTACTTTCTACTGTACTCGTACATGATAAACTTGCATATGGCTGCCTACTGTTATCTATTTGACAAAGTGGCGACAATTAATGAATTAATTATTAAAACAGGCATAGTTAATTGTTCTTGTAGAGAATGAATGCAAAAGCAAATACTATATATACTAAGCATATATTATTCAACTTCAAATAAGCTAATTAGTTTCCATCGTAGTATTTAAATGAAATTGCTCACTGAAATGCTATCTAGCAATCAACCTTACAACTTTGATAGTTTGAAAAGGCTGCTATGCATACATACATTTACGATATGTTGTGAAAATCACTGGATAAAGTAACCATAGTTAATACTTTCTTCAGCAGCTTCGAGTAAATTAAAAAACTTTCGTAATAATTGGTATAAATTTAAATTCTGCTAGTACTATCATTTTAATGTATTAATACTGTATAATATATACATTTCTAAAGATAAATGAATGCTAAATACATTAAAATTGAAAGTTGATGAATAGTGCCAGGTAGTAGGTAACTACGTACTGTATGTAAGATACTCGTGCATATACGGTATACGCGTATAGGTGAAAATTGGATATTCTTACTTCTCATTGAAAATGTAAAAATATACTTATCTTTTCGTATTGTATACAATACGAGTATAATTTGTTGTCCTGCATGCGCTTTTGCTTATGCTACCCTTTATGTGAGTAATGGCAAATTAAAGTTATTAGTGATACGCTCACTTACATATTTGTGAAAATTGGATATCGAAAAAGTGTTGAATTTTTCCTGAAATTGTTGTTCTTATTTCTATGTTCTTCGGAAATATAAAAATTATTCAGTCTGTTCGTTTTATATTACGTACGAATCTAATTGTACTGTCTTAAGAGAATTTATGATCGTACTACACTTCATGCTAGTAATAATGGTAAGTCGTAGCTATTTATTTCAAACTTTGATAGCACCATTTTATACTTTTATCGATGTACAGCAATTCAAAAGCAGCGAAAGAATACTTTTTTCACTATAAAGATTTATAAAACTTTCCTTACATCTTTTATAGACGGTTATTACCATGGGAAATTGGTATTTTCTCGTGATTATCCATTTAAACCACCTAGTATCTATATGATAACGCCAAATGGTCGATTTAAATGTAATACGAGGTTAGTTGAATATACTGGCCTGTATTAACTTTTATTTAGGGGTATTATCAATTAACAGTGCTCATAAATGACTGCTCTAAACTATGAAATCAATACCTTGACTGTATAATAATTTTATCTTGGTGCAACTGCCCGTTAATTCTGTCATTTCCCATTCTACGTATAATTATCAATCCATAGATTATGCCTTTCAATAAGCGACTTTCATCCTGACACTTGGAATCCTGCGTGGTCAGTGTCAACCATTCTAACTGGTTTACTTAGTTTTATGGTAAGTCTCGAGTGCTTTGCTATAACTTTGTTAAACTCGCAATAGTTAACAATTTATCTTGTCATCGTGATTTACAGTTAGAAAAGACGTCAACACTTGGTAGCATAGAAACGGCTGATTTTACAGTAAGGCATTGTGTGACGACATAGGTGATTGGGTTTAAGCTGTTCATAAAGTAAAAAATCTTAAAATACCCATTATTGCAGAAACGTCGATTAGCCTGGGAGAGTTTGCAATACAATTTGAATGATGCAATATTTCGGGAATGCTTCCCAGATATCGTCGAGGTAATTTCACTACCAAGAAAAAAGATTCTTTACATAAGAGTGTTATATAAGTTGACAATTGAAAAATTTTCCCTTTCTCATTTTATTGACGTAGAGAATACAAAAAGTTTTGGATAAAAGAAAACGCTTAGGTCTAAAATGTGAATATGATGTCGATTTCGCTCGATCATCCAATGATAGTAACTCATCAGTCATAGCAAATGCTGCTTTCGTCTGCGGTGTCGTCATGTTTGCCTACGTCGTCAAGCAAGTTGTTGAGGCCGTTGCTTAATTTCATCTTTGTATTATATGTCCTGAACTCACTTCTTTAGATTATGATAATAATGATTGTGTCAAAAAGTTTATTGAGTTGATGCATGAAATTCCATCAAGCACTGTTAATTTCGGCACTAATTTGCAATCAAAACGCACTCTTGTTTTACACCTGTTTGATGAAATTTTATCAATTGGGTTATTAAACAATCTTTAGATAGTGCTACGATATCGCAAAGGATATGAAGCTTTCGTCTAGTATAATACAACACATTTGTAAAATATGAGCATATACGAAGAGCATTAGCTCACTCTATAATATACTCACAATTTCTTTCTATGATTGCATGTTATTACAACAAATTGCTATTTTTTATCTTATACCTCTTTAACTGTTCCAATAATTAATTAATCAACATCATTGAAAATCGCGTCAATTAAAACGGCATCATAATTAAAAAATATATATACGTACTCAAAGTGTTTAATGAGTTTAAAAGGTAGAAACGTAATTTTACATAGCAATTAATTACGCTATTAATGGTATTAAATAGGATTATAGTGGTGTAAGTGAATTAATCTTGAAGCTTCAGTGCTTTCGCGGCATAGTGGACATTCAGGCTTAGAGATATGAAAAAAATTAGGGATTTATATTGTAAATACACGCTAGAGCAAGAAATAATATTACTGCTGGCTAAGGGATTTATTTACCTTGGTTCTACACCATCCTGCTATGCAATGCCAGCAAAAGATATGGCCACAAGGTGTACAAGTAGGATGTTGGCACGATTCTAAACACAGGCAACATTTAATGTTCACCGTCGTTGAGACCTGATGGTGCATTTGCGAGGTTTCTTGATGTCCTTCAATAAACATATGAAATATTCGTCAATTATTTGATGCGTACGTATCTCACTCATTTTTACGAATCTATCGCTACATTTATTTACTCCTGCTTTTAGTAATGACTACAAATTAGGTTACTATAATGTAAAGATAGAGAAAGCGGTATTTCAATTTAAATTATCTCTCCATTCATTGCACTGATAGTTGTATTGGTTTGTTTATTCAATCTAATTTTGTAATACTCAATTATGTGTCTTAGAAATATACATGATTTTAATGCAATTAATAAACAATTAACCTGGTATTAATGGATGATTACTTTGTGATGTGGATGGACGAATATAAAGGGGCAACCACTGAATGATGGAAATAATCAACTGAATAAATGACAACCAACCCAATATTCGATATGTAATAGACGCCAATTGATCTTTCTCTGTTTCTCGTACTAGTATCTATAGATTGTTGATATATCAAGATAGGTTGGTTACAATGGTGATATTTTATAATACCGAAATTAATATTGCAAGTTTATTACTACTGTAGTCCTTGCAATGCTAATTTATTTATTTTAGCTTTGCATCAGTAGTATGTCTGGATAAATTAATGTACACGGTTATATAGTAATTACAGTAATAATAGTTTATACATTCAAATAGCTTGATTAGATACTTACATGTTTGATTCTAGTAAACCTTTTGGCGATATGATAAAAGACTCCATTGAAATAGAAAGAAATGGTATGAATTTGTTGAAATACTATAAAAAGTCGATAGAGAAAAAATACAATTTCATTCTTGCTGCACGGATTGAAAGTAAATAGAATCCTAAAGTTGCGACAGAAAGTTAGATGGAATATACACGCATGTACTAGAGGTATAGAACAAATCTCTTTTACTATTACTATTTTCCTTACAGCTAATTAAATTTTTTAAGACAGGAATCAATAATTTCAATCGTCTCCGATCTTCTTCGCTAAGGGTTCCTAAGTTATATAAGATAATAGCATTCATTGTAGTTTTTGAAGAAAGTATATTACAATACATTTCCAAATACACGAGTCTGCTTACATCTAGTATAAAAATTATCGTCTCAATGCAAAATTATGATACTTACTTAATAATTCTGGAGATCTTATCTCCTTTTCTAATTTACTTAATAGCTTTTCAAGCAAGTATGGAGTCAGTGTACTTAATAAAACCATCAATAAACGCCTCTATAGTAGAAGAAGTAGATAGAAATTTGTAAAAATCATCATTAGGTCGACTGAATATGACGACAACATTACGAGTATGCTTATGAATATTATTAGACCTACTGAAAATGATGGTATCGATTTTCGTGTATCTTCCACCTGGATAAGATAGCAATACTCTTCACCAAGGGTTTGGTAGCCTATTTCGATATTATTAAATAGGAGCATAGTGCACTTGATAAGTTGATGTTTGATAAAGTAACTCCTTTATCAGCTCGTCTTTCCATCAATTCATTACTAAATCATGGACTCTTGAAAATTATGGGTAATTTCAAGAGTCCATGACTAAGCAATATGACAATAAATCAGGTCAAAGTTGATAATTTACTATTGAATGCAGTAGATTCACTACAAGCATCTACTGTCAAGCTGTCAATAAATACGCATAACAGATAATACAGTAGTTATTAATAGTGAGGAGCTAGAAATTCAAGTATTATTTTTTTAATCACTGCTGGCGTATTGTAATAGAATAAAGGTCTCTATTCAGTAAGAATATCATCATGATTCTTACCAATTGTACAATGTCATTATGAAAAATAATAATTAATTATTGTCATTTTAATCTTACGAATATAGACTAGCTAAATAACCATGGAAGCTTATTTTCAATATATAACAAACTAATTCATAAGAAATTACTCATAGATTGCATTGAGTTTGATTACAGTAGTGCTTGTGTGAGGATAAGATAGTACAACTTCAGTATAGATATATTAACAAGTAGCTTCATATGATTGCCTCAAGAGGACATCTAAATTGCGATATTTAGAGATTATTATCCACATCGCTAGACCATACCAGATAGTGTGGATAATCCGAAATAAGCTAGTTCGGTAAGGATTTGCAATTCCCTTTGCCATTTAATCCACAGCCTGGAACCTATCAAAGTATTGGTAAATTTTGATTGAAATCAAGCAGATAGTATACCTATGATATTTATCTTTGAAGTAAATTATTATCAATAGTGGCGTCATTTTTATCCGTCAATTCAGTAATAAACTCTCGACTAATATTGTAGTCTCATTTATCTTTGTTCAGGTATTGCTAAGATATTAAAATAAGCGTATTCATCATTGTCTATCACCGATGAATGCTTTATTTTTGTTGCTGATCTAAAACAGTTCGATTAGTGCATATTGTTTTCCTTGTAATTATCAGCAGCTGATTGAAAAGGTAAGGTTGAAAGTTTGCACTTGGCCGGCCGAGCTAAATGAGCTTGTGTAGGCAAAATGAATTATTATGGCATGATTGATAGGCGTAGAAACCTAGGGATAGATTACCTACATCATGATCTTAAAACTGTATCTGACGTTGATAACATGAAAGCGATGAATTTAGCAATAAACAAGAGATTACAGTAATAGCCATTGATATGCTATAGTACTGCAAATAAATACAGTGGGTTTCAAGGATACATGTGCCCCCATTGAACTGGATAAGTAATACTGTAAAAGTATGGACACAGTGGGATATTATCAACCTTATATCGACTATCAATAACGCTGCTGCCGAATGGTGGTCAAACTTATTGTAATCCATTTAATCAAGAGCTATAAATTAGTACGATAGCTCGTCATCGCCATTGCAAATTATGGCATTCAACATCGACAATTGCACCGTTGCTGCTGATTCTCTACGGAGTACGGCGAGAAAAGAGGATTTGCGTCGGTGAATTTTGGTATCCATGATACTACAGTATATACGAACTACAATTACTGTACGTATATTGCTACTAGACGACTCTATTTCTGGACTGTGTACGTCGACAATGTATAATATCATTGCTAGGACTTTTGTGTGGATGCACATACTCCTAGGTCGACTCAGCAAGAAATGCAGACCAATCCTTTACATTGACAAGTTGGATTACGCTGGATAGTACGTTGGATATAAAGTATCGGTGAGTCGAAGCACATGACTGGTGCTATTTGCCAACGAAATATGTCGACAACTTGTGAGCAGGTAGAGAGAGACATTGGCCAGCATGAACTATTGACCTGGATTTGCATTTACATATGATTCTATTGGGTACGTCTACTTGGATTAGGGTATAAGACTAAGTCGGCCTTCTATTGCTCTCTTTATCTACAGAATAAGTTGATAACATTGGCGTCTTGATGACCCAACATGACCGATTGATAGTTGTAGAGTTGATGTCGTTCTTTCAGCTCATTACAGTAGTCCTACGCGTAGAAAGTGGAGAGTGATTTTGAAAGTCATTGACAAGTGGAATTTGCAGTTGATGGATTGCAAAGCGAACGGCTCCACTCGTATCGTCAACCCATCAACTCGCCTTTTGATCAACCAGTACAGTAGTAGGTGAGCAATCACACTATCAAGAGAGCAATGTCCATGATATCGTAGTCCTGAGGACTTTTACTACTAGTATCTTACCAAGGATACCCCTGCTAACATCAGATGCAATATCTTTCAGCCAATTTAAGTAATAAACATCTTTTTGACTTGATCGAACTAATTCATCAGCTCCAGGTTGCGAGTCCATTTTCAACGGGTGACAATCATAACATGCAATGGATGACAGTGTCCAAAATAATCAATCTTAATCCAGTAATACTATTGGACTTTGCAACGTCTTGTAATAGCCAATAGACCCACAAAAGAAGAGGATAAACGTTCAATTTCCACTTGAGATGGCTGCAATCGCCATACAATTCATCATTTCCAGCCAAGCTGTTGCTCGATTGGGCGTTGGACCCCCCCAAAGGTCAGAAAATCGATCTAGACCGACTCAGTAGGACAATCCCATACAGCAACCAGGGTTGTGTTCTAGATCATCGTTAGTGCTCTAGACGTTGAGTGGAACTAATGCATTTGCTGTAACTACTGTGTACTGGTTAGAACTCGAGCTAGCTGTATAATGGCCACTATGCAGACAGGAGATGTACTGCGATTCAGTATAAAAATTCCATACAGTAGGTAGGGTTGGGCTCTAAACTATCGCCAGTGCTTTAGACGTTGACTGGAACTAATGCATTTGCTGTAACTACTGTGTACTGGTTAGAACTCGAGCTAGCTGTATAGTGGCCACTATGCAGACAGGAGATGTACTGCGATTCAGTATAAGAATTCCATACAGTAGGTAGGGTTGGGCTCTAAACTATCGTCAGTGCTCTAGTTATTGAATGGAACTAATGCATTTGCTGTAACTACTGTGTACTGGTTAGAACTCGAGCTAGCTGTATAGTAGCCACTATGCAGAAAGGAGATGTTTTACGATTCAGTATAAGAATTCGATACAGTAGGTAGGGTTGGGCTCTAAACTATCGCCAGTGCTCTAGACGTTGACTGGAACCGATGCATTTGCTGCAACTACTGTCTACTGGATAGAACTCGAGCTAGCTGTATAGTGGCCACTATGCAGACAGGAGATGTGCTGCGATTCAGTATAAGAATTCCATACAGTAGGTAGGGTTGGGCTCTAAACTATCGTCAGTGCTCTAGTTGTTGACTGGAACTAATGCATTTGCTGTAACTACTGTGTACTGGTTAGAACTCGAGCTAGCTGTATAGTAGCCACTATCCAGAAAGGAGATGTTTTACGATTCAGTATAAGAATTCGATACAGTAGGTAGGGTTGGGCTCTAAACTATCGTCAGTGCTCTAGACGTTGACTGGAACTAATGCATTTGCTACAACTACTGTATACTGGATAGAACAGTAGGTAGTTGTATAGTGGCCACTATCCAGACAGGAGATATACTACGATTCAGTATAAGAACTCCATGCAGTGGGTAGGGTTGGGCTCTAAACTATCGCCAGTGCTCTAGACGTTGACTGGAACCGATGCATTTGCTGCAACTGCTGTCTACTGGATAGAACTCGAGCTAGCTGTATAGTGGCCACTATGCAGACAGGAGATGTACTACGATTCAGTAGAAGAATTCGATACAGTAGGTAGGGTTACGCTCTAAACTATCGCCAGCGCTCTAGACGTTGACTGGAACCGATGCAGTTGCTGCAACTACTGTATACAGGATAGTACAGTAGGTAGTTGTATAGTGGCCACTATGCAGACAGGAGATGTACTACGATTCAGTAGAAGAATTCGATACAGTAGGTAGGGTTGCGCTCTAAACTATCGCCAGCGCTCTAGACGTTGACTGGAACCGATGCATTTGCTGCAACTACTATATACTGGTTAGAACTCGAGCTAGCTGTATAGTAGCCACTATGCAGAAAGGAGATGTTTTACGATTCAGTCTAAGAATTCCATACAGTAGGTAGGGCTACGCTCTAAACTATCATGAGTTGTCTATAACTTGACTGGAACAAATGGATCTGATAGAACTAGACTGGATAGAACAGTAGGGAGCTCTGTCATAGCCACTAGGCAGAAAAAATGATCTTCTACTGTACCATTTAGACATTCAGTAGAACAATCTTCCAGGATTTATAGCCACAAGGCAGAAAGGAAAGGATCCAAGATTCAGTCTCAAAATCGCATACAGTGGCTAGAATAGAGTTGGAAACCATAGCGCGTTATCTATAGTAAATGTATACGATGTTACGTTACTGTATGGAACAGAAGGTAGCTGTATCATAGCCACTAAGTGGAAAGGGAATTTTCTAGGATTCACTATAGGAATTCCATACAGTAGATAGGATTACGCTCTAAACTAGAGTTAGCTGTCTATAATAAATCGAGAAGTTCTTGATGTCTTATATTGACTGTTCCGTACAGTAGATCAATTCCTATACTGAATCGTATAAAGCCTCATACAGGATCGATTGTGGCTGAAGGACCCTGTCTTAGCCATCGCTGCCTCATTCTACTGTATGGAATAGCCGCTAGCAATATAGGAATTGTATAAGCTATCCAACAAAAGTTTACTTTTGTAAGAAGCAGTCTGGTCTAAGCCGTGGGACTGACGGTGCACTTTGTTCTACATTGACGCAAACAGCAGTATGGAAAAGAGGTTTTGACTACGTCCAATCCACCCCATGCCAAGTTTATCCTTCTCGTCAGGTCTTGGACACCATTTTTGATTTGTTCTCTCTATTCATGGCTGCTGCTCCTCCAAACTTCTACCAATCATTCATCGATGTCAAGCTGTAAACAAGTTTATTAATCGACTAGCAATCATTCATCCCGGAGTAAGTTGATCCTATCTTATAGGCTTGATGGATGCTTTAACATTGAGTTGGCATCATTTGTCTTGACGTAATCTATATTGACTGTATCGTTTGAAAGCTGATCTAGGTAGCTTGAGGCATGTCGTCTTGGAGCAATGGTTGAGTAAATTGCATCTGATTTATCAATCGCTCTTTTAAAATCGACCTGCCACCATGGATATTAGCATACAGTACTATACTACAGTGACTGCATGACTTTAGAGTTGATCAACGATTGGTGAGTTGATGTTCTCTGAAACTCTCTCGTCATTTCTCCAGCGATCATCAATCCTCCTTCATCAAGTGAATGAATGCACGTTACCATGTACTTGGACTATCTACTCGTATACGAATCAATGTTCTATACAGTGGCTGTGTCATTTTACAGTAGATCCATGATTCTCCATTAATGGAAGATCTTAGTAAGCCTGTAGTGATTTTCAAGTCAGTTCATCGCATTCCGGTGAATACAAACTGAGCTTACAGCTTAGACCATTTGTATTATTATCGTACTGTACAATGATGGATGATTTTATAGCGGATTGATGCCATGTGAAAACATCGCATCAATTGTCTAGCGATCTTCACCTAACTTAATCGCATTCCAGTCCATACAAACTGAGCTTACAGCTTAGACCATTTGTATTATTATCGTACTGTACAATGATGGATGATTTTATAGCGGATTGATGCCATGTAAAAAGATCGCAATAATTGTCTAGCAATCTTCAGTAAGTTCATCGCATTCCAGTCAATACAAACTGAGGTTATAGCTTAGACCATTTGTATTATTATCGTACTATACAACAATATATACTGTACTGTGATGGATGATTTTATAGCGGATTGATGCCATGTGAAAACATCGCATCAATTGTCTAGCGATCTTCATCTAACTTAATCGCATTCCAGTCAATACAAACTGAGCTTATAGCTTTGACCATTTGTATTATTATCGTACTATACAACAATATATACTGTACTGTGATGGATGATTTTATAGCGGATTGATGCCATGTGAAAACATCGCATCAATTGTCTAGCGATCTTCATCTAACTTAATCGCATTCCAGTCAATACAAACTGAGCTTACAGCTTAGACCATTGGTTTTATGATCGTACTATACAACACTATATACTGTGATGGATGATTTTATAGCGGATTGATGCCATGTGAAATCATCGCATTAATTGTCTACATCATTCATTAATCCTTCACTGGGTTAATCGTATCAGAGTGAATGGATGTTCCAAAATGCTTTCATTTCATAGCTTAGACCACCTCTATTCACGTACAGTAACTATGCAGTGATAGCATGCTTTATAGTTGGTCAACGATTTCGCTTGATGAATGTAAAAATAGATCTTGTAAATCCTTTAGCGATCCTTCAGTAAGGTAATTACATTACAGTTCATGAATATTCCAAAATACTTTCACTTGATAACTTAGACTACCTATATTCACGTACAGTACCATGCAGTAACACCATGATTTAAAGATGATCAATGATTCGCTCGATGAATGTTATGTGAAAATATATCTCATGAATCTTTAGCCATTCTTCAATAAGTTCATCATATCAGTCTTAATGAATATTCTAAAATACTTTCATTTGATAACTTAAACTACCTATATTCACCTACAATACTATGCAATAACAGCATGATTTAGAGTTAATCATCTCTCTAATAATTAATTATTAATAGCATGTGAAAATATCTTATAAATCCTCTGGCCATCCTTCAGCCAGTTCATCGCATCAAACTTAATAAATGTTTCAAAATTGAGCTTAGACTGTCTACTGTGTATTAACCATTTAACCTACAGTACTATACTGTGACTCTTGATAATAATCCAATAGCGTGCCAACAACTTACCTCACATCATATTTTAAGTTAACCAGATAACAAAGATAAAAGGCCCATTTCTAGCAACATATACCTCCTATACCTCTCGAGGATAGTTTCAATTGCTTATAATCTACTAAACCTGATCTTTGTTATCAATATTACATAGGCACCATTTCTGACAGGATACGCTAAGCAATCAAGGCTGACTCTTTCAACATACTAAACCAAAATTCGGCAAGTTAATGGCTAGCGAGCAATCTTCCGCAGTGTTATTACCTGCTAATCCTATAGAGCAATACGTTATTTTAGCTAAAAATTTCCATGGTAGTGCTATTGTTTCACTTATAAATCAAGCCTTGGATGCTAATGGAGTATATATCTTTGGTGAATTATTGGAACAACCATCCGTTCAGGAAATAGCTGAAGGCCCTGATGCAAAGTATTACAAGTTGTTAAAGTTATTTGCTTATGGTATTTGCAGTGATTACGAAGGTAAAATTACAGTAATGATTACATATTATATGAGACAATGCAATATTCATAGTAATAGATATTAATAACGAAAGGGATACAGTTTTGCCGATCATTGTACAACAAATATTATTTAGCCAAGGAATTCAACCATAGCATTTACCATTTTGACTATATTAAAATCTTGTAGAGAATAAGGACGAATTACCTGAGCTGACCCTTATTCAAAGGCGAAAACTTCAACAATTAACTATAGTCTCCCTAGCATCCAAGAACAAAGTAAGTTCAATAATTCAAGAGAATAGTGTAGCGTATACAATAGTGTAAGTCAATATCAACAAGTATTTGGCATCAAACACGATCCGATATCGTATGAGTACATTTCATGAAAAAGGGATTATTTGACTAAACAATTGGTATATACATGTAAATAAATTGCTTTGCTAAGTGATCCTACTGTCTCTTCCAGCGTATTCCGTATCATGAATTACAATCACAGCTAGGCATTAACGACTTAAGAGAACTAGAGGTAAGTGAATTGTACATTAAGTCACCTATGATGGTTTTAGTGTCAAAGTTTTTGGTAGAGATGGTATTCAATTCTATTATCTATTGCCTTCTTTTAAGTAATAATTTTACGTACGCTACATTTACTCAGATCAGTAAGCGTTGTTTGTATCATACATAAAAGGATCTAATTATTGAAACCATCTACACTGGCATTATTGAAGGCAAATTAGACCAACAAGAACAAATGGTAACTAGTTGCTGCACTCAATTGTGTTAATATTGACATTTAGGCTTTGCATATTTTAACATTGATCAGATGTCATGTTAAAGTTGTAACCAGTCTTTAATTCTTTATTAGTTTGAGGTAGATTTTGCAATAAGTCGAGATGTCCGATCAGATTCTGTCGATGAAATCATTAATACACTAGAAACTTGGTATGTTGATGACATAACTGCTGATATTCTTACTCAATTTATATGGAATCCCAAGAACTTTTGCACTTTGATTTCTAGCGATATTAATTACTGGTTAATTTATAATGAGATAGGTGCAATAGGTGTGATAGTACATTGAAAGATTTAGAAGATGAAATTCGGAAAGCCAATAGTGTCAAAGCAGAAAAGGAGGCTGCAAAAAATGAAATTAAAAACAAGGTAATGAAACAATTTTATTGTACTTTGGTATTCCTTAGTGGTAGTTATACTTCATCATAAAACACCAGTCGGAGTTCGGAGTGACACTTGGCTCTGATGCCCTAGTTGGCATAGTGGTTTATGGATGTTGATGAATGAACTATTGATGAACCGGCTAAAAAAAATGCATGATTCAAATATATATTGATGTCAAACTTTAGATTGAGAAAATTAAAGCCATGATCAAAGAGGAAGCAGCTGCAAGTGGTAGTGCAACGTCTCCAGGAAAAAAAGAAACTCCTTCTTATTTGAAATTACCCAAAAAAGTTCCTCGAGAAGGAGGAGGACTACGTGGAAGTAAAGTGGGACGAGATTAATGTGTTAAGACTCTGATTTACAGCTAATATTATTGAGTTCGTTTGGTCGAATATTTATAGTGATAAATACATGTACTATCTCAACTAATATGATAGGGGATTAGGATAACTGTATGTACAATATACAATAAAAGTAACCTTAAGTGGTAGAGTCGTGTAACGTATTTGTATTATTACTGTACGATAAAACAAAAATTTACTAAAGCATTTCGATACTACTTTGACGATCATGATGCGATTTGCGGTGTCATACGGATATTGGTTATCCTATATTTTATCCATATCATCGCAGGCAATAGGGCTAGTTGCATATAACATCGTGTTTGATCGTCTCATTCGTAATATAACTGAGCTTTTGTTACTACTTATGAAAGTAGTTTTGTTTATTTGATATATATATAATGCTTAGTAACTGTCTGAAGATTACTTCAGTATTGCACTTCGTTATTAAGAACACTTGATTCCAGTCTAGGTTATAACCATATTTGTATTGAGCTGAGAGTGTCTCATACACTCGTATAAAGCCTAGATGGAATACTGGCTTTTTTTTGTATACAAGTTGTTGAATATACGAGCGGTGATTTTAAAGCCTGCTTTTATTACTACGCTATTACAAATTAAAGGTGAGAATTCCAGTTAGAGTATGCGAAGTCATTTTGAATTTTTACAATCTTGATAGTAAAATTGGATGGTTCTTTGCTAGAGCGCGCTATTGCTATCATGATTATTACTTGTAGCACTTGTAATTTTATAACTTTTATTTCTACCTACTATATAAATTACGTAGCAATCTATATGTCTCTTTGGTCAGTATGCTAGTGACTATCTTTCTCTCGCCATAAATTGATTGGTGGTGTACTACAGTATTTAGGGTTGATCAGAGTTATTTTGGCCCTCATCACTATACTCAGTAGATGATTGCATGGACTCTTTGTATATTATAATGGAAATTGTTTAGCTATCTCAATTACTGTTGGCAGATTATTCTATCAGGTGACTAGTTGATCGTGAAAGATCTTTCTCTCTACCTTTCGCCAAATTACTACAATAAGATCGAACGAAGGAATCTGGAGGATCGATAAGATATCATGCACTACGAGTCACTGATTACTTACTCAGACTACTCCTAGCCATTATTGTAATATGCATTATGCAAGACTTCCAACCACTTGGTCGATATAAAGGAAAAATGCACACATCAAATACTGTTGATATTATTAACCATCAATGTTTATTTTGCAATGCGGTAGCCAGAGCCATTTTCCCCAAACGTTTATCACCATTGAGAACGGTGCAGTGCTCTACAGTATCTCCAATCAAGCAGACTCATTTGTAGTTATTGTAGTATGCATTATGCAAGATTTGCCACCGCATATTGAATTAGCGATTCTAAAGTATTTATTTTCAATACAGTAATAACAGCCGCTTCTGCAAAATAGGTGTCACAAGGATAGACATAGTCATAAACTAGGAATTGCACAGTAAACTACAGTCTCTCCAATCAGACAGGCTGTGAACGAGATGTTTAATGTGCATTTCTAAAACAATTTCTTATTAATAACGTAAAGTCTACGCTTATGAGATAGATTCTATCCACTTTATGACATCGCTCATTCCATTTCTGCAGCCGTTCTTGCTGCGAATTTCCTTCAGTCCCTCCATCCGTTTGTCCATCCGACACCTCTGTAAGTCGTGATCACGACGTGAACACTACGTGATCACCAGACGTGTCGAGGGTGTCCCAGTAGAGTGTACGTAGTGTAGAGCGTGCGTCACCCTCATCGAACGAGAGCCAAGGAGATGCTTCCAGAATGATCACATGACCCTATTAAGCAATGGTGAGTGGCTTGACTTCATGAATGAGTATTGAGTAGGTGGGCGACGGTGACTCTTTTTGCAGACCTTTCAATACTTTGATCAACATGCTCATCCATCTGTGCTACCGACTAGGATTACACTGCACCAACAGCGTATTATGCTATCTTGTTACACGGAGCACAGATGGACGCGTCAACACATCGAGTGTGACGCTACTGTACGAGGGTTGAACACAAAATCGTACGTACTACACTAGTACAAAAGGCTTGACGCAAATTGACTGGTTACAGTCCGGATTTCCTCCTTCTGCAAGCTGGTAAGTCAAAGGGAAAAAAAAAATTTTTTTCTAGTCGAAACTATTTCAATTCGTCGTCATTTGCAGTCAATTTAGAGCTCATTTCCAGTCGTTGAGATCTTTCCTGTTGTAATGGATGGAAGCTACGTGTGTTGTGGTAGTGTAGATTTTATTAGGCTAAAACATTGAGATGGAAAATTAGGACATTTCGCTTACTTGTGTAGATTAGCACTGTGAGAAGAGCGTTTCTACTCTATTGTTGTGCAAATAGGACTTGTACGTGAGCCAGTATTCACCAACAGCTGAGCATAATCTTTCCACAGCTCCTACACCGATCCCACGCCATTTTTAGTACATCATTTGCTAATGATTAGCGTAATGGACGATGTAGTCGCTTACTTTTCTTACAAATGGCCAGTAATGGACGCCATGGACTGTAAATAAATCAATTTTCCTTCATGTTGTCTTTTTTCACTGCACTGCGCTACCGAAACGGATTCCATGGACTACGTCACGTAGGCATATTGTGTTTCAATGTTTGAATTATCTACTTACTCTATATGGCGAGTATACGTAATACAGTGAGGATTCTTCAAATGATCTTAGAATAGGACTAAACTGAATTAGTAGCACTAAGTAGTAAAATAGCTTGCATGAACGGTAAGCTGAACCAAGTACAGTAGTCTCTACTGGAAACGAACTTGTAGTACCATACAATTATCCAATGAAATCTTGGCTAATTCAAAGTACACTTCTACGTCGAATTGGCAGTATAGACTAATAGACGTAATTATTATTATTATGCTGTAATAAGTATCATTAATATGATCACTTAACGTACCAATGCAGCAATCCTTATTCATCATGAGTCATACGAGACTTAGAGCAAACCGTGAACAGGTGGAACTATAGGTACAAAGCTATTGATGCATTTTGTTGCAGGGTGTAAAACGTCAATTGATAAATCTACACTAAATTACGATGCACGCAACTCCCAATGCGATGTCATGGTAATTTTTCATGCGTAATAAATTGGTCCAAACTCATGAGAGCTACTTTCAATCAACTTAAAGTTTTTTGAATAAATTATTTATTTATAAAATCATCGGTCAATATAGTACATGATTAATAATTTTTACCGTAGAAATAACATAAAATTTGAACTCGACATGACCCGAAAATTTTTGTTGTAATCGCAAGGACGATCATGTTCTGTAGCGCTAGACAACACTCGATAGGTAGTTTACCTATTAAAATCAAGTGACAGTAATTTACTTTTAATACAGGTCGATTCTTAAATTGAACTTTAATATTATTATTTCAGCGACTGACTGTGAATCAAACGTCTTAATGTTTGTTATCGCATAAGTGTATATGTCATATAGGACATATATAGAGATAGATAAGAACATGGGAATCTGCAACTTTTTAGACAATTAAAGTAGTATTTTTCTTATGCTGCAGATCTTTGTCCTTTACTGCTGACGTGTCGATCTTACTCTCTGAATAAACAATCATGGTTAAAGTCGGAATTAACGGGTAATGGAGAGCCTTCTTTCTTGATCGGCTTACGTATACGTATGATTAGTTATGAATCATCACTGGTGCCAATATTTCAACATAGAATACGTATATATTCACTCTCTGCTTTCGTGCAATAGGTTCGGCCGTATTGGTCGTCTGGTATTTCGTGCATCCATTGCAAAGGGTGGCGTAGATGTTGTTGCTTTAAATGATCCCTTCTTGGATGCCGAATATATGGTATGATCTTAATAGAAGTAAATAGTAGTACCGTGCTAACGTTAGCGCAAGAGTAAAACCTAGAGCTTGACGCAGTTTCAAGAATTGTATCTTGTTTATGCCAAAGCTGTCATTTTTACTCTTACAATTCAATAGCTTATGTTTAGTTAACGTCAGTACTCATTATCAAGGAAAGTTTTCGGTTAGTGTCGTTTTGAGATAGTACTGCAATGATGCACAGTATAATCAATGCTTGTCTGCAATGTCTTAATGGTATAATATGTAAGTTACCATAGACAGGAATTTTATACACATACTTATTAACTCATTCAGTCAGTTAACAGCTGCTGATGTAAAATGAATTGTTTTGATATTTCAATAGGAATGGATTGTGTATTGTATAGTACTGACATTAACAAGCATTATAGTATTTCTAGCATAATTCTGGGTATACGTATATGTCTATACTATAGGCTTACTTGCTCAGATACGATTCGACACATGGCAGATTTAGTGGCTCAATCGAAGTTAAAAATGGAAACCTAGTTGTCAACGGCTCAGAAATCAAAGTATTCGCAATGTAAGTATTTTTCCATTATTACCTGAAATGTATCTTAGTTTGTGTATAACATTTGAAATATATAGGATACTGTTGACACTTGATTATTTAAAATCAATAATTATGAGCTAGTAGAGAGTAATAAAATTGTTTCAGCTGCAAAACTATTTTAACTATGAATTTACGCCAAAAGCTAATTGCATGATTTGTCATCTTTCTACTATTTACTATATTACAGTATTTCAGTGTCGTTACATGTCTAATTTCGAATTACTAAATTAACAGTCGAAATCCCGCGGAAATTCCTTGGGGAGTCTCCGGCGCTGATTACGTTGTGGAATCTACCGGTGTATTTACTACCCTTGATAAGGCTAAGGTAATTTACAAGTTCGAATAAACATCCAGTATAAAATAGACATCGGCGTATTAATTTTTGTAGACTAAATATAGTAATAGACCATCACTTCTACTTTAATGTAATCGTAAGCCACGCCACCTTGTTTTTGTGTAGGCTCATTTAACTGGAGGTGCAAAGAAAGTTGTGATCTCTGCTCCATCCGCTGATGCACCTATGTTTGTCATGGGAGTTAATCACACCAAATATGATGCTAAAAGCATGGATGTTGTAAGGTATCGTAAAAATTTTAGAATTTTAAAACTATAATTCTGGATGGAATGAGCTTGATGTCATAACGCTGTAAACAATATGTGATAATTTACAGCCATATCATAATATCGAGGCACCGATAACTGACTAGCAACAAAATAGTTTTAATTTAATGAATGATTTATTTATAGCAATGCATCTTGTACCACAAACTGTTTGGCTCCTCTCGCTAAAATCATTGACGATAACTTTGGTATTGAGGAAGGACTAATGGTAACTTACATCTTTTGTTACGTATGCAGACAACTCAAAATTTAGACCGATGACTTTATAATTATGCTTCAAAAATTTTTATAGACGACGATTCATGCTTTCACAGCTACTCAAAAGACTGTAGATGGACCTAGTGGCAAGGTTTGTATTATATCAACTACCGTACTTGATCACTTAATCGCTTTAGCGTGTACCAGAGGTACTCATATCTGCCTCATTAAAATCATGAACAATAGTCGATAATTTCAAATGCTTTCTGCAGAAATGGCGAGATGGTCGTGGTGCCGGTCAGAATGTAATCCCAGCGTCGACTGGAGCCGCTAAAGCTGTTGGCAAAGTTATCCCCGAATTGAATGGGTATGATTATGCTCCGTTGCTGCATATCAATGATAATGAATCGTAGAAAGCATACTAAATTGATTGTAATTTGTGCTTTTGCTAGCAAATTAACTGGTATGGCATTCCGCGTTCCAGTACCTGATGTATCTGTGGTTGATTTAACCTGTCGTTTGAAGAAGGAGGTTAATTTTGCATAGATACAAAAATATAACGTACAAAATTTATCAATAAAGGAGTTTAGTAATTTTATAATAATAATCGGCTAGACTACCTATGAGGCCATCAAAGAAGCCGTTTCTAAAGCCTCCAAGTCATCTGAATTTCAAGGTATCATGGGTTATACCGAAGACGATGTTGTATCATCCGACTTTGTTGGAGATACTCATTCCAGTATTTTTGACGCTAAAGCTGGAATCATGCTTAGCGGCACCTTTGTCAAGCTGGTATCTTGGTATGCTTTGTGATATAAAGTCTATCTTTACTCTTAAATTCGTTCTGATCTTATTCATAAATTTACTGAAATAATACTGAACTCGCATTTTATATGTCGAATTGTTAACGATAGGTATGACAATGAATTTGGCTACTCGAATCGTGTTATCGACCTGATCCGTCATATGGACTCTCAATAAAGTGACTATTTACATTGCGAGCTATTATGTGACGTAAATGGACTGAGTTTAGGCTAATCGTTGAGCATTGCTATGCTGTAGACCGAGTAATATGATGTAATAACTATAGGTATAGTTATTCGTTTTTTTAATTACTTTCGTTATTGTAACCTGTATATGCTCAATGCATGTGGACAGTAACATAGAAATTTACAACTAAATGTTAAATTTGGCTTTTATGATGCTCTATGAATGTTGTTATTGAGTGAGAATGGGAATGGTTACAATATCGTTATAGTTGTGATTGGAATACCTCGTTATGTATTCAATATAACTTTATGTATCCCCTAAGAAGATTACATCTTTGTAAAACGTTGATCATGCAGTGAAATCATCGCTGTGATCTACTGGTGTGATTTTAACTCAATAAAATTATTGTATGGTATTTGTGTGTACCGTAAGCCGCTGGTTTGTCACTGTTCTTACTATTGTAAATACAGTCGTTTTATTCGTCTTAATTGATAATCACGATTAGAGTTCACGATCTTAAATTGTGTTGCACTGTGCCTCAGATGACTTATACGTTACGATTTGTCTGTTATAAGGATGGGACTCGAAAGTTGCAGTGGCGATTTCCTTGTAATGTTACTTAAAATTGCGATATTACATTAGAAATGGATGTTTTGTAGAAAGGATATCGTAGCAAAATACTTTTCAACATGACCGTCACTGGTCATCACTTTAGACTCTATTATATATGTTGATCTCGTCGATGAAATAACATGACAGCAATATCAGTAAGCCTCCAATCCAGCGTGCATGCAAGCTGGACCATTTCTTGTTAGCTCTAATATTTAAACAGGCATACTATATATTGTTCATGCTCTAGAAGATTAATGTTAGATAGTAGAAAGTGCAGTAAATAAACTCTACCGTATATACGAAGTATTCTAAGTACTAAAGCGGTACATGGTTGCATACGCGAGATTCATTTTGGTAGTCAATTTTCAAGTTACGACGCTGACAATACAAACGCAGATTTGAAAAGGAGTTTTGAGTTCGTATTACATATAAGAATATCCTTTTATTTCTACTTCAGTAAGTACAGTACATACATTACTGTAGCATTTGATGCGATACACTATATTCTTAGATCCTGATGATGCTGTTGAAGTATATCGTAGAAGAGCAACAGTTGGATGCATATGGATCGCCAAGTTTTCATAGTACTGTACAAGGCATGATTGCAAAAGTATAGATAAATTGCCATATTTCAAAATATGATGAAAGTTCTGTTTTATGCATCAAAAATGTAATAGTCTACGATCATACTTTATAATGTATTTCGTCTTCAATACAAAACGACTTAGTTTGGATATAGAAAACCAACATCAATCTGGCTGGAAATAATGACAGTTCTCATCCAACAATACGCATGCACGCTAGCAATCTTCTCGAATTCATAATTAATTCATAAAGCAGCGGCAGCGGCTAAATTGCATCAGCCATCAATGAAAGTAAGTGCAGAGTTGATAGTAGGTTAAACTATGCGATAGTGTCTGATTTAATATTCTTACAACATAAGGATAAATCTATTCGGTAAGCTATTAAATAGGCAAGCATATTGCAGGCTTGAAATTAGATTCTATCGTTGATAGAGAGAGTAAAGACTTGAACCAAGTTTGCATGATTTGACATTTTGCTTCCATGACTTTCTTATCAATTTCATGAGCTTTACAAATTAGAGCATCAATTACAATCAAGGTTTAGTCTATCCTTATGGTATATCTGATATCCTTCAACGTAGTGCTAGTTTTATTTTATCAGTGTTAAAACTGTTAACGCAAAATAGAGTACGAGTAGACATGGATAGAAAGTCTTGGTAGATCATCAGCCGGTCGATAAGCTACTTTCCATAATCATCAAGTTTATCGATCATCTATCAGCATAGCTAGAAAATAGAGTAGGATCGAGTGATCGTAGCGCAAAGAAAGCTGGAATGGCTTGAACTGTTAGTGTTGGTAAATAACAATTTAGGACGATATTCTCGATTTCTTGTCTATCGTTGATAGATTTGTACTCTACCGCATTAGTATGAAATACTCTACCAGCTTTGGATATAAGGTACAGATTAAGTATGTAAAAGTTCTTGATGGACATATTTAAGTATGGCTGGAAAGTAAATCGAAAAGTAATCGGCGGAGATGGATAGAGAGATTGCTCTAAGCTCATCATTTTATACTGTACCTTGGCTAAAATTCAATAATTGTAATTGATAGATAGCCTAAAGTCATTATTGATATGCTTTAAAGCCTAACTTTCTCTGAAGTTGTGATATTTGTACATTTGATCGCCGCTTGGCACGATATTCTTGTCTACGCAACAGTTATAAATCTCTTTTAGGTAAGAAAGGTTATTCGTTCTCAAGATGTCTAGCTCCATCTCAGATTTTCGGTTCTACCAGTAGCAATGTTATAACTATAGTAATTCTACAAGAACTAACTACCACTTTTGGGTATACTAGTCAGAACTTTTATTACTCACATAACAATATCCTCCTGTGTAAATCACACATATACCTAGTTTCATATTCATTAAAAGTTATATTAAGAAAATAGGTTAGAACTACAGTAGTTGTCCAATGAGTGTAAAGGGTGGCTACTCATGCAAAATATTGCAGTAGGACTTGTCTTAACTCTACTCTATTTCTCTATATTACTTTTACATTGCGTTATGAAATCGATAGTCAAGTTTGCGGTCACTGTCGATTTCGTACTCAGTGATATTTAAAGTCGACAAGCGTTAGTATTTTCGTTGTTTCTACCTATACGAAACCTTAAAATCCGTAGATATAATCCTTGATTGATCAGGCTGTACATAATTATTGCTTCATGTTATAGCAATCGTCAGCTAACGATGAATTAATCGCTCAATTGTAATTTTCGTTGTTATATTGATGCGTTCCGTCTACTCTGCAGTTTAGGTTCTACTGGCTACTAAGATATAACAAGTGCCATGACCGAATATGCATTAGGTGCTCTAGCAGCTTGTGGGGCAGGCTTTTTCACGAATCCAATAGAGGTTGTAAAGACGCGTTTGCAACTTCAAGGTGAATTACAAGCTCGTGGATTGTATCAACGACATTATCGAAACCCTATACAAGCCTTTTTTGCTATTGCTAAAACAGATGGAATATTAGGCTTACAAAAAGGTATTTCAATGTAGATATTATAGAATTATGCATGGGATTAGAGATGGCAACTATGAAATAACTAGAGGATTTAATGATATTATTATAATCCTATGCAGCAAAATCTACTGTATGAATGCTAAATGTTGCGTATGAAGTAAACCAGATAGCGGAAGTGCCTACTAATTGATCTTATGGTACTTCCGGATCTATAAAGTGAAGTCTACTTAGGGCTGCCTCGCATAAAATTAATTGAATATGTTAGTGGAAAATTACAGCTCATGATACCAATGCGATCATATACAGTAGAAACTACCTCTGTATTACCCCTTGATTAATTTAAAGAGGATTCAATAGATAAATAGGCAGATAGAATATTTATTTCAAGCTCAATATTTTATCTACTCAGATTCATCGCATTTTATATTCAATTAATAAAGTTATCCAAAGAATCCACAGGTTTCTAATCGAAAGATTGTGTATCTTCCGTGCAGTATTATGTAAAATGAACATCTTGATGGAATTATTCCGAAACGCAGTAGCTCTTACTAGTTATTATTAATCTACGACTAGTCGCTATTATACTGCTTTTATCATATGTCAGCGAGGGAGTGATTTTAGTTGCTTACATACTCTTTTATGCAATTATGAGCAAGTCAGCTATATTATATTATTAAGAAATTTCTTAAAATAGACTTGAAATACAGACATAGATCCAGAAATAGAATATATATCTACTAATGTTCCATTGAACTGCTAATATTCTGAAGGATTAGGGCCTGCTTTAGTCTATCAATGTACTATGAACGGCATACGGTTGGGAAGTTTTCAAGTAATATTAAACAGTGGCTTAACAAAGGATAAAAATGGTAATCAAAATGCTTTAAAATGTGTGTTAGCTGGTTGTTTCGCTGGCATGTGTGGTGCTTTCGTTGGTAGCCCTATTTATATGGTAATTGACTCAGAATAGATACGATGATCTTTCTGATGAGATTTTATTTCCAGTGTCTGTCAATAATTAATTAATCATAGTCAAATCTATGTATACCGCGAAATACTGTAATAATGAAAACTATAAAATAATCTGTCAGTATTTATAGATAATTCTTTACGGATAAATCCGTGCATACCACAAAATACTGTAATAATGAAAGGTACGAAATTGTAGGACTATATTCACTACCACTATTTAGTTATACAATGTCTTATCTTTCAAGATATAGAATTAGATTGAATAGATTTACCAGGTGTGCAGTATACCTGTATGACTAGCAAAATCTAATTAATCAATCCCATGATATATAGAACAAGTATTCTATATTGCATATTCAGATTTATTGTCTAGATCGGTTAGTATCATCGGAATATGATAACTTTGGATGCGATAATTACTTTGGGTTCTACAATCGTTATTAAATAGTTTATGCATGATGACAATAATACATTATGGAAAATTTATGATTATACTGTAACAATTATTAAAAATAAATATCTGTACAAAATTCATACCTGCCTTAGCAGGTGATAAAATTAATATTTTTACATGCTTTACAACCGATATTACCACCATTCCATGTTTAAACCTGTAGAATACTTACTACTCTATATTATCTGCTCTGGTACCTTCATTAAATTTAAAATTGAATTGGTATACTGATTTTACAGGTTAAAACGCATTTACAAGCACAAAGTACTAGCTCTATAGCTGTAGGATATCAACATCATCACAATAGTTCTTATCAAGCATTAAGGGAAATTTATTTAAAGTTTGGAATTCGAGGATTATGGCGAGGGGCAAGCGGCGCCGTTTTACGTACCATGGTAGGTTCTGGCATTCAATTGAGCACTTTTACACTTATCCGAGATAAAATTGCTGGTTTAAATCTGTGGCCCAGCGGCTCAGTATGCGTACCCATAAGCGCAAGTTTTGTTAGTGGCATAATGATCTCGATATGTATGACTCCTTTTGATGTCGTCAGTACGCGGTTATTTAATCAAGGTGTTGACAGTACTGGACGCGGCCAACATTATACTGGTGTTTTAGATTGTTTTATGAAGATATTGCGAAAAGAAGGTGTCCCTGGATTATTTAAAGGCTTAACAGCTTCCTATTTACGACTTGGACCTCATACAGCTTTATCATTAGTCTTTTGGGATCGTTTACGTCGGCTTTATTATGGCAATAATAACAAGTGATCAACTTTACTCTATCCAATAGAGTGCAATACTAGTAGCTAATATAGCCATTCATATTGTATGTTTTGGGTATAGTTTAAATTTCGAAAACATTTCATTTATTAATTTTAACGATATATTCAGTTATTAAAGTTAGATAACTTTAAGATATATCTCATATATCCATGTAACGAGAAATGAGATTGTAATACAGTGACCATATCTTAATTGCTTAATTAAAGCCTTCTCAACTAGGCACTTGATATGTATACCATATCGGTATTATCAATATTCTAATTTTTTAGTTATAATGAAGTTGGTTAAAATTGGGAGATAAGTATGGGCTAAATCATGGTATACTGTAAGCATGAAAATCTGCTAATGTTGTTATTCCACGGCTAAAAATGTCTTCTACATAATCTAGTAAAAAAATGCTGCTTAATATTGTTTTGATAAAACTACGAAGGCTAGGTCGATATTATATTTCTCATGAATACTCTATAGCTGCTGTAGAGGAGTGTGAGTGTGTTTCTAGATGGAAGATATGAATTATACAGTATATATATAAATTGTAAGTCTCTTACGCAGTTCACCAAAGAACTTGGACTTCTAATTTATACAATAAAAATCAAATGAAATAACTCTAAAGAACTAACGGTAAAGAAATTTTTATCTACTTTGAATTGCATGTTAAAATATATCGGTCGGATATCATGAGGAGTTGCGATTGGTAGAATTTTACTCATCGTATATACCTTTAGAGCTTTTCTATTTCCTATATGCATAGTAGGATGATATCTAAAAGTACTACTAGATAGAAACGCCCGAAATGTCAATATCTTAATTCAAATTTGATCCGAAAAATTTTCTTCTAATGAGGATTCGATCCCAAGGGAAGGTATAGGTGTGATGAAAGATTGGTGCTAGCAAACGTGGTTTCATTCAAGTTTTCGCTATTAATAATGTTAGATGCTGCTATAAGATACAAATATTAATCTGTAGTTTATCCCGTCTGTGCAGACTGCTGAGTTACCTCAAATTGTAGGCAAATTAGATGCTGAATCAGATATTCAACTTACAAACTCTTTTAAGCAAAGACTTAGGATTCATAACGTTTATATCTCATCCCTAATGTTTATGAATCATATAAATTATAGCTATTTTTACGAATTTCTAACTGTTTAACCTAGTATTTCAATCGTTTTACATACCTTACCTAAGCAGCAAAGACATGATGTAATGAAAGGAATGAACTGAATCGTCGATCTATCATTTCTTAAATTAAAATTGCTTGGTTACTTCCAACATACTCGTATCTGTATATCAATAAATGTCGTAATCGGATATTGAATATATAGACTATGTACTAAAGTAGTCAGGCATACGGAATAGACTACTGAATTGCCATAACTTGTAGACAAGTTACTAATCTCACCAAAGATAAATGAATAGATTCTTATCCGTGAAACTTCAAACATGGGCATAACATAGATATTGTCATGGTACAATTGCTTCTATTCATTCGCATCCCTAGCTATTTAATGAAGTATTTTAACCTATACTACATATTCTGACAGATAGGACAGGTTCACCAAATGAATGAATACAGTGTACAGCATATAATTATAATATTTACATCTCTATAATTGAAGCATGCTATATTTTCATAATCGAATTGTCTTTTCTCAAACTACAATTTTTGCAGAGTTAACTATCTAACGCCCTGAATATTGAAAGGCATCGCAACATTTTTGCATGTATATCACTAATTTCTTATATATTGTGCGTGCATATTACATATATGCATAGACAGGACGATATAGAGGAATAAACTGCTGAATTGCCTCAAATTACTAGTAAATTAGAATTTGCATCAGATGTTTCAATATACGTATGCAGATATTTTAACATGAGGAGAATAAACGGTTATATCCTATACATATTACCTTAAATGGATAAAATTATATTTATTTATACTAAATTTCTTATATAATATTATATAAATGCATAAACAAGGTCGTCTAGCTCAATAGACTACTAAATTGCCTCCAATTACTAGCAAATTAGAATTTGTATCAGATATTTCAATTTACAGATATTTAACATGAGATGAATAAACGGTTATATCCTATACCGGTACATGTTACCCTAATAGACAAAATTATATTTATATCAAAATTCTTATATAACATATATAACATAGATGGGGTTGTATAGGTCAATAGACTACTAAATTGCCTCAAATTACTAGTAAATTTAGAATTTGCATCAGATATTTCCATATGCAGATGCTTTAACATGAGTATATTACCCTAAATGGACAAAATTAAATTTATACTTAATTTTCTTATATAAAATATACGCGTATATGCATCAACAGGGTTGTTTAGGTCAATAGACTATTGAATTGCCTCAAATTACTTGTAAATTATAATCTGCAGATGTTTCAATATACAGATATTTTAATATGAGGAAAACAAATGTTCGTCTTCCGTGCATACTACCCTCACTGGAAAAATTATATTTATCATCCGTTCTAGTCCTATCTAGGCTGTAAACATACATTAATCAATAGAATGCAGTCCCAGTCTAGGGATTATTTTTAACATCGAATAGTCATTTCCTAGACCAGAATTGCGTCATACAATAAAAGTATTACGTATTAAGCGCATATTGAAAAAACTAGTCTGCTACTGTAAAAATCATCGGACCCCATGTGATCTTGAATACTAATCCAGCTATTATTTTTCAAGGCGACAGAAACCATAGGATGCAGGAATGTCATGAACAACCTCATCATCTAGCTATTCTAATACGCTATTAGGTAATTGATATCAATAACCAATCAAGTTCTTGGCCTAGCTGTAAATTATCATAATAATAGTAAATAGAATGGAAGATAAACTATTGACATGCTATTCTCTATCTAGCAAATCATGCACATCTACGTTAATAGCCCAATTAGATGGCATTAAGGAGGAGAATGAATAGTTTAGCAAAATTTCATATTGAATTTATTCAACGCAAACTTGACATGAGAAATTTTCCTCTATTCATCATCGGCTTAGTTCATGGCGGTGTAGCCATAGCAACAGTGATGTCAGTTGTTGTTGCTGTGGTATTTTTTGTCTTGGTTGGAACTAATAGACACGAGAAGAATATTGTTGACATATTCCATTCTTATCTATATTCAATATTATGGAAAAAGGCCATGGTAGCAAGTATATTGGGCTATTTTTATACACATTAGATCGGAATAACAAAGAATAGGCCTTGCCTAGTTGACATCACAGCATCTTTTCAACAAGTCATCACTCGGTAAGACGAAAAAAGTAAGACAGAATATCGATCCAGACTGCTAGCCACTCAATTTAATAGCTGATTTAATTTTGATATTGGACAGGATATACTGTTATAATTTGGCTAACTAATTATTTTGAACTTCAATTCTGTGCTATTTGGACATCTATAAACTATTCCTAACTTGAAAAGATTGATTTTAATATCGCATTATTATAAAAATTCCATCAACGTCGACAACGCAACATTTTATTGTACACTTCGCGGGATTATAATAACTCTATAACGCCAAGATAAAAAGAAAATCAGATAGGGTGATAGTGTGAAAAAATAGACGATTTTATCCCTCAAAACACTTTTCCTTCTATCAAAAATATCCAATTACTTGTTTTTTATTGGTTATTATCAATACATCAAGAACATGAAACAGCTAGTACATGAATAAGTAGATCTAAGTTACATAGTTGATCTAATATCTTCGCTAAAGATATAGACAGAAAAAACAAGACTTCTACTCAGTATTAACTGATCATGGGTAGAATGGCTGATGCAGAGTAAGATATACATAGCTTATAAACATCGATCAATAATTTAGTCATTATAAGCTAGTTGAATTAAATTAATCACTAGCATTAGGATATTAAAAAGGAGTCATAGCCTCGAATATTTCTCAGAATCTGTATTCGGCGTCTATTTTATTCTTTTTAGATCTATTATAAGTGTAACTAGTTCCGGCTCTTATGGCATGGGCGGCTCTAGTAAGTCCGACACCAGCACTGGTAAAACTTTAATGGTTGCCACTGCTGAAGATAATTTAAATTCTCCAGATAAAGCTAAAAATGCCAACACGAGTGGCTATCTACCGGAGGTAAGATTTAAAGTCAGGTGTAGCTCGAATAGTTTTTGTTCCTTCGTCTTGGAGCACTTTGGCTCTATTTTGATTTGATTCCAATCCATCATAGCTAGATACCTAGGCAATGAATCATTTTTATGTTGATTAAAAGTGGTCATCAATTGCCTAGATATAATTTTCTGTAGCCTTTTCCATCGCCTCCATCAATTCTGATAGGATCATTGTTTTGCCAACGCTAATTCTCTGGTCAATTTCGACTTATTTCATCATCTCGATTTTTTCTCCTTCCCCTCATAATTTTCTCATCGACGCCTTTTGATACACTTAGCGTTAATCTTTCGAATATCATTCAATACAAGTGATCCATTTTTAATTAATTTCATGTACTTCTATTACTTCTATTCACAGAAGGTTAAAAGAAAGAAGTGTGCAAACACTGTAGATAGTAAATGCCGAATTTTGATCTTAACTTGGCCAATTAGATTAATTTCAGATGCACAGGACTAAACTAATCCTATCCCGTAATATATAAGGCACTTAAACTAGTCTATACATTAAGATTATCCTCTGATTATGCGATAAGAAATTGACTGAAGATTAAAATAGCAATTAGAACATTATACCATCTATATCTTTATTTTATCCTCTCGACCTTTCCACCATTTTATACGTATAAAGTGGCTTGAAATTATAAAATAAACAATCTCATCTCGAGATTAAAAAATGCGCTAATACCGCACTAGTTTTGTTCCCATTACTATTCATCGAGATCATCTAAGCCTAGAAAAAAATGTTTCAGAATAGCTTAAATTCTTTATCTTGGGATTTAATTAACGCGTAAAAATCCGCAATTACTTTTTTAGTCAATTTATACCTTTACTTCGATTGTTGAGAAGCACTAGAGTAAATTGTGACCTAGACAGTGTTGAAGTGGAATATTGTGATTATAAATAATGATCAGGGTAATTTAAATTTACCATCATTAACCATAAGTAAACTATTAAAACACTAAATACTTGTTATACTGTAGATACATCTTGAAGTAGAAAGTTTTTTAACAAAGATCTTCATATTAAGTCAGTAGTTTAAGTTTTTAGCCCTAAATTTTATCGGAAATCATAGATTGAGTCTTGTAGTTTATACCTGTAAATCGTATTAATAGATTATAGCATTCTCCTGTAATATCCATATCTACTTTAATTAGCTTATTGATTATCAATTCTAACGTGGCTGATGCTTCAATTTTCAACTTAGATTACCCTTTAAAATTCGCGATAATTAATTTCGTTTAGCTATTATATAAGACTGCTATTAAGAATATTATTCCATAAATGACTACTATCCACGGGTAGCACCATTAGGATCAATTGCGATGATAACAACTTATTACACTCCCTATTTAAAAGTCTACTTATGCGGCCGTGATTGCTTAAAAGAGCAAATTGATCAATGATGAAGGACTCTAAATTAGCATTAGTCTTCAGAAAGATCGACTACGGTTAACAGAAATAGAATATTTTAAGATAGGAGGCAGATGAAATTGGATAGCTTTCATTGATCTTGATTATTTCTATACCACTTTAGCTACCTTCAGATCGTTTTTCACAAACAAATTGGAATGATTTAAGACGAGCAGTTGTAACAGGAGATAGACTTCGAGCACCACGTGTTAGAAGAGGTAAGAGATTGACGGATTAATATATGGAATGAACCAAATGCTAATTATCCTATCCATGATATTTTTAATTAATGATTTTATTCTAATCAACAGCTCCAGATCCTCGTGATCGTCAGCGTAAACCAACACCAATGGAAGCATTAGAACCTATTACCACTATTAAAACTCCATCTAGGAAAAATCCTAAAATAAAACGTTACGATTATCGAAATAGTTTAGAAAATTGGGAAAATGTCACAGTAAGTTATTTTCGTAAATAGAATAGCATAAATTTACTTTTGATAGAATCTTGCAGTTATTTATTCCCATTAGAAAGTATACTAAATCCATTTTCTCTTGTTCTTTCCTAGCATGTCAACTTATCATTTCAAGATTTAGGCCATGGCTATCAACGCGAAAATTTCACGCGGATATTACATCGATTATTAAGAACTCAACACTTACAACTTATGGATAACTCATTAGATGATTTAAGCAAAGTATCATTACCAGGGTAAGTAACTCTATTTCATCTTATTTGATTTTCCACTTGGTTTATTAGCTATATAAGAAGGATGTCTACGCTACAACAATGAGAATCGAATTTTTGAATATTCAGTTATACTATTATTAACTTCAAGTATCATCGCATAGTTTTATTCAAGAGGCTTGTAGTAGAAGATTGATTGTCTTCAACATTAGTTTACATTTCCCTAGAGTAACCATGTAACTGATTCATTATTTCATCTAGTATACTGTATCAAAATAGCAATCCTATTAAGAGCTTGATTTGAGGAGTGTATTCTAATGAATTACGACATTCAAGGTTGATGGATATATTCTACAAATGAATCAATGAAACTCATTTATAGAAACTTTTGCTTTAAATTAATATCCATTCTGTATCATAACTGAAAATTGAAAATGCACATATAAGAAATTGAGATTTATTTGGCTTTATCCAATATTAAAACTAATAGTTACTTATTAAATGTCTATGTAGAATAATATAAGAAAGATTAATCTATTTCATCAAGATAATTAATTAACCGTTTTTCATTGCAGGTGTACTCATTTATGGGTTCAAAGGAATTTCTTAGATAGCTTTAAAGTAAGTCTTTCGATTCGATATATCCAATACAGCATAAAAAACAAGCTGCTATCATTTTCAATAGTTATGATCGCAATTACAGTGTTCATGATTGAGAATTAACGTGAATTATTATTTTATTCTATATTAGAAATTACCCAAAATTCCCAATATTAAATTTCTTCAATTATCAGAAAATGGTATTGAATCGTTAAGTGGATTACGTAAAGTAATAGGTAAATCATCAATAGAATATTTGGTATTAAAAGGAAATCCGGTGGAATTACAAGAAAATTATCGAATTGAGTAAGTCAGGATAGGATTGAAATAGTTACAGATAGAGTCTATACAGGGTTCGATTTTTTAATATACCAGAGTCATCAAAACAATTTATTAGATCATATACTACAGTTCTATGACGACACTAATAGTTTAATCGATTGATAGTGAGCTAGGGAGTAAATAATTTCACTTCTAATCCAATCTACTTCATTTAATTACAGGGTATTTCAAGCTATACCAAGCCTAAAAATCTTAGATGGTATACCTAAATTACCTAGCGATGAACCTCTTGATCCAAATGCAACCAATAATGGTCAATCAACTGCTTGTATTATATCATAGCATCCGGGTTAATACTTAATTATTAGCTAATCTATTAAGAGTTATTACAATTTTTGTCTAATTGGTACAACAACGACAATCAGTTATGGTATTCACTATAGCTGAGATACAACTTGAAATCCATGATTTCTCTAAATTTCAACATAACAGACAACTATGGTTAATATACATAGGAATATCATACTAAATAAAACGACGATATGCTCATGACTATTCATGAAGCGGTAATAATATCCTATCTTGACTATAATAATGATCAGTATCATTATTTATTAGTATAGATTATGAAGTAGACTGGGTAGTTTGTCATTACTTCTGATATGATCATGTCAAGTGGAATACTTTCGTATTCTATATTTTCCTTTTAATTTGAAATACTATAATGATCAACGCTCTTATGCTACCCTCTGTCATTTTCCATCATCGTTTTTTAACTGTTTTTATAATTATTATGGCTATCGACGCACAGAATACCTATGCCATGTATCGGACGTCGAGCAATATATAGGATTCAAATGTATTTATACTATGATAGTAGTATAATTTAATTTTGTATTAATATTGCTTGAAAGTAAAGAAAATATTCTAGACAATTAGTTCTGTCAACTTTATCTCGCTGTCATGATTGTTTGCAACTGCAATCTTGTATGGAATATTGAGAGACGGAATATGATTTATTGATTAAAATTTGATGGTATCAATTGATGCAATATGATTAATGTAAGATGAATCATATCATTTGTGGATCGAAGATAAAGGATAGCCATAACGTTAACATTTGCTCGTACTGCTCACCATTAATCATATGCAATTGATCATTAACCACAAGAATAGATAGTTTAACTTGTATTTTGGACTATCATGTATTACAGTGACGATGATATGGATATAAAATATAATCCATGTATGATCAGAAAAAATTTTTGACTTGATGGTGACCAATTTTAAAATGTCACCTTGTATGTGATTTTTTTAACTTTTGCCTCTTGCTGGTTATTGTTGATATCATCATGTATCAATTGATTTTGTTTTGTACTATTTCTATTTATGTAGTCAAATTGGATTTAGCTTTTATCTTAAATACCGTAAAGATGAGTTATTAATTTCCACTATTTATAGACTAATGGTGAACAATTATTAGTTATCAAATCTATCATAGAAGGATCCTCTGAGGTTTAGATATATAATGACAATACAGAGATTTTTTTTGGTGTGTAGAAATGAAATTGGAATTTTATTTGGACAAATCTCTTCAACATAATGTAGAGAGATGAACTGACTTTCGATATCATTTTGTTATGATCATTTTTATTACATGATATTAAAACCTGCAAGTATTCTCAGCCTCAAGCAAATAATAAAGGTTCTATTAAAATATGAGATGTAGAGTATTTATAAGATATTGGTATTCAATTTTGAGCTAAAAAACTTAAAAATAAGCATAAAGTAAATCACTGTTATAAATCCCTAAAATAGAATAAGATGTAATTATTTTAAACAGCTAATTGGTTTAACCTGCCGTCAAAGTAATTCTCAAAAATTGGAATATAGTCGTCCTATTTCCAAATTGAAAGTATGGCTAACGGTAAATCATGGTTATCTAGTAAATAGTGAAAGATGAAAATCATGATACCGAAGCGAAATTTAGGAGTTAAAATGATCATGCATTGTCTCGATCTTTCTGGCAGAATAGATATTCCATATGGTCATTTCAAATCGTTTCAGAAAAGATATTGGAATCGTTTTTCGTTTTCGAAAGGACCTTTCCCTTCGGTTATTTCTATAGCACACGATTCTGCCTTACATTATAGACTGCAGTCTAAAATGATACATTAACATACTTCACTTTTCTTCCACAATGATACTAGTAATAGTAACTATAATTATATCAGAAACTTGAAGCCTAATTTGTTACTTACCAACTCAGAACATGTTAGAATTTAAAGGGAAATTACACAGTTGAAACCAAAATATTTCATAGACAACATTTTAATAACTTGCAGATTATTATGCGTATTAGACCATTAAATGATTAGCTTCATATATAAATAGTATCGGAGACTTCTTAGAAGTCCTCGATAGTACTATGTACCACATACAAAATACTCATCAGAAAACGTCGTTAATTATATCGATATTAGACTTAAGAGACAGAAACGCATCACTAATATCAGTTGCTACACTAATGCAATATTTTAGTCTAGCACAATATTCTTCGTTAATAAGGTCTCAATAACATTGAACAATATTCATTTACTGTTATAGTAGCAGTCGATATATTCATTGTTCATTTACTGTTATATAAATAGCCCATTATGCAAAATAATTATATCATTACTTAATGTACTAGCAAAGGATAAATATAGCATGTTGCCATCGGATCGGGCAGACGCATTATTTTAAAAACTCCCAAAAAAGTTATCATGAAAGGAGGCAGCGATGTAATTAGGTTCAATTTATTGCCCACAAATTGAAGATTGAAAAGTATGAAGAGTAGTATCTATACTCCAGTAAATTGATGAGGCTTTATAAGTATTTGACTTGTAGTTGTATTCTTGATCAAAATGTCGTTATAATTAATACAGTTAGCTTTATTTAGGCCCCATCTACGTGTTATATCTGGAATTGTTTTCGATTTACGAGTAACCCATTTATCATTATATAGATTAGTGCACAGTTTACACATGCCACTTTGCATATTACACGAAGATGAATGATCCTTATAGGTAGCTTTCCACTTAAAGAAGCTGTTATATAGTGCGTCATTAGCTGCAATCAATTTAATATAATCTGCTAGTTGTAGCAACGTTTTAAAATCTTGGACGTTAATATAGGATCCCGGTGGGGCAATTGTTTCATCTTGAAAGTTAGCTCCATTCACGACAATCGGTACCAATGCTCTACCCAATGAATGGATAAAAAACTTTTCCGTCACATAATCTCGGCAAATAAAATTTTCGAAACTTAAATAAAATTTATATTGACTACTTATCTTGCGCCTACAAGTACCATCTCTAGGGCATGATAAATTTCCACATTTGCCATATATATCAATAGGTAGAAATTTAGCCAATTCCTTAACAAATGCTTGACGACCCGGATAACAAGTACTTGCTACCCAAGCAATTAATTTATTTTTACCTTTGGCATAATTATAATTCTCCTTACATTGCTTACGAAAATCGCCTTTAATAAAATTGCCATAACATACTCGAATATCAGCATCTCGTGCATATGTCATCATAACATTGAATATGTTATTATGGAAAGGGAAGATACCAGATCGTACAGCAAAACCATGAGTTACGGCAGGATTTTCGTATGAATGGTAAACCCATAATTGTCGAGGCGATACCGAATCTCTATAACGAAAGGTTTCCGTTTTGTTCATGATAGAATCAGCACCATGAAATAGTAATGCATCGCTGATATTAAGTAGGTCTTTATCTTCAGTTAGATCACATGAAAACTGACCACAATTCAAAACTCCAAATTGAAATGGCCAACGAGTATGAAACCAAGTTGTCCATATTAAAATGGTTTTCCGTTGCATCTTTTCCTGATCCTTTGGAATTAGACGTTGCTTCCATGCACTCTCTTTGGTAATAGGCTTTTGATGAAACACCTTTTTAGTTGTATCATCTTCACGTTTACGATTACGGTTGTTCGATGAGGGAATAATGGTCGCTATTTTAGATTTTGAGGAATAAGGTTTGCTTGTTGTAGATTTAGTTAGTTTCTTCGATTGCTTTACTGGAGTACTAGGACTATTTTGATTTGGCTTTAATAACAATAGTTTGCTCTTGGTTGATTTAAGTTTTACTACCGGACTTGTTGCTAATATCATTTTGGGCGAAGGATTTGTATGTGGAATATTTTTTTGTTGAGGCGGAGTCGATGTGATTGGTGGATGTGTCCTTGAAGAAGTCTGTGCAGCCATTTGTTTTGGAGGTAATGTAAGTGTTGTTGGTTTGCCTGTCCATGGGCCCACGTTAGACGGAGTCGAGATGGTTGGTTTGTGTATCTGTGCAACTATTTGATTATTGGTGTGTTGAAGAATGAATGGCTTATCAGATGAATCTCTCGGTTGTTTAATCGTTGGAGCTTTGGTATCGCTCGTAGAGTATTTTTTAATATATTCATCGGTCTTTGTTGAATTTGGGATTAAAAATGTCCATGCCATAGCTATGAAAGTAAGGCCGATTACAATCCTTGTAAGATATCTTAAAAATCTTGCTTGAATCATTTTAATAGCTAGTTCATTTTTTGTTACTAGTAATGTGGAGATAAAGTCAAGCTATGCCAAGGCGCAGAAAATTGTATGTAGCTGACGATATGGCCATTTTGTGTAAACATTGCTTACAACATCATATCACGATTGATGATGATGATGTTAATGTACGCTCAATTCTCTTGCAATAAATAATTATAATGCATTAGAACGGTCCATCATCATGAAAGGATATTGCTATGGCGATTCTGTCACGATAAAAATTAGTCCATTGACTACTCCTTGAAAAGAGTCTAGAATGAATAGAAGTGATAGGCAACGGTAGATCAATTTGATACTGTGGTATAGACCAGGTGGTAATTTGCTTTCTTTTACTTTCACTTGGAGCTGTTGCGCTTTACTAATGGATTAAGATCATAAGGATAAAATGACCAGCGATGATGGAATCTGTAGTTTTGGAGGAAGTGAAAGTTTACTAATATAGAATTCAATTGCGTGGAAGGGAAAGCTGCCAGCACGCTGTAACCCACGGACACTCTGTATAGTAAGCTATAGTCGATAATGCAATACTTGAGTACCGGTATAGTACATTAGTATGCCAGCCTACTCGTAAGTTCTCAAGTCGATTTTCTACCATCGTCAGTGCGCAGTCCTGCTTGTATCACGTGATCAGAGGTGCCACATTAAGATGTTGTGGTACGGAATTGTCTAAAATGGATTTACTTAGGTTGTACTCTATACGTTAGCTCATGGATGCGTATCGTGATAGCAAGTGAGTGAATACTACATTAGACAATTTTCCTGGTATTTTAGCCATTTGCAACCTAAATACTACATTCGTTTTTCATGAAATGCATTTCAAATTACTTCATTAACGAACCTATTTATTATTATTTTAAAGATTGAATGCGTCAATAGTTGTGAAATTTCTGAAGAATAGTGTAGCAAACCATGAAAATATGATTATATAAAGCGTAGATATAATTGTATTTGAAATAAAAGCGTAAGGGATGACAGAAGCCACTTTTGCTGATGTTCTACAGTACTATCGTACCTGAGTACTTTGTACTGTAGTACACAGACTACTTGAAGACGAATGCATGACTTTACAGTATATGATTTTCTATTGTGTCAAGAGTTTTCGTTCATAGAAAATAAACACAATTTTCAACTACAATATCAAGTACTGTACTGTAGACTGAACACTTCTACAGCCAATAAGGGAACGGCCAAGTTGAACTGAAGGTGGGTCTAATCGACTAACCAAATGACTGTACTGAGCGCTTGTACTTACTTTACTATGGCAATAACTGCTCCGCTCCTGCCTACACTAGATGTAAACAATCCAAATTTAAATCATCTCACGATCGCCTCCACCCCCTTCTACTTTTTACTCTACTGTATATAGGAGAAGATTTCTCAAACGATTACATCATCAATTCAAATATCGTTATTAGATCGTAGACGAAGACCAACTTAGCCGATGGTAGGCTCAAGATCGCTGTAGCTATTGGACGACGATGATTGGAGAAAGCAATTAGAGGAATCAAGATGGAAACGAAGGAGGAAATGAACATGGATCAAATGAAGAGTAAAGCTGTTGATCGTGCTGACAATTTACTTTGTCGTGCAAAGGAATTTCGACATGTTCAAGGAGCTAATAAATTAATTAAGAAAATACTAGCCGAATTGAATTTTTTACAATCGGTAAGTATCAGTTATGAATGATCCGATTGAGAAATCGCCGCAATAGAATAGCATCCTATTCAGAATTCAACTTGCATCAGTAGTAATAGCAAACTGCGTATGCATAGTTGAAATGTCCATACTGTAATTATAATGGATCACACAATAAGCTCCCAATCATCACTTTATTGATATAAAAACTGGAATGTTTTTCAACTTTCAAAAGTAGCAATATCATAACTCTATGTAGATTTGTGTTAAAGTCACAGTCGATGACGTTATTTTAATTTTCTGCAGTTTGTTCTACGTGTAGTCCATTTTGTTGCATAGGCTACTTATATCTGTATTTTATTTGCAATATACGTATATTTGAACTTTATTGCTCGTAAATTAATAGCTACGAGTATGTTTAAATTAGTTCTTGACGATGTATTAGCTATCGTCAATCATCAGTAGACTATGGTAGGTGTCATTTGCTGAACTTCGCATTGCAATTCTGACTCAAACTCGAGCTTAGAATCTGTATATGCGGGTATGATTGAGCTTTATTAGTATGCAGATAAATTAGCTATATTCAAACTAGTTGTTTAGGATGTATTTGCTATCGTTAATCATCAGTAGACTATGGTAGGTATCATTTGCTGAACTTTGCATCGCAATTCTGACTCAAACTCGAGCTTAGAATCTGTATATGCGGGTATTGTTGAGCTTTATTAGCATACAGATAAATTGGCTATATTCAAACCAGTTGTTTAGAATGTATTTGCTATTGTTAATCATCAGGAGACTATGGTAGGCATCATTTGCTGAACTTTGCATAGCAATTCTGACGCAAATTCAAGCTTAGAATAAAACATTAACAGAATATTTTGTCTGTTGTAGACTCAGATAGAAGATTTACAGAAGAAAACCAATAACCTCAAAAGTAATAATTTGAATTATTTTAGTGCTATGGTCAACACTATCTCTTCATGCCATAATTTGGTTGGCATATTTAAATCCTTTTCCTACTTATCAAGCCAACCCAATCAAAGTAGAAAGATACTCATGGTTGATGTTGTTTGCGATGACGGTTTAACTTGGATAAAAGTTATTTCTAGAAATCCATTGGCGTTACATCGATTGTTTCAAGGTTTGAATGTTCAATTGATTGGTTAAATCCACATCAAAATAAATATACTCCAGTGACCATCATGACAGTTCTTCTTCATGCCGTAAAAATCGCATTGATGAACTGTCATGAATAGTAATGATGTACGAAAATACTTTACTCAACTTGACATCATATTTAATACTAGTCAATGTTGTCGCAATATTGAATAATATATGCGTTCATGTATATTGAATATAGGCGAAGGACGATATGGCGAAAAACATATTATGCACCAAGCTAATGTATGAATATAAGCACTCAACATGAAGAAATGAAATATTACCATATATATGATACAATGCAGTCGTCTTTACCTAACGTTATAAATTTATCTATATTACTGTCATATAGGAATACCTAATGGCTCATGAACAACATCCATGCAACTTTAGTAAACCTTCTTTAGTATTTTCTTTTAGTAATGGATTGTCTGAAGCAATTGCAGGTTAGCATTGCCGATAGTTACAATTTTGAATGTTCTCATGTATTATAACCTCATTTGTAGCTTTCCTTGTTTCTTCTTTTTTAAAGTGGATTATGCATAGAATCATTTCATAATATTCTAATCTTTTGCTGACGAGTATTTTATAATCTCATAGTCAGATTACTACACTTACGTTTTTGATAGAATAACGACACACTTTCTTTAAATTTAACTTTTAAAAGATGAACTAAAAGCTGCCGAAATTAAAGTTATTGGACAAATAATTCCAAACGATTACTTTGATCATGACGGCCTTTCTGATTACAAAGAATTGCCCTTGCTCAATGATATTAAATGCGATATCCCTGCTCCTAATATGCCAGCATGCACTAAGGCATTTTTCGATATTACTACTCTCTTCGCTTATGTAGCTGAAGTTACTAATGGCGATTGCCATCGCGAGTTTAAGGTAGGAAATTGATAAAGTAAGTGCTGTACATGTTATGATTATAAAGTCAGTAGAAAACATTTTGCGATATCAAATTAATGTAGTCAATGTCGGAGGTGAGTAACTTATCCCTTAATATGGAATTTGCAACAATTTTTGCAGCGGAGGATTAGGTTGTTACGTACATATGCGTAAAGTAACGATGCTACCGATGTAGCTATATCTCCAGCTAGGTAAAATTGATCGATTTGTATCATCAATAGGATCCGATATTGCAAGCACAAGCCATTGATGAGAAGGAATGTCCAGTTTTACCACAAATCAACGAATATATTGAAGGTGGGATACTACTTCGTAGAGTTTTTCTATTACATATCAATCTTTCATGGCAAATGGGCAGCAGACGTGTATACCGTGCATGGACTACTAGAAAAATACGTATGACATTTTTCTAGTCTTCCATGATGCCAGAGATCTATTTCAGAGTATTTTAGTATTAGTAAAGTGAATTTATTTATTGTTTGGCATTTAGATACAGTATAAATAATAAGCTTTATAATATAATTATCAATTATATAGCCTAATATTGCATCAACAATTATTTAAAATTATATAATATATTGTATGTGATGAAATAATTGACGTTTCAGTATAATTGAACTAATTCCTTAAAGGTAAAGAACTTTATACTTGCAAAGCAGCAGTAGAAGATTTTCGTTCCATACTTATGACTGTCGGTAGTATTAGAGAGCGTGAAAGGAGCAAGTACGGCATTTATTTTTCTTCTAACAATCAAGATATTCTCTCCATTAAATATAATCGTTTCATTTTCACCTAATTTTAGAGATTTATTAGAAAAGCTTACTGTAGTAGATGATGACCCTAGTGCAAGGGTTTTACAGCTAAAGACTAGCTCAAAAGTTAAATTACGATCAATTGTGAGTATAATTTTGTATTGCACATTTTAAAACTGTAAATGTTGCTTATAAAATGAGTTGTTTGCGATTAATATGTAGATTGTATTCGGAACTAGCGATAAACTCAAAGCAACAATAATTACGGCAAATGTGGCTTTTCTTCGATCAGCTGCAAATCAGGTAATAATGGATAAATAAGAAATCCTTGATATACCGTAGGGAAAGCACTTTCGTCACTTTGCTATCCAATTAAACAGGGCGTAGAATTTTCCGCATTTGTTCATCAATCACGATTTTTAACTGGTATTCGGCAATCGCTGCCAGATGAAGAATACGCTAACTTGATTCATTCCAAGTAGAAGCAGTTATTGATATCGAATGATTAGAATTTTGTTGGCTATCAAATTTTCCAGTAGTGCTTGGATAACTTTTAATTCATACATAATAAATGGGATGTCTGGTAGTGGACATGCAATGTTTCTAAAAGTAAGTTCTCTGATAACTTTTAAATTTATCAGTTTATTGATTTAGAATGGATTACACGCATGTAACGGCACTACGTTGCCTAAATTATAGAGTTTAAGAAAGTATTGTTGCTGACAGTGTTTCAGTATTATAGTATAAAGCTGTTTTGTAGATTATAGTACAGCGTGTCTACTGGTTGTGAGCCTTTTAGAAGGGTAGTTCTTAGGCATTATAGTAGCAGTACTATCTTCTTACTCGATCTTTCGACAGATTAGGGTAGTAATCTGTAGAAGTAGCTCAAAGTAAGCGCTTTACGTTTGACTAGTAAACTTGTCAGGAAGTAGTCCATGACAATTCATATCAACTAAATGTGTATTATATTATCGATTAAAAAATTTTAGAGCCTGGTATGAACGTTGCTGTTAATGTTCTGTATTAATCTATACGGTCGTTAATTGAAAGTTTACACATCAATGTGCGATAGTATGTAACTTTAATAAGCCTTAACTCCATACACTATGGTAATCTCTTATTCATAGCTGATACTGTATGATATCATTCAATAAATCGAAATCATTTTCTGTACTACAAGATTGTTTGAAAACTTAATTCAGCTATAGTCATTATGGAGCGATATACTTGATGCTATGAAGTTATTTTCGAAGTAAGTTCTTTTCAAGTTAAATACCTAACTTGTAACCACACCAATTCCTGTCATTTTCTGCTATGAAAAACGGGTGAAGTTTGTCTTAGCATGGTTCTTGTCCCGCACTAATTATATTGGACTATCAGTATATATAAGATGATCATGATATTTGTATCTATCACAAAAAATCTATAATGTAATTATAATCTAGTAGAATGTCATTTAAGAATTAATAACAACTTTTACTATGCATTATTATCATATCCATATCTGCATCATACGGTGCATTTAATACGTGAGTACATAGAGCATATGGAGTCAAAGGAATTAATTGATAGTAACTTTTATTTAACTTGGGCTATTTTAAAGACCCGTTTAGAGTTACCGTTGTTATCACTATTGAAGTACAGATAGATAAATGTGTTCTATCCAAATGGTAAAGATTTTCTGCTGGCCTGTATAGTTGTAATTATTGAGTAGTTTTGCATATTACGACATCATTTAGCATTCCATACTGAGCTAAATTTACTGTTAGTTATCTTTACAAATATACTCGTAACTAGCGCATTTTTAATTCCTACCGTTGATATCACGTTTATGCATGATATATAAAAATAATCAATTTTTCAATTATTATATATCTTTTATACTGTGTATATATTTAAGTACAGAATTCCAGACGAAAAATGTGTCTTGTATAATTTAATTCATACTTATACTGTATCTATGCTCTTACTTACAGTATACATAAAAAAATTATCACATGTCTATGTGGATACTTTCCATTTAAGTGTGGCATTTTCATTGCATAAGAGAAAGTACTCTTTTGCTTCACGGTGTTGATGTAATTTATACTGCAGTATTAAAGAGATCAGATCATTTATAATGTCTACTTTACTGACTGATTTGCTTGCTTAACTATTCATAGGAATTTATTTAAAGATTAGTTTACGCGATAACGGACACGTTTACAATGTGAACAAGTGTATTCATTGGTTATTTAACATCTACTTAAATATAAATTGATGATTAACTCATGATAAAGGTTACCGGTCATGAAGCTAAGAAAGACTTACAATAAGAATATCGTTTTGGATAATATCCCAACATTGTATTACTCGTATACCATAATCAGGTCGTCATTGTTGAATTATGAAAAACATTAACAATCGTATAATTAGCACATCCCAAATTTATCTAGTTATGAACTAAATCTTATTTTCTGTTTCAAAATTTATATAAAACTATAACGTGTAAACATCTTGGAAAAAATTACGGGAAGTTTTTATATGAAATTAATGTAAGTTGGTCGATTATTTAAACTAGCACCATCATTATAGCGATCGTTATTAATCGCTCATTAGGCATGTTCGTATCTCTATGATTAATCTTATTACGCAACATACGAACCTTACTGCTATTGCTTACAGTCTAAAAACATACTGTAAGTATAAGTACAGTAATCTGGGTTAAGCAGTTTATAGTTATTACCGATATGACAGACATTAAGTCAATGGATGTTGCATTATGCAAATTTGATCTGCAGTCACATTCTAGATATCGCAGCCATACCTTGCCATAATAATAATCGATACATAAAAGCATCAATAATACGGATGTGGCATTATGTTAACTTGACCTGTAGTCACATTCTTGATAAAGACATCGCCGTAATCGATACAGTTATCCTTATTTAGACCCCATCTATGCATGAAATCTGGAATGGTTCTTGATTTTTGAGTAACCCATGTATCATTATGAAGATTAGCGCACAGAGTACACATACCACTACCCATATCACACGATCTTCCTTGGTCCTTATAGCTAGCTTTCCAGTGGAAATAACTATTATATAATGTATCGTTCGACCCAACCAATTGGATATAATCTGCCAAATCTTCTACAGTTTTAAAGTCGAAAACGTTAATATAGGAATTCGGCGGAGCAACAGTTTCATCTTGTAAATTGGCTCCACTCACTACAATGGGTACTAATCTTCTACCTAAGGAATTCTTATAATATTTTTCGGTGATATAATCTCGACAAACAAAATTTTCAAAACTTAAGTAAAATTTATATTGGCTACTTAATTTTTCCCAACAACTGTCATTTCTAGGACAGGATAAATTTCCGCATTTACCATAAATATCGATCGGTAAATACTGAGCTAACTGTTGGACAAATGTTAGACGACCAGTATAGCAACCACTTGATACCCAGGCGATCAATTTATTCTTACCCTTGGCATAATTATGTGTTTTTATAAATGGATTACGGTTTTGACTTTTACCGTAGCCACCATAGCATGTTGGAATGTCGGAATCTTTTGTATATGTCATTATAATATTGAAGATATTGTTGTGAAAGGGGTAGATACCAGATTGGATATTAACACCATGAGTGACTACAGGATTTTCGTATGAATGGTAAACCCATAGTTGTCTTGGTGATACTGCATCTCGCTTAGGAAACATGTTTTTATTTTTCATACTGGCTTCAGCACCGTGAAATAGTAATGCATCGCTGGATTTTAGGCGATTTTTATCTAAAGTTACCTCACATGTAAATGAACCACAATGGAAGATTCCATTATTATACGGCCACTTCAAACCAAACCAAGTAGTCCATGCTAGCATTACTTTACGATTGAGCGGTTTGGTAGCTGCTGGCGACGTTGGACGCTGACTTACAGTGATACTCTCGGTTTTAAGCATTGGATTGGGATTTATTTTAGTTTCATCATATCGTTGTTTAGAATGGTTGTCTTTATCGTTGCCGTTCTTAACTCTGGATTTGTGATCCTGACTTGCTGTCGATTTGGATTGTACTGATCGACTGTTGGATGTATTTTGATATTTCAGTGTGATAGGCGGCGTTGCACTGGATAGCATCGTTGATGTTCCATATGGCAACGTAAATAAACTATTGCGATGAGTTGGATTTTGTTGTGATCCAATTGCTAATCTTGATTTTGGTAACGCTAGATAATATTCATTCCTGATATGTCTGCAGATGATAAAGTAAGAGCTGAAAAATATCAAGCAGATTAAAAATAGGATTTTTCGTCTATATGGTACGGTTAAAAATAATGATCTGGCCATGATGGACAGTTGAGTTTCTTGCTCGTCCTACTGGGTAAAGGATGGACTCGTAACGATAATTGGCGTCACGATTGCATGGTGATTACTTTGAAAATTACAGTACTGTATGCCTTTGTCAGCGATAACTAAGTACTTCTTATTACTCAAGGTTGTAATTATCTGTCTGTCTGAAATTGGAGTTAAATTAAAATCCATTTCTTTACAATTGAAAGACAAAGACCCAAAAGACATGCAGTAATTGAAGGCAAGACTATGGCTGAACTTCTTTCAATCATTGCACACGGCCGGACAGGCCCCTGGAATAGTACGTCCAGTAATCAGTAGTATGGAATTGTATAGTACTGTACTGGCTTTGGAGATATCCTGGGATACTCTTGAAGGAAGCATCTCTTGGCCATGCTGGGGCTCTTATGTTCTGCCATAATCACGAGTGTGAATCAAAATGTAATAAGATGTAAAGGATTTGGACAGCCAGGCCCGATTTTGGCCCGCTTGTCACAGTCAATGTAAGGATTCGGACATTCTATACAGTACTGTAGAATGCAATCTATAGAATGTACTGTACAGTACAAGAAGACTTGAGGAATGCGTGCATGAAAGACGGGCACCACTATTTATAGTTTGCTTTACTATATTAATAAACTATGGACTCCATGAGACATATTGTAGATACCATTTCAAATGAAGGACAGTACATACATAATACTACAACAGCGACGGTATAGTTTCAATCTACAATACTCGTGTATGTCAAAGGGGTGCGATTAGCACCATTTAGAATCGTTTGGCGCCATTTTGCAAGGAAATTTTGCCAATCATACCCCTACGATGTCGATTTAAACTGCATTGGCGATATCAAATCTGGATTCTTTTTTCGCTTAACAATCAATTAATGATGCCTTAAAAACTGCACAACTTGGATTTCAATCAAAAATAACGCACGATTCAATTTTTTGCCCAATGTATGTAAAATGTCAACTTTTCAGCTGTTTGTAAGGTTAGAAACTCCCTTAAACAATCGCACATCCCCCTCCTCTGTACGTCAGTTTCCTACTGTACTATATACTAAATTACTTCTTCTTTCATCAAAGTCGCTTGCAATCTTATGCCAACTGGAAACGGATGACCGGACACCCATCTGAAAATGATGGACAATCATGCGACTACTAAATCTGTTGAGGGTGTTTTAGTAATCCATAGTACAGTATACTGTATAGATAATGTTTTTAGAATGAATTCATTTTTAGAACACAGAATTATAGATCTGTTATTAGGCGTATCGTATTGCCAATAACGATAGTGATCATCCGATATGTACGTATAAATAATAAATAATATAGCACGTAATATTGTATATAATGAAGTATTGTATTGTGAATGAAATTAAATGTTGGTGTCTACAAACACTCAATTATTATATATTCAATATTATGTCATAAAATGATCAATTTTCCACAGTGTAGTCTGAGAATTTACAAGATGTACGACTAGGTACAGAACTGATACAATAGTTCAATACGAGATTTATACAGACACCGCCAGCAAAGCGGCGGGTAAAAACCCTAGTAATACGTGTACAATTGACAAGCACATAAACTTAAAATTAGAAAATTGAAACTAATTTCGCATGCCAAAAATGATCAATTGGTCATAACATTGAGCTTGGTGCAATAGCAAGTTGTGCTATACTCGTACACTATTTATCTGATAAGCGTGAGTTGATGATAATACAGTATTTGTCATGACCGATTGAAATATTTGCGCTATTATAAACTGATCAAACGACGCGTATCAAGTAATTATTGCAAGGTAGCAATTTAGGAGGTATTATTATGCCATAGAGAATTATGAATGAACAACAATTTCTGTTCAGTGCCGTTTCTTTTTATTTCCTTATTGGCTTGACAATATTATTTTTTTTCTACCACACAGCCGTAGACTTAAGTAGGATACAATACGAATCTACTGCATACACGCTAGTATAAATCATTAACAGAACCTAATAAAGATTCAGAAGAGAATTCAGTTATTACATAGGAAATACTGTCAAGCCATCACGATTAAAATAGATCACCACGCATGACGATAAACTAAGTTCATAAATCTTAAATCTAATATTTTTATCATCATTATTATAATTACCATTAGGTAGGTACAAACATAGACAGATTATATTAATATATTCAATTATTTCAGGAAAAATTTATGCTGGCCTGATATTTTAGAATTCGTAATCGTTGCCTAGGTTTACGTATTACAGTATTAATATTATTAAACTTGCGCAGAACTGTGTTGCAGTTTGATTTTTGCAATGTAGGTACCTAGTGCATCTTTATTTTTTTAAATCATAGACGATGCAGGATTCCAAACAAAAATAATATCTTTATAACATATTTACAGTTAATTATTAGTTATTACAGAGCTGGATTAATGCCAAAGTACGCCCATTGAGTAAGTTGATGTCTCCTTATGTATGTAATTCTACCTTTTCAATGTTGCATTTTTATTACGTGAGTATAGAAAAAAATCTTTTTCTACTCCTGATGCAACTTTGGTAGGTATATAGTTTAAAGTATAATCATTGTATGCATTTCCTGATAATAGAAATATTGTGTAACTAAATATCAATCTACTGTATATGATGTACGTACGTACGCCTATCCAAGGTTAGGTTTGAAGCCCTTATCTGTACGTGCTTAAGCAGTGCTTTTTTTTAAACTTATGTGATAACCACAAATGAAGTGAAATTAATCTAACAAAAAAGGTACGATACAGCCACGATTGAAAAAAAGAAGCAAATGCTTTCTGTCGCTAATTCTAATATAGTTTCACGACACCTACACATTCATGAATCATGATACTGTACCTAATCATGACAGCCCTATTACTGTAGGCGTCTATAACATCAATGCAAGATTCATCGTCGATATTTTAGAAGTTGCACCTCCTGTATTATTTCTGACAATGAAATACGATAAAGCTTAACACAACAATGAAAAGCAAATTGAGCTACAGTATTACGGATTTTGCATCTTTTTCAATATTGGTATTATAAAGTAGCATGTTGGATCACTACAGATAACACGAATGAGCAAACTGTTCCACACGGAAATATCATTGTCTTTGACACCATCCGCAATAGTACATTGTAAGATGCAACCCCACCCTTGATGATTAATAAAATGTTTTATACAGTGTTTGTCCTTTGGATGATTCCAAGCGGTACTAAGTATTTGCCTACCCCTAAAACGTCACAAAAATGTTTGATGACATTTTTTGGTTCCTAAGTAATATACCGATACTGTTGCTCTTTTTAACCATCACTAACAGCACACTTTTAAGTTTATCCTTTATCGTCTTCATTGACACAAAGTATTCATAAAATTGATTTGAATCCGTTCACTAATTATACATACATGCCAAGACTACTACAATAACTGAAGCTGTAGTACTGTACATGAATTAAATGATAACTAAAATAGTCTCATACGTCAACGTAACAACTATTACTTATAGTAAAAGAAAAAATGAAATTACAGTAAAAGTCATAAAAAGCTGTAGTTATTAAAAGGCACGTTAAGACTATCGATATGCTGATATCAATAGCAATAGTTAAGACTTTGAATACAATTGCGGTAATGGACGAATTATAATGACGCATCAATGGGTACATCACTATTAGTATATGGTATACGCACATATACCTTAAAATGAAGGTAATAAAATGCGCATACGTAATCAAAGTAATGGACATTACATATATTTATATATTTATATATATATATATTACTATATACAATACAAGATCTTGAGTTTACAACGTTATGGTTTGTCGTAAGGTAAACCTTGTAATATCTAATTCTTGCGAAGCCGTACTATTCATGGACATTTGCGACGCACGGAAACTGTTACCAATTTGGCTACAAGGGATATCCTCTTCGTTTCCACTAGAAAAGTTAGACTCCAGCAGATACGCGGAAATTTTTTTACAGTCCTCCATATTTTTAATGATCTTCTTCATATCCTAGGAAAAAGGAATCGTATCAACATCATGTTACTAATTCAACAATTTGAATTTGGAAACTCAAAACTTTAACCAATTATATACATTCAAATCGTGATTTCTCAAAACTATCATTGGCCAGTAAAATGCCGATAACTCGTACATATTTACCGAGTAGCTAACATTCGCAAGATGACCACAAACTTTGAAACCATGCTTGATGAATTCTTGTGTATATTTTTCCATGTTAATATTACTTAGCCATCTTTTTAACACGTAATCCTAATTTTAGCATAATGCAGTACTGTTGTCATGACAAACAATAAATCACCGTAGACACTAACCTACTGATGGAAAGATTTAGGTCAGCTCCGTCAGAATTCTCTTTTGTCGTTACAGCCTAATATAAGATTATGAACGCAATTTGTATGATACAATCAGTGTATTCCTTGCAAATAATGCGCGTTCTAAGAACATAAATTCTATTCCAAATAATAACTTATAAACTTAAAAACTACAACTACCGATTATACTGTATGTGCGCATATGAACAGATTGTACATGCAACAATACTAATTTATGTACAGTAGTATGAATCTTACATTTTGCAGCGTGTCTAAGTTGCGGCTCTGACGGCGGACAAGTTCTTCAGTGTTTGTTCGTTCAAGAGGTGCAGTTAAAGTACCATGACTATAATAAGGAAGATTTAAAATCACTTTACTAGTTGTATAGCCGGATACTAACAAGGATGGGTAATGTTTTTTTACCTTTTAATTTCATTGATTTGGGCATCAGATAGCTTGTCTAAAACTTCCAATGATTCGCTCATTTTAGCTAAGATCTCATAATTTTTCCTTCCACGGACCTGTAAGAAAAGCAATCGTAAAATGTCTCATCAAATGGGAAGTATATCACAGCTTTTACACCGTACGCATAAGTACCGTGATTGTGAAGACGTCATCGTTGCTAGTACTCTCCACGCTGCGCTTCATGATACGTTTACTTTCATTGGAGATTACACCAGTTACCTCCCTTGAGACTAGATTTACCATTAACATGTTAGGTATAGTGATACCAAATCACAATCAGAGTAAAATACCGTATGATAGAAATGTTAATACGAGATAAGTACAGTACCAGTTTTGGAAGTTTTTAGCTTCTTATTAGGGGGTTGCTTATGCTCTTTTTCCGACTTCATCGCAGCGCGTTCTTCATTACTTCTATCTCTGCCGGGGCAAGCACAAACTCGAACTTCAACCTTCTTGCGACCTAAAACGTTCGTTCTGTAGCATATAACACATATAGAATATTGCGGTAAGCTACACTGAAACAAGCTATTACTTCCGATAGTTTAGCAGAGGTCAATAATTTTTAATGAGAACTAAATGTCATACCCATTTTCTAGAGTAATTACTAATTCGATAGGACGTCGATTTATACTTCCAGAGCAAGATGAAAAGCACATGAACTGGTACAAGAGAGTACTGCGCAATTCTCCAACTAATATTGAATAAATCATACAAGAGATCAAGATTTCAATATCTAGCCACACCGACAGTCGATATTTTAAATAATTATAAAAACAAGTATTCACTTGAAATACAATAATAATCTGATATTCATAAAGGATTTGTCACACCTATTACAATTACCGAACATGCAGGTAATAACAAATGAATTATAGATTTCATATATGTTTTAAGCTAGTTTACTCATTCGATTCAGTTCTTTTACCTGCTGGTGCAGTATACGGAACCCTTACAGAATGTCGTCCAGAAGTATCTTCGTAATATTCCGCTCTTTGACTTTCACAGCGAAGAATATGGTCAGAAGATTCGTATTCTAATATAAAAAGATATAATTAACTTAAAATACTTTTATAGGTAGTTCAAAAGCAAGTCTTCGATCTTACTTCCTTGATCTCGCAAAGCATGATTAGGACATCTTCTGACAGGCTCATAAACATCCTGGGGTTTTGTATACATTACATAGGCCCTTATGTAAGAATTAGCTGGCGGCTCACCTGGGATTATTAATTGGTTACAATTACGTCGCGTCGCTAAACTACCGTATGCTATTTTAAATGTATAATCCATACGTTCTATGGTGATGTGGATAGGAAACAAACACTCCATCTTGATGAATAACTTCTTCAACATGGTAGAATACTGCAAAGAAAAATTTCGATGTCTAAATTAATTATCACTACTAACCTTCCTCGATACCATAAGATCGTTAATTGTAGTTTTACAATTTACATATTCTAACCGTATTATTTGTGGCCTTTGTTGGATTATCGTTCTGTTTGGTTAAGAAAATGATTTACAGATCATTATGTTTGTATAGCCTTATTAAAATTTGATACGATAGTTTAGAGGGCGCTTACTATACGTGCTTACGTTACCTGATCAATAGCGATGTCGAAGCCAAAATTGCCAATATATTCAGCACTGGGGTGTAAAATAATAATAATTTAGTATTAGCATACTCTAGCGTAATTGATATACTGTATTGTAGTTTGTCTCATTAACACAGATCAGTTTTAACTGTGATTACAGTACAGTACTATTTCTTGCTTACTTTGAAGGCAGAGACGGATCCCTCTTTAGCGGTGGTGACGTTTCAGCACTGACACCGTTAACGGCTTGGCCGTAATACGCTTCGCGAGCTTTATCAGCAGAACTGGAAACGTTCTATATTAAGATATAGGATAATAAAAATTACGCATCACATTATTTATTGCTTGTACAATACTAACACGATCCAAAGTTATGCTACTCTTACGTCACTAAATGTTCTTGGGGACGGAATTTGATTAACGGCAAATTCGCGAGGAAGTTGCCCTACCTGCCCATCTGGATAACCAGCGCTAATGTATTGAGGCTCGTTTGGCCTCATTAAATAGCGATCTACATTAAGGGACAATTGAGCTCCTACTTAAAATAGCAAAGCACACAAACAGTATCAATTTTTTCGGTTCTCAAATAGCTATCGAATGTAAATATGTACAATATACCATCAGGATTTTGCTCGGAGTACGAATAAATAGCTGTACCCCTAGATGTAACAAATTCAAAGAAATCTACGTTTAGTTGATATCATCGGTGCAGAAGATACATAGATTGGAAATCAGCTTAATCTTAACGATAATTATCTAATTGAAGCAACCTTTTTACTACATTTTAAACATTATGCATATTGTTGCAGTTTAACGACAATTTATACTAACTCGTCTTCGTTAGTGTTGAACTTTCCTTGAGTAATTTCATCGATCATCAATTGCCATGAAGACGACAGTTCTTGCGAGAACGATAACTGAGATAGAGTCGGTTCATCAGACATTTTGTTTGATTTTCAAGATCAGATACCTAAATAGAAGTTATCATTAAAAATGTAACTTCGCTCTTTGCAATTTATGACGTGGATTATTCACAACTGTAAGTGCGTACAACAGAATAAATTTTGTCGAATGCAACAGCTAATGAAAGTAAACGTCTGCTATACAGTAAGTTCTCTCATCAAGTCGAAAATTTACAATTACGCGATAAGACTGTATAATGTGCATACAGTATGAAGCCTTCAGTGGCTGTGCTATGCGTGGCACCGTAGCGTACCTAATAATAGTGCTGTACACGCCTTAATCCTATTATACTGTGCTTTCAATGTTTTCCATGCAATTTTCTCGTTAGATGGTTACTGTATAATCATCTGATAAAATCAATAATGTCACAGAGATAGGATTCTCGACAACTGCTGTAACCAAATAATAACTATCTCATCAAAAATTATCGCTCTTTAAGCTTTTATGTTTTGATCACATTCAAGGCCGCATCATACATAATTAATAATCTATTTGCAAACAATATGGAATTCCATCAATAAATACATTATTCTGTACGGTACACATCTATAGTTTAGTTGGCCTGTGAAGAATTGCCTATTCATTGGGGCGCAGTGCCAGTACAAATAAAATAATAATGATGCGCTCACATAAAGTGGATAACAAAACATTATACCGTCCGTTTCCTACACGATCTACGATCAGCGTTACTGTACCGTGAAATTGTAGAACTTGAAAAATTTACCAGTCAGCGTCAAAGTTTATATATCGTCGTATCTTCAAGGATGACTGTCAAAATAAAGGGAGCCTCTGATATACAATATATAGTACGCAGAACTTCATGAATTTCTGCTTATTTATGGAAACGCCAAATGTTTTACTTATGTCCACATGAACAGCACTGTCATCCCATTTAATCGAGATAATCTCATCGCAGTTAACAAACTTTGCTATTTCACTGGAGTTCACAGCTACCCAGTGCGCTCGAATCTATAACGTAATTTAATCTCTCATTTATGTTGAGCAGAATAGACATGGGCGCTCTAGCCAGTTGGAACTTTGCCCGCAAGTGTACAGTACTGCACGGATTGTGCTGGATATTATTATTATTAATTAATGAATTAATTAATAATAATTAATTATTCAGCATCATCAATTAAGTTCAAGGGCCCATGCCTGATGCCGTACAGTAGAAAACATCCTCCGTACACACCTGTGGAATGTACTGTACCGCACAGTACAAGTATGACTTCTGCGACAGTATAAAGTACTGTAGAGTTGCACTGTGCACTGCATTTTTTGTAAATAATTCTTGGCGGCGAGTCATGACTGTCAAAACGTTCGTATGACGATTTTCAACGATGCCGTAAGGCAACAGAAAAAAAGAGAGTTGTGAAACAGAGGGATTTTCAGCTAAGTTAACCTTTAAGCTGCTCTCTCTTCGGGTGTGATTAAGACTAATAGAGCACTTTGTGTAGTGATTACGGTACTGTCAACTGTAATCCACACTTTTCTAATGATTTGATTGACTGTTATCTGCTTATTGCCAACTCAGACACTGATCGACAGTACGCCAAAGCAATTGGTATCATTCAATCGTCAGTCCTGTGTCAATAACAGTGGTTGACTCACAGTGAGCAAGTACAGTAGAAAGTAAGTTTACACTAAAACATACTACGGACTGGAGAGCGAAAAGCATTTCATCCATTTTACTACCAACAAATTTACCCATCCCAACTCTCAATCACTCCATTCATGCTATCATTGATCCCAATCATGCATTAAGCCAACATTAAAAACTTTCATGACCAAAGTCTAACTGACCCTAGTTTGTAGGCCGATGTTCAACTCTAATAATAGACTGTACGCGTAATAAGAGGACTACAAGAGTACTTTTTCTTGATCCGCATATTGTACTAAAATTGCTCGCTCATGACGACACTATTTAGGCGACTTGAATGATAAAAGTTGGAAAAGTCCCAATTTGATACCGATAGAGTCGATATATATATATAAACAAGTGGCGCAATTAAATTAACAACAACATCCTTTAGAAAGTTAGCAGTTAACAGAATAAAAGAGTCTACAAGAGACGGATAAAAATCTGATACGTATTTTAGGACTTGTTATTGACACACAGTTGTGTTGACGAACACAACTTGCTGAAGGGATAGACATTGAGCTGATATGAAAGAGGTCATATCAAAACTATCAAGTTACATCTGTACTGCTCACAGGGTGGCACATACAGCATGTAAGAACTGGGATAGAACTTATTCAATCATTGTAGTTTGTAGGCATGTCAAAGTTAATCAATTACATTACAATATAGAATCAAAGGAAAAAAAGAAAGAATAACACAAGCGTACAAGATCGGATATGCAAATGCAAGAAAAATTTTGGGGCCACGATCGTACCCTGTTGAGCTTGTATTAGCGCCAACGTCAATACAATATCACATTGCATAAGAAGTATCCACTATTGATAAACTAATGCGTACCTACTGGAAATGGTTGGCGCTTTTACTGGGTGTGAGAAATAATCTCTAGGTTCCTTTCCAGATCTACCTAGGATTTTTAAAAATTTAAATGGAATAGTAGACGTGACTTTAGCTCAACTGCACCGATGCAAAATAAACCTGGATGCAGCCAGCTCTCCAATACAAAACAACCAAGTCTGAAGTGTCCAACAAGTCTATGTGCAAGCCAGTAAATAGTTGGTGGTACAGTGTCTTCCTGTGCACGTGGGTGCTGGTGCCTGGCGCACAGTACAGTACAGTACAGTACAGTAGCGTCGTACAGTACTTTGTGTAGCAGAGCACAGTACTGTACTGTACTGTACATTGTACTACCCACTACAGTACTGCGTACTGTAGTGGTTTATACTGTACAGTGCACAGACCAGTCTGCCCGATCGCGCATGCGTTAATCGCAGCGTACTGGACTGAACTCATCGCCGTACCAACTGTCCAGTATACGCGTGCGTACTAGTTGTATAGTTACCGAGGCAAGAGATGACATCATACCGAACCATGACAGTCGTCACAGAAAAATGCTCCTCTAGAATGCTACAGGAAGCTCAGAATGAATGGATAATCGGATAGATAGAGCAGAGTAGAACAAATGCTATGATTGAACGAAGGAAGCTGCTTGTCTATCCTTCTACCGATTCTTTTATTAGGTCTCTACCAACACTGTAGCTATAACGCATAGTGGTCTTGCACTTGAGGGTTGTAAGGGGAAGATGAGATAGACCCAACAGCTGCAATCTCCCTCTCAACCTTTGACTCTATACATACTGAAACAACGCTCTAGTTTCCTATGTACAATATAAGAGCAAAGATAGAAATGAACTGTTGGGGTGATCCAGGTGACGATGTAGTACTCTTAGGCTCGATCACATTTCGTGTAGTACGACCGACTTCGAGAGTCTTATCCACATACAGTACAGTACAGTCACGCAGACCTACAAGCGACACCCAACTGAAATGACTCCTCTGTACTGTACTCGATTGACGGACAAAGGACTGTTCTGGACTTCTACTTCTACTTCTACTTCTATCTTATACTTCTATCTTATACTGATACTTATATTTTATACTTCTACTTAGAACTCGCTGTCTATAGTAAGCGTATACTATAACTGTACAGCAATTAAGGTAGCACTAGATAAGAAGACGAGCCATTTAGTACCGACTACCGAGGAGTGAATATATCTATATTTGTCTAGGCAATTGCACCTTTTTGGACTTAGTGGTGTACGTTTCCACCTTCAATTTTGCCAATCAAGATATCAGCAGTCAAACTATGGATCAATATGACTCCAAGACCATGGCTATCATTCGTAAATTACGCAAAAAACTTCGACAAATAGAAAATTTAGAGCGACTACAACGGCAACTTACCGACGATGAATTAGCTAAGGTAAGCAATGTCTGGACACATCAATGAAAGCATTGCAGCAATGGTTGATACTCTACTGTGTTGGAATCCATTCGCCACACAGCAATAGTATCTACAAATTGAAACTCTATCCGAGGTCTCGGTTATGTATTATAGTTCGAAGAAGGATGTCAACAAAGCAGTCAATGTAGATAACGGATCAATTCGATTAAACCAACTTTGACTATCGTCTACCAGACTTACTTTAGATAGCCTTGCTTTCATTGCTTGCTATCAGTCTCGTAGTAGAGTACAGTACTAGATGGCCAGTCTTAACCAACAAGCTAGTCCGATAAATCAAGTCTTTTGCTAGAATACTGTAAACAAACAGTTGCTGTGTTAATAGACTAGACTCTATTGGTTGGCAAAGGAATTGCTTCAGTAAAGCTAATGTGCATTGTGACCGCAATGCTGATCCTTGAATGCATGTGTGCAATCCATAAAGTTTAGTATTACTCTCGCTGCAATGGAGTGTATCATCGCCTTCATTACAGATTATAGTACGTACCACCAGCTGCATTGGCTGTATTTTACTAGGGATAAACTAAATATTTTTTCAATTTACAGATCTATCTCAAAGAAGAATTAAGGAAGCAGTTGTCGCTGAAGCTAGCAGATGGACAACAACGACATGATCCCAGAAGTTTAGATAAGAAGCCTATAAAGAGTGCTGAACTGAGTGAAAAATTAACTGCTGATGCAACTAGTAAAAGTAAAGCTGAATCCAATGTTACAAGTAAAACTTCTAGTCAACAAAACATTGAAATTACCAAAACAGATCTATCATCGCGCCCTAGTAAGCAAGCCGCTGTTGAAGAGAAATCTTCAGTACGTAAAAGAGCAAAAATTACCAATCCGTGGCTTGGGCGACAATTTCAAGTACGATATCTAAAAGGTCATGCCGATGTTATTACTTGTATGGTTGTACATCAGGATATTCTTGTAACTGGAAGGTATGTAGAGTATCAGATCATTGAATGTCTTTGTAGTGTTATCTCCTCGATAATAAAGTTATCATGTGATCCTTAAATTCGCTTGCAATATTTATATGATTATTGATAAGATTTAGGCTATATCCACATTTGATACTGAACAGCTGATATTGTCAATATTTTAAATGCCTTGGGCTTTATAGTATTGCTTTCGTGGCACAAACATTTGCACTTATCTGGCCAAATAACCATTGTTAAACAATTATAATATCCTATGATCTTTGTTGATATACCCTATTAGTGGGATATAGTTTATAAAATAATAATCTTAGACGATATCTTGTTTCTCATATCGTATATGGATATAATATATACCCTATAAATTGCGATTACAGCCGAGATACAACATTAAAATTATGGGATGCTGCTGATGGCAATCTAACGATTAGCATGGGTGGCCATACTGGACCTGTGACTGCTCTCGTCATGTTACCTGCTGATGATCCTCGCTATATCTTAGACAGTGATCAGAGTGATACTCTCGGTCGGGGGCGTAAAATTATAAGTGGGTCAACAGATTGTTCATTAAGAATTTGGGCACTGGATACTGGTAATTATACTATATCTTATCACCAATGGACAACCTAATCTTAGAATTTATTAAACTAAGCTAAACTGCATACTAATGTTAGATATGCTGTATCAATTTTAGGATTAATGTTAACCCGCATATACACGTATTCACCTGTACAGTGCATTGACTATCGAGATGGAATTATAGCTACTGGCTCTGGTTAGTATTAATGTGATATTAATAATTTAATGAGAGCGTAGAAACGATCAATATTTGTTCTTATTTATACGTAGATAATAATATAGCATTGCATATATATAGTAATACCGTATGATAGCAATATTATGATAATGGCATGTTTTGAAATAACTTATGATGATACTGTAATAGATCTTGACTAAATTGGTATTCATTAGTAGAGCGCAATCAACAAGTTATTTTTTAGCACAGTATTTTATAATGGGGATATATAAAATCGTTGTCCCATTTTTATTGAACTCAAATTTATTGCCAATTTTTATTACTAATGCGTTATTTGGAATACTGTAGATGCCGGGAAAATTGAATTGTGGGATCTTGACAGAAAAGAGAGTATTTGCTCAGTTATTAGCTTCAATGAAGAGCTGTTAACCTCTGTATTGGTACGTAATTTCCTAGTCGTTAGAAGAAAGAATCTGATGGGAATACGCGTAAAAATTTATTAACATCTTGTATATTTTAGTTTTGTGAGGAAAATTATTTGGCTGCGTCATCAACTACAGGTTTGGTAAAAGTATGGGATACCACAGACCAGACATTAACTATAACAGCCAGTTCTGACGAAGCTAACCTATGGACAAATGACAAAATGATGGCGACCAAGTATAAATTCACTAGTAGGATAAATGCTATGGCTAACAAAGGGACCAAATTATATTGGGGAGACGAAAATCGCAACATTAAAGTTTTTGATTTTCAAAATGGTTCGTGCACATATTCTACTGCTATCGTAGTAATACAACGACTTTTGGTTGTATTCAGTGTGCAATATTAACTTACTGTACTTTCATAAACGATCTATACTCAATAAAGGGAAAATTTACAAGTTAACGAATAATATTGGGCAAATTTGCATGACGGATTGCCTGACTATCATAGACTCTCTATTGATAAGCTCGTCCTACGATCTTGACAGTGGTTTAAGTTGTCTAAATGGTAAAAACTAAAATTTATATTCAACCTACATCATCAGATTTCATTTTTCAAATGATTTCTACATGTTATAATGCTTTAAATGCTCACTTTTAGTAAGAGAAACAAAAGACGACAAATATTTATGCAGTATTGATGAAGGTGCAACCGAGAGAATTATGTCTACTTCTTGCACATTTTATAAAGATAAGTTATTAAGGATCTGTACTGGTGGCAGTCATGAGCTAAGGATATGGGATCAACTCGAAATAAAGAAAGATATCAAAGAATCTAATTGGGTTATGGAAGGATTTCGTCACTCTTTAGGGTAAGCCGTCTATGTAGCATAATTAACGGCAATCGATATCAATTTATGCTTAGGCAATAGTTTCAAAAGTATTTTTTAAATTCTAGGATGCAAGTAGGAGATCTTAGTAGCGCAAGTTGTGTCCATCACGATAATTTTAGCGTTATCGTTGAAACGGAAGATGAATCTGATTCGGAATCTGAAGATATAGACGATGATGGTGAAGATGGTGCCGAACAGTCGTTAGAGTTAGAAGAAAAAGATGAAAAGAACAGTTACTGCTTAATTTTATAATTTCTAAAGTTATAGTAATAGAAAATGAGATGTAGCGAGCATCTTCTGTATCATTCGCGAAGAAGAAGATTCATTTCTTAACTAACTTATCTACTCTGGATATAGAAGTTGCCACTGATTTTCATGAAGTGATTTATTTTTCTGTACATGATAATATATCGCAAAGTAATTCTGAAAGTAAACCGAGACTTACCAGACTTTCATAAAGGATGATTGAAACCGTTTATTCAAATTGACCGCAATAAGACAGTCATACATAAGCACTCAAAAACACAGTTTGACTGCAATCGATCGAGATTGAAAGAAACATGAACGCTATACTATAAACAATATAAAATGTGCCTAGTAAACTAAACCTGCTTTAATGATAATCTATGCCACATAGGTGTGTTCGCTAAGGATTAGCTTTTCGCTTACAAGAATGCAGTACACATAAATTAAACTTTTATAGTTGCCAAATGCTTGAGGTAAAGTACAAGTATTATATAAAATTTCAAATGGTCTATTTAATTTTAAGATATCAGAAAATTTGAACTTTAAATTTGAAATCTATGTTACATTATTTACATATAAGAAAAGAAGTAGCTCAGATAATAATATTTTGATAAGTTATAAAAATTTGGACCAACCGTTTCATGATGAAGGCTTAAAATTGTATTGCTCGAGTATTACAATGTATATAGATAGGTTGTAACCACCACATGGATAGCATTGTGGATTATTATTTGTAAAGATAATTCTAGTTGTACGGGTAGTACTTGATAAAATAAGAAGAGTAGAAGTAGGAAATATTGAATAATATATAATAGTTATAATTAAAATGGTAATGAATTAATTCAATAAAGAGATTCATAAATTTAATAATTAAGAGATGCTTGCTTAATATCCATCAACTCCGATGCAATAAGATCTATCTGTCGTGAGCTTTCTTCCTAAAATCACACATGTAAAATAAATATCCAGTTTAAAAATTTCAAGTCAAATATTAGACCGCTACTATTGGAAGCTATGATAATTCTATCTCATCAGCAAACTGTACAAAACCATTTTCTAGCCATAGAATCTTCATATTTTATTAATTTAATCCTTGAAATTCATTATCGTACCCTTAATCGATCTAATTTTTCCGAAGCTATATAACTACGACTTCTTTCAAGATCCAATTGATTCTGCATTTCATGTAGCTGTCTAGTCATGCCGTCTTTGTTTGTTTGTGCATAATTAGCCAACTTAGCTAATGCTTGTCGACTAGTCTATGGCATGGAAAGAAAGATAATTGTAAGTTATTTCAGTTATTTTTATTTATTCATATGTAGTTTATTAATCATCTATGGTTCGAAATTAGGATTGTAAGTTATCAATCAATATTTCAATATATTATTTCGTCTAATACCCTTAACATTTCTTTAGCTCTGATAGCTTGTTCTTCATAACGTTGCTTTTCAGATTGTAATTCTACAGTAGATTGGAGGCCATGTTCATCGGCCATGGTGTAATTATCCCTGTTTGCAATCAGCAAAATGACGAGATTATTATCAATTTGATATGCCACTAATATGAAGATACAATCAAAATTAAATCGAATTTAATTAATTTTAAGTTTCTGATGTACAACCTTGAGTTATTTTGCGAACTTTCCTGATAATGATGTTCAGTAGCAGACGATGTCATCTTTGATTGGGCGCATGTATAATATATCATGTCGGGGTTATCAGCGAAATAAATTTGCTTTAGTTTATTACTTTAATCTGCTATCACAATATAAATTTTAGCTGAATTGAAGGAAACTTAATGATTAGTAATTTACATTTAACATACATTATCTGGACCAGTTAATAGCTTGTCACCTTCTCTTTGATTATGACCGTGATTGGCATCATGAGTCAAGAGCTGACGTGATTCCTAAAATAAAGAAGTTAATGATATCTTGTCAATATGAGTATTTATCGTCATAGCTGCAATATTAATCGATATTTGTATTCTGATATGAACTTTCTTAATTTCAAATTTAATGTCATATTAATAAATACACATAGAATTATAAGTGGCTGATTGTTAATCTTTAATTTGCCTTGTCTTGCTGATTCAAATGCTCTTCATGGTGACTTTTATCTAGTAAAGATGGTCTTCAATTTTAGACCCGCAGGAAATGAAAAATTAGTGGGTGTTTTTAATTCTTCGTGAATAGTAACAGCCACTGAAGTATGAAATTATATTCTACTTGTCGGTAATAAAATTCTCTTAAGGTTACCTAAAATCTAATTGGTTATCTTCATGAACTTGAGCTAAAAGAGACAGTTCGGTCTGCAATCCATTGATTTCAGAAACAAGAACTTTGATAGTGTTAGCCTATAACAAATGCAATTAAAATAACCCAAAAGGTGAAGTTAAATTCAAATGAAATATCAATATATCTAAAGTATGATCGATCTTAGACGAGATTTCTTATAGCATAATAATAACTATTTTTTACCTGTTCTTCGTTCTTTAAAATATATTCCTTTTTAGCTTTTTCTAATGCGGCTAATTCGATACTAAGAGACTAAGTTGAGATTTCAAAATCAAGTTTTCAAACAACCAATTTGCTAAGATTGCAGATACTAATTTTATGTTTAATTTACTTCTACGAGGAATATACATACTAAGGGACCAATCATTATAATAATTATGCAGCACGAAGGAAATACATCTATAAATTTTTGCTAAATTGCATCTCGGTGATAATCATCTTACCTTTAATTTTTTTGCGGTAATTTTGTCCTCTTTGACTGGAACTCGTTTTTTACTTTCAATATCTAATTGAGTTTGCATCATTAATGATTTTTCTTTGCAGCGATGCAATTCCTTTTCTAACTCTTTAATGCGCTTAGATTGCGTTCTACTCTTGCTGGTTAATTCAGAATTGTTTGATTCGCTTTTTTCTAGTTCCTTTCTTAACTAGAAAAAGAAGTAGAGGCAACAAAGTAATATGAATAAAGAAATAAAATTGTTATTACCGTCATCAATAGGATTTTTTATGCACTTGTCCGGGAAATTTATATTCAAATATCCCTTTAAATGTAGCCGTAACATATATACGAGATGCAGACAGCATACAGAATCCTTCATTTGCGATAATGAAGGTAATGCGAAGAAAAAACTAGACTACCAACCTCATCTAATTCTCCATCTATCTTCAGTTTATTGGTAATCTCCAATTTTTGTAATTTGGCTTCTAGGTCCTTGAATCTGCTATCTTCTTTTAGTCTGAGGAGAAAAATTTGGTAATTCAAGGAGAGATCTACTAGCGAATCATCCACGTACTATTTAGATCAGATGCTGTCTACTTGTCAAGGATATCAAAGATAATTAATAGAGTATACGATATCAATTTTTTCTGTAATTTTAGACGTACAAAAATGCTTATTTAGATAATTATCAAGTGTAGAGATTGAATAATTCTGTCTACTATACCCATTCATCTTACCTGCTTTCCTTAAATCGTTTTAACTCATTGTCTTTTTTACCGAGTTCAATTTGCAACTTTTCCAAACTTTCCTGAAGTTGTGTATTGGTCTTTAAGAGAGAATTCATCGTCTTGGCCATTTTATTGTTATCGGATCGAGCTTGTTCTAGTCCATTTTTCAGTGGTTTAATCTATGGATAACAGTAGAAAGTAGCCATTAAATAAATGAAAAAATGCGATAAAATCATACTCATTGATGGAGTCTAATATCAGCTCGAACGATGACATAACATTGCGCGTTTTAATTTATGCAAACCTCATTAAGCTCTTTGGTTTCCATATCAAATAATTTTCTTTGCATGGTCTCCAATTCAGTTTGCAATTGATTGATTGTTTCTTTTAGGCGGCGCCTACAAAAGGATATGTATAAATTATTTTGCACATAGCGTAGAGAAATGAAAAACATATTCTTTGGGTCAAGTATTCATTATTAATGTTTTCTAAAATGATGAAAATATTTGAGGTAGAAAATTTCAGAAATGGTAACGGTTCAATTCATCGTTGAATGTAGTCGTCAGTATTTTGCAGACAAAGTTAAGAAGTTTTACACGCTAACTCACTCTTCCTGTTTATATCCCATCAGTTCATGATCTTTCCTTCCTAAATCAACTTGAAGTTGCTCCAATGCTTCTTGTAATTCGTTATGTGATAACATAACACTTTCTAATGTTGTAGCAATTCTTTTTTTATCCTCTTTCGCTTCATTGATTTGACTTCGGAGATCATTAACCTTAGAATAACAAGCATCATGGAAAATTATTTTTTAAAGGATGGAGAGCAGAGCAGTTCATACCAAATAAAATTGACTTTACCATTTTCTTATAATCTTGTTCCATGCTTCGTACTGTAGATAACATTTTCTCGTCTGATGATACTTGAGCCTGATCTCAGTAAAAGAATGTTAAAGTTAATCATAAATATATACGAGTATATGTTAGTATATAATATATAATATATTCCACAACAGCGTAGAATAAATGCTTAAAAGATAAAGTAGAAGTTTAAAAGCTATGGTTTTTGTATATTTATTATCCCTTGCCTGCTTAGCTGAGTGCTCGATCTTTTGCAAATTATATTTATACGTATGTAATTCATTGCTAAGCTAAATAGTAAAAGAGTGAGAGAAATTTTTAATTTTTTCGGTAAAATAGGGTACTTACTAATTATTCTTTATTCGTATATAGTTACTTCGAAACAATTCTCATATAAGTAAGGTATAAGACTATCGCATTTTGTACTAAATAATTATTTGGCTTCGTAGAAAACAAAGCTAGATGCTGCATGAAGTTATATAAATCGCAAGCCGTATCAATAAGCCCATTTCGATGGCTAATTTATCAACTATAGCTATCGAAAATATTGCTACTTTCTCGTGAATTTGTACATTGTCAGCTCATCCTGATCAAATAACGCTGTCATATTTAAAATAATAATTATCTAGTTCCCTAGAAATAAAGCAAGTGCTACATGAAGTTATATAAATCACAAGCTCTATCTATTAGCCCATTTCGGTAGCTTATTTGTTAACTATCGAAGATATTACTACTTTCCCATAAATTCGTATATTACTACGTCATTCTTGATCAGTTAAGACTATCATGTTTATACTAATATTTATAATCATTTAATTTTCTAGAAATAAAGCAAGTACTACATGAAGTTATATAAGTCACAAGCTCTTTCTATTGTCCTATTTTGGTAGCTTATTTGTTAACTATCGAAGAACTTGCTACTTTTCTTGTAAACTCGTACATTGCTAGCTCATTTTGATCTGATAAGGATATCATATTTATGTTAATAATCATCTAGTTTTCTGGAAATGAAACTAGTACTACATAAAGTTATATACATTACAAGTTCTATCTATTAGTCCATTTCGGAGGCTTGCCAGTAATTATTAACTATCGAAGGTATTGCTGCTTTTCTCGTGAATTTGTACATTGCTAAATAATTCTCGATTAGATAAGTTACCTTTTTACATTGATTATCCAAAATAATGTTCCGTTGCTTAAATTGAGAAGCTTCCGACTATGACATAGATAAGATAGGATTACTATAATAAATTAGCCTATGCCGATTTAATTATGAATCACTGATTATGAAATATTACTTCCGCATGTTCTAGGCGTTCCGCTTCTCCTTGCAACTGATCTACTCGAGACTGAAAGAATTCCATTTATGTTAATCATTATTATAACTGAGAAGTTGACGAAAATTTCTTGTATATTCAATCTGAACATAAGCGTATCTATGCTTGTTACTAGAATCATAACATCTATAATATCAAATAATTTATTTTAGGTAAAGATACAAAATTTACAACAGCTTGAGTTAGACTAGTTTAGTGATCTGAATGATAAGTTAATTTTGCAGGGTACTTACTTGCAAGGATCCTTTTTCATAGGCAAGTTTCTTATTTTTCTCGATGATTTCATTCATAGCTACTTCAACTTGCTGTTGAGCCGCCTGTTTAAGAGATGATAGATATTTAATTTCTAGTATTAACTATATGATAAAGATATAAGATGAAGAAATAAGTAATGTTATTGACTTACACGCTGACTTTCTAAATTATTAAGTCGTGTTTGCAGCCGCTCATTCTCCTGACTTAGGATTTGCTTTTCTTGTATTTGACTAGAAATTTCCATCTAAAGAATAATTAGTAGGATTTAAGCTGACTTTTTCTACCCTCTATTTACTCCATTAGCAGCAGTTTAGTACGATTTTGTGGTTGTTCGATTTAGATTTTCTGCAAGATTATAACTAAGCTGTAGCAGTATGATCTTACTTGAGCATTCTGTAATTCTGTTTCTAATCTTGCTTTCTCCTCCGACATGCCATCTACTGCTTGATTAACCTATTAAAATTATAATATAATTTTAGAAATAGAAATCAGTTATATGTAAATGATGAGCGATTGTTTGTAATTTGGCAGTACAGTGAAATACATTAATCTTGAAAAGAATCATCGTAGAATCTTATTTCATATTTACTTCATCTAGTAATTGCGCTTTATTTTCCATTAAATTTTGTTTCTCTTTAGTCACCGTTTCTAGTTCTTTCTTTAGTTGATTTAGCTCTGTCTCCTGCAAGATGCAACAAGATTAATATTATGATTCCCAGGATTCGGCAGTACACCCGGTATAATTTATAGCTGGATTGATAGCCAAATATTGGTATGTGATTGTCCACTATTTCAAATATATAGAACAAAATCGATAGGAGGACTTGGGTTACACTATTAGATGATCACTAATTATATTTAAATGAAGCTCAATTCTTAAGTTGAATTCCAATAATAATAAATATAGAGACTGCAGGCTACTGTAGAATTTCGACAGTTCACAAGTCGAAGATTACTAGCTAATGTAAAATTGATAGTTTGGAATTATTGAGCATGCTTGAAAGGCTAAAGATTGCTAATGAAGATTGCCATAGCTCAGTTTTTCTGAGCTTAAGTTGGAATAATGTCTTTGAATATTTATTATTTACGATTGTATAGCTACATAAATGTTTGTTAATTCTAAATAAATAGGCTTAAATATTTGTAGACAGATACGGAGACCGATGATGATGATCCACATATCAATTTTTAGATTTTAATGGAAAAGATATACTTTGATTACAAGGTTATGCAAGAGTTTACGGCAAGTCTAGACAATGACTGTTTAATTTTAAAATGATAATGTCGATATAGACATCAACAAAAGTCTTACCAGTTGAGATGTAATATCTTGAATTGATTTCCTCTGATCTTCTAGCTTTTGACGAACAGTTTTTAACTCATCCTTTAATTTATCGCTGTAAGATTAAAAAAAATCAAGTAATCAGTCAAGTAACCAGCTAAATTAGTCAAGTTTTATTCTATTTTCTCAGTACTTTCAATAAGAATTATAGCATTGATATCGTAAAAAAGAAAGCAATAAATTCAAATAATAGTTCATGACCGGAATTTGAGAGATTCTAAAAACGTACTTGTCCGCTTTAACCTTATTTGTTACTTCTCTTTCTTTATCGATATCCAACAATAGAGTTGATTTTGTTTGATTTAAAATCTGGCATTGTTCAGTATATTTCTCTTGCAATAAGGCTCTATCTTTATCTAGTGTTTGCTGGTATGATTTTTTAATCTCAAACTTTAGCTTGGATTCTTCATCAAGTTTTTGCTTGAGCGTATCAAATTCGCGACTTAGTTTGTCAAAATTTTGCTTTGAAATTAAAAAAAAACGGATTTAAGAAATTAAATATTGGAATACGATCATAAAATAAAGCAAAACATTAATCAACGATATTTCTAAACAGCAAACTATTATTACCTGGCTTCTTGAAGATAAATCTTCAAGTCTAGCATTTTCTTTACGAATTGTATCTGATTCCTTTTTGACTGTAACTAATTCAGTCATTAAATTCTAATAATATTGATGACAAGAGTTAATTACTCGTATGATTCCTTCTAAGTACTATATTCTTAATCTAAGGATAGATATGTGTAGTTGACAATCAACACTTTAGAATATGAGTAGAACGGGGTTTGAATATAAAGGGATTTTAAATCGTATTCAGGTATTGAATTACATTTTTATCTTTGGTTAAGTCTTTTATGCTGTTTTCCGTAACATCTAGATCAAAGTTAACATAATATAGGTCAGTTACAGTCATAAAAAGGATTTAGCAATTTTTATCAATATTTGATAAGTAAAGATTTTAGTTTGCAATAGATTTAGCTGTGATCGTCTTGAGTAATGATGTGATATGATTATAGGTGATACTAACTTTATCAATTCTATTAAATGAGCTAGATATTCCATTATAAAATGGTCTGTAATAGTGGTTATTACCATACCTCGTTGTTGCTTTTCTTTATTAACATGTTTCAGTAATTCATCATACTTTTCGACAGCTTGATCACGAGCAGCTCTAGTATCAATCAACTCTTTTTTTAATACTTCACAATTAGTATTTACATCACCAATATACAGCCTGTTCTTATCGACCGAATGCTCCATTTCCTTAACTCTAGTTAATAAGTCTTGATAGGATTCTTCAGTTTCTGTTCGAAGATGCATTTCTTGAGCTAGTTCTCTTTTGACCTGCAAGAGATTTATTATGGTATTTAGACATGTTGGGTTAACCGAGATTTCATATTCTAATATTAAATCAAATGTATACTACGTTATACCTTTGATTTGGTATTTATTTTCAGATTCAGCATTATAGTAATATATTTGATATCTATCTGTTTCCATTTTTAACTTAATGATAATTTATTATCGTATTACAATTATAGGCGCTTATTATGTTTCATTTGGTGGATAAATTGACAGTCAATAGACATCACGTCTTCCTTATGGTCTAAATGCGAATTAATATTGTCTCATTTATTTCGATTTTATATTGTAAGATAAAATGTTGATTGTGTATCCTGTTATCATTCTAATTTAAAGACGATGTAGTGCCACTATTTAGAATTGCTAATGTCTAGTCGTAGTCCACCTTGTCGTCGTTAATTTGACTTACATAGTCTTGATCCATTCGTAATTTACGACATAACTAGAAAATTTTTCGCGTATTCGAATTAAATTTAATAAATTAATCATTTACTGTGTTCCAATTTTGAGCTATTAATAATTTTATATCCCATTGAGTTTCCATCATATTTAGTATTACCGTCATGTATTAATATTTTTATTTTCATGAATTAAAGCAAATTATACTGTAATATCCTTTGTAATTAATTGATAATTTAGTAAGGTTAGCAAGGTGCTACTGATTCAGATTCTTAATTCTATGAAATGAATTGATATGTGTGTTGCTTTTTGGGTAGCTAAAAATTGTA